CGGGGGGAAGGGGGTCAACAAAAGCTTGCATTAAGATGGTATATATCTATTTCTTTTTCTTCAATGGCCAATACCGAAGTATCAATTTTTTTTCTTTTTTTCTTTTTTTCTTTTTTCTTTTTTTCTTTTTTCTTTTTTTCTTTGGTATTGTTTGATATTGTTTGAAGGTTTTATGCGTGTTGTTTCGATTATTCGAGGTGATCAGGAGCTCACAATCAATCGGAATAAAGGCCGGTATATAAGATACTAGACTCCCCCTTCCTCCTCTACGGTGGTCTATAGATATATCTGAGCGCATACTGATTCCCAAAGGTTTCGTTTTCGCTTCGAAGATATACGCCATTAATACCGGCCGCATTAACTTTATATCAAACCTCGTACGTCTTACGAGTCTGAGAATCAAGGACAAGAGAATAGTGTGGTCCACGAGCCTCACCTTCCAGCGAGCTTGAGCCGGCTTGAACTATTTTCTCTAATGCTCGAGCTCGGTTTGTTGCTTTGAGCTAGGCTCTAGAGGCCTGTATAAAAGAACCAAAAAAGGAGATTCCTAATACTCAGTTAAACAATTAATCACTTCTCACAGTATTACTCCGTGAGATGAAGCATATATCTTCAATTTTACTACACTTGGTGCAAGGATAACCTGCTTTTTGTATCATTGACCACTGCTCATGGACCACACTGCAACAGAAGCCAAACCCGCTCGAACGCAATTGAACCGTATATGGGGGGGGGGGGGGGGTTAGCCAAATTCCTTATATATGATCCATTGCATGGCTAGTATACAGTATTCTGAAACCCGCCAGTACTGTAGATTTCACTGACTCCATAGTCCAGTCAGCTATAAGCTACATAAACCGAAAGCCATTAATTTGACTTATATACAGCAGTTTTCATATTGTCTGCCAACCTCCGAACCGCATATATACACATTAAGTGACTGCTCATTTAGGCAATGCTTACTTATGTAGTACTGCTAGTACTATTTTTTTTTTTTTTTTTGGTAGTAGGTTCGGCTTGCCTGAGCTGCAGGTTCGGGATCGATCGGAGGAACGCAACGAACGTAGAGTAGTCCTCTGAGCTATACTACCAAGAGCGAGCGCGCGGGTCTGAACGACTAAGAGCGTTAATTCTCAGATCCCGAACCTGTAGGCAATCCGAATTTGCCACCAAGAGAAAAGAGAGAGAAAAAAAAATAGTAACAGTTAGATTACATTCAACCACACCTAGGAGAGTAATTACGGTTTAATTTCCTAACTCAAAAATCACCTTATGTGTGTGCATGTAATTCAGTGCGGACAGATGACAATACGAAAAACTGCTGCATGTAATAGCTAGTCGATGACATCCCACACACACATGTATATGATATATAGACACATGACATGTGGTCTACTCGCATATCAAGTATGTATTTGCGCAACCAGCAAAACACACAGAATCTCGAGAGCTTTCCCATCTCCCCTGAAATTATGCATCTTTTATCTAGACACCTGAAAGACTCTACAGGCCACTTTTAGGTCATATCCATAAAGAACGAGGCGAAGGGTGTCTTAAAAGTCCCTTTATTGCTTTCTTCTCCACCTTTCCCAGTATCTCAATTAGGCCAAGAATTTGAGGCATGAATCTTCCTTATCGAGATTATACTATACTCGGTCGTTGCAGTTTTGGTATAACTATGGGACTTTTTATAAGTTGTTGAAAACCTCGATTTTTGGTGTGTTTTGCTGGTTGGGCAAATACATATTTGACAAGCGAGTACACTCTGGACAACTACATACTTACGCTAGCGCTGCTTATTCCCTAGAGCTAAATCTCCTCATACGTATTAATTCAAAACATTGCGTTTTGCCAGTACATTAATTGCATAAGTCATGTCTACAGGCGGTCCATTACTTGTATAATTATATAAGCAAATACCTGCACTAGGAGCACGTATTTTGTAGAACCCACATGAAGGGAAAGTTTTTAGTTAATCACACGATATCACTCGATGTCGGAAAAATCACTCGGATCTCTACTAGCATGCGCACGCGCACGCGTGTGGGGTGTGTGGTCCCTTACATGTACTTAATGTCTGCATGTATTCAACACCCTCCCGTTCATGTTCAAAAATCAAAGTTGATGGATGGGTTGACGAGCTGCATAAGTACCCATCCCTACTAAAAGCACCATAGATGGATGTAATTCAACAGTCAAAACGCTTAACATGGAAGACAAAGACAAGCTCGATCGATACACACTGACAAGAATCCAAAAAAACAAATGGATATAGGAAGCTTAATTACACAAAATATATACTGCCCCCGCCATCCGCCCCCTCCTCCTCCTCCTCTCTTCCTTTCAATAAATTCAAGGCCGTCAATACTCTCATTACACTAATATCTGTATTTTTTTCCATCAATGATCATCATCGTAAAACATTCCGCCTCCTCCAAAAAAAAGCGTAAAAGAAAATTGAAAAGCATCTTTGCCACCACCATAACAGCGTTCAGGAGGTAAAGAGAAAAAATAAGGGGGAGGAGAGAGCAGAAAAACAGAGCTGGGATGTTTTTCGAAAAAAAAAGATCTTTCATAAGATAGGGGAGAAAAAACGTCAAGCTGGAAAAATCAAAAACCCATTATACTCCAAATATCCCCTGAAACTCTTTTTGACTATCTGTCTGCGCTTGAGGCGCCTAAGCAGCAGCCGCAACACCAAGAACGACACCAACGACAACAAAGACCTTCTTGACGTCCTGAACTCTGTTCCCGTCGTTTGGAATGACGATGGATGCGCCGTCAGTGGGCTGGGCCTTGGCGGTCGCCGGCATCACGAGTGCTGTTGTTACAGTCTAAATTATCATGTTAGTCACAGGCGTCATATCGCGGGGAGTGATGAACGTACGCTTCCAGAAATGATAAACGCGGTGCTCCCAAGAGTGACCGCCGGGCAGTTGGTCATGCCGCAATTGTAACCATTAGGGCAACATCCACCCCCAAGGCTACTTGCGCAGCTCTGCCATCCCGATGCACAGCTGGCTGGGGTAGTCATAGTGAGCACTCCTCCGGCTCCTCCTCCAGCGCCCCCTGCGCTGATTGTAAGGGCTCTCTCGGGGCACTCGGTGATACCGCAGTCGCGACCAATTCTGCAGCACCCGCCATTGTATTGCGGGGCACAGGTGTAGTATCCCGTGGGGCAAATGTCACCACTTGCGGTCGCAGTAGCAGTCTGGGTAGGGCAGTCAGTTACCCCACAGAGACGGCCGGAGGGACAGCATCCGCCGGCAACGTTTGAAGGGCAGGCATAAAAGCCGCTGGAGCAGGTAGATGCCACCCCAGCAGCGGAGTCGGCGATACATCCATTCACAGAGCAGGAGTATCCTGAGATACAGCATCCACCACCCTGGTTACTGGCACAGGTTTTCATATCATCACCACAGCTCGTAAGACTGCCACCGCACTGTTGGCCTAGAGAAAGGGAAATCGAGGATGAGCACACATTCCCCCGAGCAACCAATTGAAATAAGAGGGGGCAACCAACCGCTAGGACAGCACCCGACGACACCCATACCAGTGTCTGTAATCCTCTCGCAGATCTCAGACGTCCTACAACAGCTGCCGGGAACACCAATGTCCGTGCAAGAATAAGTCCCCGTCGGGCACTCGAAATTCTGCCTCTTGCCCAACAGCACACCAATGATGCCATCATCTGACGCAAAGCTCCTCATCCTAAGCGGTGCCCTGTATTTAACGGACCGAGTCTCGAGGTCCTCCCCATCCTCCAGCTCCGGTTCCAGCTCCGGCTCCTCCTCCTCGGGAACCTCCAGGCTGCTTATCCCCAGGAACCCCTGCTGACTCCTCGCCTCATGGTCCCAGTCCCAGTAGTATTTTTCGGCAGGGTTCTCTGCAGAGACCTTCCTGACGGCGGAGCACCGATCCGTCGAGTTGAACTCGGCGTACTCCTCCTGCAGCGAGCGCTTCGATGGCGGGCCGGTTCCGGGGGGCCAGTACTTTTCCGAGGGGTCAATGCCGGCGGGCCAATCGTAGGCAGGGGTCGCGGCGGCGAAATGGAGAGACGGTACGAGCAGAAGGAGCTGTAATGCGAGGGAGCGGGATGTTGTGGATCTCATGGCGATCGCTACGCTATGTGCGAGCGGAAGTAACACGATGAACTAAGCTTAATACCTCGGGTGATTCTCTTGCAGATTCACAAAAAGCACTTTGGGGGGAATGGGGTTAAAAAAGTAAACAGGGTTTTTGTGTGGTATGTGCAAAACGTTAATTCGTGACGTGATCTGCAGGTTTAAATGGAAGCGAGATTTGGCGTGCAGATTGGAGCGAAGAATAAACACAAGAATGGGGAGAGGGGAGGGGGGAGGGGGGAGGTGGGGGGGAAGGTAGAGGGAGGGAGGGGGGTGAGTGAGTGAGTGAGAGAGGATGGATGGGAAGGGAAGGGAAGAAGAGAAGGGAAGAAGGGAAGAAGAGAAGGCTGTATGTACATCTCCCACCAACTCTACGGGCCAGACACAGGTTCAGGGAGCTACCTCCGAACGTTACTTACTCTGTGTGTTGGCTGCACGCTGAGCACCAAGCAAGAAAGCACAAACAAGCACAGGCACAGGCATAAGCTCTGTTTTGCTGCCCAGTAACAACAACAAGTAGCAGACAGTGGCAGTCCAGTTGCGAGGGCAACAGCAGTAGAGTCTCTTCCCTGCAACAATCCCCAGCCCCTGTCTCGCTGGCAGACAGACGAGTAGAGATTCAACTTCACTCGAGGTAAACACCTACACCTGCTCTTCCCTACTCTACATCTTCTCTACTCTACACACCCCCCTTCTCTACTTACCCCCTTCTCTACTTACCCCCTTCTCTACTTTAGATTCTACCCGCAGACAGCTCTTTCTGCAGTCCGCCCCCACCTCGTTTGGAGATATGCAGGTACACAATTGCCAGCCACGTGTTGGTCGCGCGACCGCTCCAAGTCTCTTTGAGCTAACCTAAATGCTACGGTACATACTCTAAAGTACATCCACCAGAACACATGTACGTAGTCGGCGCAATTGCCAGCCAAAACAGACATAAAACACAAAGAAGAACCAGCAATCGCAGAGAAAGAAGAAAAAAGCATCTCTCCTGCCTGAGCTGCAGTTGGAACACCAATCTGCAAGGTCAGCAGCGGGACTCTAATTTGATGCACATATGCGGGAGCATATATGCACAGGATCGTGTATATGTATGTACCTTTAACGCCGCCAGCAGCTACATGTAGCTAACAGATTCCTAACCAACAGACATTACATGATGATACTCCTCTGCCAGAGTCTCTCTACAAGTACGCGGAAAAGACAAAGCAGTCCAGATACCACCAGAAAGCATCCTCAAATCCCTCACCGAGATACGTTCTCAACAACCGCAACTTCGACTCCATCCCCGCGCCATTATCCGTATCCCATGCAACCTCGCCATCTCGACCCTCAATCCTCTTCTCGCCATCACGCACCATCTCCTCCAAAACGGCCCTCTGCAACTCCATATCCCCCATCACCTCCACCTCCACCTCCACCTCCACCACCTCCTTCTTCTCCCCTTCCACCCCCCTCACAACCTCCACCACCCCCCCTCATCCATAAACACCGCGCCCATAACCGTCCACACAGTCCACACCGCCAACACCCCCAAAATGACCACAACCCTCCCCTCGCACCCCCACCCCCCAGCGCCCTCACAGCACCCGACTTCTGATGCTCCGGGCTCGTCGCCGCCGCCGTATAGTTCCCGTTCCCGCCCCCGTTCCCACCCCCTCCACCCCCTGCACCGTCTCCGCTGCCGCCGTTCATGTGCGAGCCAAGCATGTATCCGCCCGCAGCGCCGAGCGCGGCGCCGCCGAGACCCGCACCGATGGCGGTGCCGGTCCCGCTGCTACTGCTGCCTCCGCCAGCAGCTGGCGCGGGGGCTGGTGCGGGTGCGGGTGCGGGGGCAGGTTTGGGGGCTGGCGCGGGTTTGGCGCCGCTACTGCTGCTGCTGCTTCTTCCGCCGCCACCTTTGGGAGCCATGTTTACCTGGTTTGGGGTGGGTAGGGAGTGTTAGGGTCTGTTATGAAAAAAGGGCTATTCCCAATTGAGATGGGATAGAGAATTGATTGTGGAGCAGAGTGTGATATCTGGAGAAAGAAGAGATCGATGGAGCAGGGGGAAGAAGCTGGGGTTTTTAAGTACCCATGCGGGGTATAGGGATGGGGGGATGATCTAACCATTCCCCTCTCGCAATTGTTTCTTCCCCGGAGGTTGTGTTTGTTGTTGAGGTATTATCGTTAGGGAGGGTAGAGATAGTTAGCGGTGCGCGCTAGCTCTCCAAAAGCGGTTGTTTGGTCATTTCCAGTCCGAGGGCCTTGGCAGATACAACGGGACTGGACTAACCTCACCCTAAACTACATGTACATGATCTATGATCTATGATCTATGAGATCTGTGTAGTAGCGACAGGGCGTGTGAATTTCTTCGGTCTTTAGTACCAACCCTGCTGGCCGTAGCTGTATTGGCCGGGTGGTACTCGCTTGGTAGGATATCGGCTGGAAAGGCATCATTGACATTACCGTAGCTACCCTAGGCCTATTATGGCGGTTTTGCTTAGAATGCCTCATCCGCTGATAAGGGATGTTGAAAGTGCATTTACCTTATGTACAGTACGGTACGGTACAGCTGCTGTGTCATAGTTTCTGCAATTGTCTCGGTGCGGCTATCTAGGACGTCACAAAAAAAACGGCGCAGTTGCAGATACCGACAATGTGCTAGCTAGCTAAAAAAAAAAAAAAAGGGCGGGGGTTAACCTAACCCTAGAAGCACAACTAGCGAGTGGGCGAGTGATGCTGCATGATGGATATATACATGTATGCTCTAACGTTATCAGAGATACATGTAGCGCTAGCTCAGCCCTATTATTTATTGCGGCGCTTTGCGGGATGTACACTTTAGATTCCATGGCCCCCATAGGGCACTGCAGGGCCGTCCCGCCGCCATGCGAGGTAGCAATAAATCAATCGATATGACGTAGGGGAGAGAAGAAAAAAAAGTAGAATATGTAAACATTGGTCGGCCGATGTGCTTAGAATTCAGCTGATTCAAGGTACATGTAGCTTTGGGGGGGGGGGGGGGGGATATAAAGTAATATATGGCCATGGTACATACATATATGTATGATAAGCACTAACTACTACCATTACTTATCCACGGTGAGTGGATAAAACCGTTGTTACCTGGTACACATCTATCTAGATATTGTAATCAGTAGCGAGTAGGGTGTGGGGGGCCAGGGGCCAGGGGGGGGGGGGGAGGGGGTGGCTCAAGCTCACTACTAAATGTAGTTATCAGTGGTATCAGTATAATTTGAAGAACAGCGCCCCCCCCCCCCCCCCCCCCCCCCCCCCCCCAATGATACTCTTTATATACCAATACCAAGCATACCAGCACGGGACCCCGCCTCCCTCCCTCCCAAGCATTGGCATCTTCCACTGATTCGGAAGGCGGTTGCACTCAAATCTTACTCGGAACCGATTCTCAGCCCACCGTGCCCCCTGTGCACCATTGAGTACCATATTAAAGCCCCCAACGTTCCCCCCGTTCCCATCCCATCCCCCCGTTCCCGTTAACAGCTGAAGTTGCTCGCATCATAATCAGTCTCCCCTACCTACTGTCGTTCTCGCATTAGCATAGCATAGCATAAATACTGTCCTTTCCGCATTCCCCTATATAAAACACCACAAATAAGAAAGAAAGAAAAAAGAGCTAGAACCCAAGCCACACCGCAACAATGAAGCTCTCCCTCCTCACACTAGTCTCAGCAGCCGCCCTCCTAACCCCCACCCCCGCCTCCGCCGCGCCGCAGCTCCAGAAGCGCCACGGCACCGACTTCTCCAACCTCAAATACTACCAATACCCAGCCGCCCTGCCCAACGGCCACAGCCTCTTCGCGCCGATCCTCTACCACCAAGTGCAGGCCTCGCAGCCGACGCGCGCGCTCTCGGGGGCGGCCACCGGCGGCGGCGGGCACTTCAACGGCGACACCACCACATACGAGGTCTTTGACTTTCCGGCGGAGGAGTTTGCGGGGCGGCGGTGCCGGTTCCATTTCTTGCTGGGCCCGGTGGACATGGGGCGCGGGTATGGGAGCGTGTGGAGTGTTGCGGAGGACGATGGGTGGGTGGATGAGGAGACGACGTGGGAGAGCCGGCCGCGCGAGGGGGAGTTGTTGGCGGAGTTTGATGTGGACCCGGCGGATGTGCGGTATTATCGGGATGGGGATGTCGGGGCGCACTTTAAGAAGGATCCGGTGTTTGCGTGCCCGGTGGGGGAGAAGGTGTGGGAGGTGCGGGCGGGCGAGGCGGATAAAGATGATGGGAGGATAGGGCGGTATGGGAACAGTGCGAATTGGAGTCTGAATAAGGGGCTGCTGATAGAGAGGTTGAGTAAGTAGTTGGCTTGCCCAGTTGGGAAATTGGTAGGCGTTGGGGGAGGCGTGGGTTGTAATTGGGGGGCTTGTATTAATGGCTGTTATAAGACAGGCAGGTGCTAATTGTGCCTGACAGCTGCAGCCCAATATTGTTTTCTTATTTCGGCACTGGCCGTGGGGGTTTTCTGTAATTTACTACATATTATAGGCACAAAACTAATTAGCACAACTGAAGCGTATTGCAAGGCAGCATCAGTACTTACTAACGAACCACAAGCCAGTCATTGGCATCTCCCTTTAACCCAGGGCAACCAACATGCAAATTGCCGAACACATGATGAGTTCATTTTTTTTTCTGCACTCAACACGTATCGAAACAGTAGCAGCATCGCGGGGTCAATGCTATATACGAGTCTCACTGGACCCAGCCAGTTAACACATGTCCATCACTCAGGCATCGATTCGCCAACCAACAGTGGTGACAATATTCACACACGATGGACTGAGATCCCTATCACAAATGCTATATGTATGGCAGAATCTCGATGCCAATAAACTCTTCTCTTGAGATGTCTTGAGACTGAAGTGTGTAAAGTTCATCGCAGTGGTGATGGAGTGAAACATGGGTTTCATGACGTCCGGATATATAGCTAGAGTAGAACTCACGGGCAGATGCTGTTCAATGTTGCGCCTGCCTGCATGCTTGAATACGTCGCTGCAATGTGATGGCGGAGTATCTTTGTGTGGCTGTAGCAAGGGGTCTTTCCAGTTATTTAGCTAGGCCATCTAATGTTAATATAGGCAGGGCACAGGTCGAGTCATCGGCGTTCTTTAAGATTTAGAGTAGAGTACCTAGGTGTTCACCCGCCGGTTTTATAATATCATGTAATATGTGATGTAGGTACCCACTTAAGCTTTATTCAGTGAAAAAGCATAGAGGGAGAGTGCCTAGAGAATTAAAGTAGCAGTAGAAAAGTGATTTAATTTGCTTCTTACTATGATCATGAGTTATGTGTGGTTATCCCAGTCCAGGCACTGCAACCGGTAATGGTACCCACGGCCGATTGGGCACGTCGTGCAAGAAAAGAACATCACCAATAAGCAATAAGCCTTTATTCTCTGTTATCAGCAACTAACCTCCTACATAGTTCGCAGTGCAAGAGGGAGATTGGTAATTAGCCCTGCGATCAGTCAAATAGGTAGGTAAGCTGTGTGCATGTTCGTTGGCAGACTAGAGTATGTGCTCTCCTCAAAACACGATGCATATGCGCATACGAGAGGGACGGAGGTTACTCCTTCTCCAAAGACTGATCTTGTTCGTATGGCACAGACACAGCCACCCACTCTAAAGTTGATCGGCGTCCCACCAACTTTCTCAGTACCAACACCATATACTCTGCTTCTGAATCTCTGAGTAACCAGGGATCACGAGCCCGTTACACTACACTGCCCGCGGCCCAATAGCCATAGCCTTATATCTTACTGTGAGCCCCGTACGGCGCTATCTTTCCTTCCTACTAGTACTGGATAGATAAAATTATAAAGGGAAAGCGGGTTCCTACCTTACTGTCAGTTTCCGTCTATAATCATCGCACGATACATATATATCTGCACTTTTACTTTCAAATAACGCCCGGCGGCCCATATCGAAACTCTTCGGTTCTTTCACGATCTTTGCCTAGCTAGCTATACCTATCACGGGCCCATCCTCAATATGCAAATAAGACATTTACCAAGCACCGTGTTTAACGCCCTTCTATTGATCCTCTTCAACCTCACCCTCATCTCCGCCAAAGGTGGAGGTGGCGGAGGTGGCGGCGGCGGCGGTGGAGGTGGTGGCCGAGCGGCCGCGGGTGGTGGGGGCGGAAGCGGCGGGTATGTACTAGTGCTTGCGATTAACCTTAATTTCCATCTCTAACAGATGCTGCGATTGTACCAGGTCCTTTGCTAGAAATACAGGGGCAATAGTAGGATTGGTGGTTGGGGCTGTCATAATCCTCATTATGATAATCATCATCTTAATCTGGCACCGGAGTATGATGAAGGCCTACAACAAGATGGACGCGATGTATGCGGGACCAGGAACTGTCAAGTCGGCCGCCGCAGCGGGCGACTTGGAGAGTCAGAAAAATGCATCTGTCGAGAAGGATGCGGCCGATGCGGGGGAGAAGAAAGGCTTTCGTTTATGGAGGTGGTCGTAGTTTTAGATAAATCTCTTTGGATAAATTTCTTTTGTTGACGTTTTTTCCTTCTATTTTTTGTGGAATGATAATTATACTATCAATGACATTGGCTTCTTAATTGCTTAATTTTTTATATATTTACCTAGTTGTCCGCCATGGGAGTAAACTTTTTGTGAGAGAAGATTGTCGGTTTACTTACATGTAGCGACTAGCTACTCTACTAGCACATACTTCATCGCAGAGCTTGACGTCACAGTAAATCACTCGGGCATGAATCTGATAGAATACATGTAGCTGTAGTGGCCAGCTTTATAGACTTTAGTACGCCACTACATTCTGGGCCATGCATGGCAAAATTAGTACAATGACGAATTGGGAATTTATTGACTCATCCATTAGTTAATCCAAGAAGATAAAGGAACCTTTGACTGGCTTTGTAATTCGATTGGCTTAAAGGCGCCAGCGCAAAAGGAAAACAGACTAGCTAACACATGTTATCATTGTTGTCATTACCTAGTAAATTAAAGTTTGAAGTCAGCCCCAGCTATATATGAGGTGCTATTTAGGCGATGAATAAGGATATATATGGGCCTTGTTTTCACTATACAAAAGAGGGTCACTTAGTAACGGACTTTATGTATCCTCAACATGTTTGCGTTGAATCTCTCCGATTTTTCTTGAATCTTTCATTCAACAATAATACAGCTGTGCAGATATGTATCACTACATGAGTGATGACTATCATGAGAATAAAAAGAAATTATCACAGCAATAAGTATAATCGTATACCAGGCCTCAAGCCATCAGGTTATAGCGCATCCGTATCTCCTGTATTCAGCTTCTTCCAAACTAAACCCCCTCAAGAAAGGCTGCGACTATCCACCAAGACATTACCATCCAACTCCAATGGCGTCCAACCTTTGCTCTTGCCCCAGCTGCAGAATTTGCAGTTATTGTGCCATGTGCCGTATATGTGATTGGCGCACCATTAAGTTCAGTACTAGTCGGCATATCATCTGTTGATGTGGTTGTTGTCGGTGTATTATATATTACTGGGGTATATGAAGTCCTAGATCTGGTTGTGGTGGCTGCTTCTAAGGATGTCGAAGCTGAGGTTATGGTCATTGTTGATGTATTTATACCTGGCATGTAACGGATTGTTGTTCTTTCCACAGTACGAGTATTCTTATCATCTTCAATGGAGCCGAACGATCCCGCTGTTGAGGTGGGGGCTAGGGCAGGAGAAGTCGGCCCACCTGCCTCGAAGCACTGTAGAAGACCGCATCTCTGGCCGTATTTACAGCAGCCACCATTAGCAGATGCAGGGCATTCGTACCAACCTGAATCACATTTGAGGTTTTCTTCGTCACAGGGTAAGTTTATAGGGTCGGGAGAGCGGCAACAATAGACACCGTTAAGTGTATTATTCGTGGGTAGACATGTGTGTTCGTTGTCGCAGCAAATTTCCTAATGGGCAGATTAGTGGGAGAGCTCGATAGATAGAGCTCAAAAGCCTGCTATATGGAAGATTTGAGAGCTAGGTAAACATACAGGACGACCTAAATTTCCGCATGACTTCTTTCCTAAAGGGCAGCCAGGAGCGATATCAAGAGCACCTATAGGTGTACTATCCTCACCCTGCTGTTGTCTCGCTCGTTTAATTGAGACATCTTCGGACCAAGGTACTAGTCCAATATTATCTGCCCTTGGTACAGAGAGCTTCTTATAAGGGATGTACCCATCTGACAGCATGGTTGGAGTAGGTTCAAGGTTCCACACTGAAATAGTCGTGGTAGTTGTCACTGTTAGAGCTCCATAACCAGAATAATTGAAGATACCCGAATTGAAAAACAAAATTCCAACACATAAGTAGAGGAGACCAATAGAGAGGGGGATTTGCCACGACATCTTGCGGGGGGGAGGAGAAGTGATCTTATAAGCACGAAATTAAGGTATGAATCAAGCGAAACAAAGCAAATGAGGACGAGAGAATTAATGTGAGACAAGAAGATTGATGTTTCAATTTCCCCAAGAGGCCGACAATCGATGATGCCAGGTATTTGCATAACCAGATGTTAGAGTTGATTTAGTCATTAACTACATATATTGATACGCAGCCGAAAAAAAAAGAATAATTGATGAGGCATGTGTGTCCATGGTTGACTCAAGTTATGGACGTATTGCATACATGTACCTACTCTACCTCTATGCGGTACTAGCTACACACGCCTAGCTGCACACACGGGGCACATGCACTTGGTGCGTAGAAAGTCTAGCTTCCCGGAACTCTTTACTGGTTCTTAATACCATCCGCATATCTAGACCTTGATTCTTGTTTCTACATTGATGTTTATCAACGGCAGCTTTCCCGGTTGCACGCCAGGTATACATTTGATTGTTTCCATGAGGAGACTCCAGTAATTGCTAAGGCGCGGGTGCAAAGAACTCCATGAATCTACGTGGCCCCCTTCATGCAGCGTCACTCGGAGTTAACGTAAGGCTACATGTATGCTTACATGTGTCTGTAGGTTATGTAATTATCCTTTCCCTCATTAACTCGTTCCAAGTGGTGCAGAATATCGCGCGCGCCGCCCTATTAGACTCAAAAGCTGACCGATTATAATGGTTATATCTTTGAGAAAGACACACTACATGCATGTAAGTAGAGAACTCTCGTTATTTCTATTTAAAAATTTGGTGGCGTTCCGTCTTGTTCATTTTGTTTCGTTGAGATTCGGATCAATCCTGCCTGAGTAGCAGGGATTTGCCAGGGATCGGTATCATGTAGGTGCACGGTCAAGTTCCGAGAAAGCTTGATATAAAAGATCACGTCACGAAGCCCCTTTGCACGATTCAAAACAAATACCGATAAATTCAACCTTTCAAACCAATGGAGCCTTTAGAAGTACCAACTCAAGTTTCCGTACGTGCATCAGCCAGCTATCCGGCATCAGAGTACTCCGGTAATCATTACACCGTGTCACAGTTGGGGGAGCGATCAGAGCTAGGGGAAGAACAGATTGAAGACTATCCTGCACTTCGGCCACTGTCCCCGCCGCTGTCCCCGCCGTTGTCCCCAAAAGACGGTTCGGATGATTTTAGGCAATCAAGAAAGGAATGGAATGAGAAGAAGAAACAAAAGCGAAAGGAGCAGCTGGAAAAGGCCAGGGGAGTAGTGCTGAGCAGTAGCGATCGTGCTGAGTGTAAGTCTAAGACATGTAAAGCCACGTGCCAATTGGGATCTAAAGCTAATAAATAACTACTTGTCCAGTCAAGGCAGCTGTCAATGATTGGTTCGCTAATAAAAGGCCTCCACAGTTCCCTGGAGTGTTGTTCATTATCCTTGATAAGCTGAGTGAAGCACGAAATAAATGGCTCCAGGAGAACCAGAATGAAATACCTGAAGTATTAGTCGAAGCTTGGATTTCTCCCAAGCCAAATGAAGGTAACTCATAAGTGATCATCCATTGATGAAAAACTATTATGACAAGCTGACAATTTACGCATCAAGACCCTTCTTACCAGAACATTAGTGGCATTGGGTTATGGAAATGGCTATATGAAGCTCATGGTTCTAAGCCAACAAAGGTCAGATCATAGTCAGCAGTGTTCTCGCGGTTTATTAGACAATTGACTGACCTAGAATAGGTGAAAGACAATAAGTTTATATTGATGTAAGCAACCAACAAAAATCTTTGAGTGAACACTTTATTGACCAATTTGGCGTAGATCTCTAACCGGATTGACGGCGGAAGTCATGAAGGCCCTGCTTATTCATTATGAGATTAAGGTCAAATCTCTTTATGAGATGATATACGTAGATAGTTTTATGGCACACCTCCAGCCAGCCTCTGAAAATGGTAACCCCAGTAGTTCGGGATATCGTCTATAGTTTAGTGCTGACAATTGTCTTAATCATAGTATTCGCTCTCTGCTTTGATTTCGTTCGCCTAGTCGCGATTGGTGATGAGCGCCGTTTTCACACACAAGCCTTTACAGAACTTGAAAATTCGAGGAGAAACCAGATTTTATCTTGGAAATGGAATTCTACGGGTTCAGATATAAAGGATAGGTAAGAATTAGTCGATGCCTTGTCCCCACCTTATAACACTACAGCTTAGCTGAGAACTCTACGTTATAGCGACCGAGCTTTTGGTATAGCACGTGCAGTGGTGTGGATAAATAGGGACCGAAGCACAGGGAAGACTGTTGCTATTTTCTATACGGAGCCAAAGATGTCGAAGAAAATGCGACTCCATAACGTGGCACAATGGAGCATGAGTAGGTTTTGTGATGATCCACACCTACGGACTAGATCGTCATTTCCTATTGAATTTCCCGAAGGCGGAGAGCCATCCGAAGAAATATTCAACTTTTTGGCAAGATATATCAAAGAAGCATTCAGGTGGAATAGAGTACTATCTCTGCATCATCAAAAGATTGCGGCTCTGGTATGTGCACCGAATCCTTCGCAGTCATGTATTATATCTCTAACTAACCCTAATCAACGTACAGGAAGATGAGGCATTCCATATGCCCATGCTGGAGACTACGAAAGACCTGTATCGCCAAAAATCCATATTGGATACACATCTTACACTACTTAGTCTTCAGAAGACGATGGTATCAGCACTCCGTAATCGACAAGTCAGTGAAGCAATGTTCTGGCCCCAGAATGCGATGCTTTTGTTTGGGGATATTGAGGATGGTTTAGGTGAGAAGATTATTGAGTTTGAGAGGATGAGAAAGCAGTGTGATGATATTCATAATCTAGTGGGTGTCCCCGTACTCTTAAGAATTGATGTGTTCCGTGGCCATGTTTAATGTGACTATTTTTCCTATAGATATTCAATATTATCTCGATTGAGGAAAGTAGGGCGGCTGTAGACCAAGGACGAAGTGTTGGCCGATTGACATGGCTCACCTTTATATTTCTCCCACTATCCTTTGGCGCTGTAAGATCTACGGAAAGCCTCCACTTATTTGCGTAAACGACTAACACAGCAGCTAATTAGTCTATACTTGGAATGAATGTATTCCAATTGAATAGTCCGGGCCTTTGGCTTTATTTTGCCCTTACAATACCGCTATTTATCCTTGTTACTGGAGGTATTGTGATGTTGAAGGCTACTGTCCTCTACGGCCAAAGTGGGCAAAATGAACAGATGGGATTTTTCCAGTGGCTAATCGCAGGCCGGCCAATGCGGTCACAACTGAACCGGGCAGACCTTGAGAGGGGTAATCTTAACGATAAGCTTACTGCTCGGTTGGGAAATAATCGAGGGAGAGGGGAGGGTAAGAACGGGATCATGAACCGTCTGAGAGAACCGAGAGAACCAGCTGCAGTGAATGATAAGATTGAGAAAGAGGATTGAAAATGTAGTTTAAATGATTGAACAAACTATTGACATACAAACATGGATGGCTCGCGCCTTTGATTAATAGGTATAAACATTGATTTTCTAGGCTTAGGTAGGAGGCTTCTAGTTCTAGTACTACCACATGGTAATTGATATTGAATATACAAATGTGTCCTATCCGACGGTCATCCCCGGCCCTGCACACCAGAAAGGATCTACATACATGGGCTGATTCTACCTAGGCCTATCGAGCCTTGAAATACCATCTGAAAATAATTAAATCCGTTTTTCACATAACTACCAAGCGAGACAAGGCGTAACTAAGTTTTGATTTGCTGCTTTCATCCGGACGATCATATCTCGGATAAAGCTTGCACAACAGCATGTAATATATGCCCTGGATGAGCATTAGGTAAGAACGAGATGTAAGTGGATATATCCCAAAGAATCTTAATTCCGGGTCCAAGGCCTAGCTGGTAAGTGATGAGGAAAATCTTCTAGATATCCTCACTATCTAGCGGAGTTTCTTCCGCAGCTCCCTTTGCAGAAAAATTTCTGGTTACGTTGTATGGCGCCTCGTCAACCTCACACCGAACAACTCTGCATGTATGTAATCGATCCATAGATACTACATGTAGCTAGGTATATTCTTTATCATCGTCAGACTGCGCACTCTCCATACTCAGCAAGAAGAAACACGTGTGGTAGCACACAAACCACTCATAGCCACATGGTTGTAGCCAAGCTCCTGTGTGTAAAACGTGCTTTTGCTCACCACGTTGTCATCCGGCGTGCTGCATAAGAAAAAGAAAGGACCTACATGAAGTAGTTAAATCTGATCAGAGCATGTTGGCTATATATTAATCTAGGTAGTCGGCGCATGGTGAAAGTTTATTTTACTCTTTGACATGGTGGATGACATAGAGCTAGAGTACCTACATGTAGGTACATGTAGGGTAGTAGAGTGGTACTCTACCACCACTGGCGGTGTTCGCAGAATTGGCGCTTCCAGAACTGGCTAGGAAGCGCCTTTTTCTGTAACTTGACAGGTGCAGGCAGGGCCTACTCTATATTTATTCCACTAGTCACGGCTAGAATAGTGCTACCACTGTTCGCGAATAATAATACGAAGATGTAAATGCATACAAAGTTAGTTAATCACTTACAATTTTACTCAAACTAAGCCGCCAACAACGTGCCCCGTGTGAAGTGGGAGTTTACGATGATCGATGGAGGTGAGAAAGAAGGAAATAAAGAACCGCCGGAAGTGTCGTACTGCTTATACATACACCTCTCACAATCAGCGAGGTAAGAGAAAACTGTCAAGAAAACTTAACCCGTGGGTCGTTTGGGTTGTTGCAGACGTACAGGAAGGCCCTCTCCCGAATAATATACTCGCATCACAAGGTGGATGCATGCTGCCTGCCCTGCTCTGCCCTGCCCTGTCGACCTGTCTGCCTACGTACCTATCCATCTGCCTACAGTCAATTATTATCAGTACTCTACTGCTACTCTCCACTACGTACCCAGGTGTTAGCCTACCCCCCCCCCCCCCCCCCACTATCACAAGTAGGCATTTCCCCTCACGATATGCGACATACATACGAGGTTTTTCACTACCTATTCTATCCAACGGCTTATCCACCTTCCCCCCCCCCCCCCCCCCCCACCTATGCCTCCCGGGTGCTAAAACACCGATAGGTATTATATATTAATCCTGGCATGAAATCTCCAGGTTGGCTACCTGAAATCTGCCATCCTGTTGGCTCAAGGGTAAAACTGTGGCATATTACTCTACTCTACCAACTCTGTTAGCGCGGAAGATCAAGCCGAATTGTCTCCATGAGCTATGATTGGCTGCATCCACCCTATCCTTACTCCCTCTACTCTCCACATACATAAAGTACATGGAAAATAAAAATAAAAAAAATGCGATAGTATCACAACCTTCGGGTACGCACTTATATGGCGCGATGCAGTAGCCTTTCCGGGGGGTGTTACCATCCTTAATTTCTTCTTTCTTAGCTTCTTTCCTTCTCTTTCCTTCTCTTTCCTTCCTTCCCTTCCTTTCCTTACCATCTCACACACAAACTTTACTTTCACACCCGCATACCGTGCCTCGTGAATGTCGTAGGTTCTGACAGGATCCTGCAAACCTGACAATACCTTTGGGCTGGTCCAACTATAAGGATTTTCTTCCGTTTCAGGTCTCTTGATACGGTATCAAGGCAGTACATAAACCATCTAGCCGCCTGCTAGCTAATCAGAAATCATAACGGGAAAGAAAAAAAGGATCGGAAGGAAATGAATGAGGAAAAAGATATGTCTGCAGTAGATCCGGTTCGAGAAGACGCTGAGCGTTGGCCCCATGGGGATACATTCTCGCGAGGTCTCGTATTGCTGGTGGTGGAGCTAGTACTCATAGTACTACTTCTCATTATTGTAAGCCTGAGGGTTTACTCAAGGTCCTATCTGAGTAGGTTCTTTGGGTTAGAGGATTGGTTTATCGCTCTAGCAACTGTAACTACCCTCACAAAACTCAGAACTAGTTATCATTTGAGATTATGTGCTAAAGAAACTACAATTCACAGGTCTTCTATATCGGCTTCACGATCACCACTTGCCTCGCAACTTTCGACTACGGTTGGGGTAACCACATCTACAACCTCCCTCCACCTACGGTAGCGAAGGCGCTTAAACTCCTTTGGATCTCTGAGCTATTCTTCACCTGGTCCCTTTGTTTCACAAAGCTCTCAGTATGCGTCTTCTACCTTCGCCTTCTCAATACTCGATTATGTAGACGGATAATTTACATCTGTATGGCAGTAGTAGCACTCTGGGCGTTCGGGTTTTCGGCGGGTATCATTGCACAGTGTAATCCGGTCAAGGCAGCATGGGGTGTATACCCTCAACCTGGAGCAAGATGTACAAGCATTGAAGTAGGAGTCGTTGCACATGCAGTGGTGGATATATTGACGAACTTGATTCTGTGGACATTGCCTGTAAAACTTATGCTTGGGTCGGGGTTAAGAGGGAAACAGAGGGTATTGATATTGGGGTTGTTTGTTCTGAGTGGGATGTCAGTAACATGCTAATTTCTTTTCTCCATACGTTATTATTGACCCATACTAACGATATTCCAGTGTATGTGCTGCAGCAATTACACGAGTTCCCTATACCATCTATATAACAAGCGACGCTACTTGTAACCTCCTTCCCCCTTTCCCCCGATATACAAATAACTTAACTAAACTCCGCCTATAACAGGGTATCTCAGAGATTCCTCCACCTGGAGCGCCCTCGAAGCCTCCCTTGCCATTATCTGCGCCTCCCTGCCTTCGTTGTCACCCCTGCTCGCAAAAATCGTGCCAAACCTCTATCACAATGAATACGATGATCAATCCCACCTTTCACACTCCCGCTGCAGCATCGCTAAAGGCTCTTCTTTCGGCGGCGGCGGGGAGCTCACACTTGTAGGGAGCGCATTCCCATTAGCACATATTTCGACTACCGCCATCTCAGATAAATGCTATTCAGTCGGAGGCGGAAGCGGAGGCGGAAGCGGATGCAATTGGTTTCATTGGCCAATGCGTGGTGGTGGTGGAAGAGCAGGCGGCATTTCTAATGAACGCAAAGGGCCGAATGAGAGCGAAGAGAATATTGTTATTGGAAGCAATGATACCCTCGCAGGAGGCATGGGTATTACCAAGACAACTGTCATTGAGCAGAGTATTGATGACGGTATGGGGATTGAAAGAAGATCACCTTCTCCAAAACTGGTGGGCCGGGTGACATTTTGATGGTTTGATGCCGGGTTTGTTTGATATGCATGGTATTTATTATTTTCTTTTGTTTTACTTAGAATAGTATTGGTAGGTAACTATATGGGTTTTCTTAGTATTTTAACGGGCGTTACTAATTGGTCTGTACATGTTCTCATAGCGTTGGGTTTGATCATTCTACATACATGTATGTAATCTGCATGGCGTTAAGGGTTGATTGGGATTAATGAGTTTACTGGGGAAATGACTGGCTTTGGAAGTCATAATGATTTTAGAAGTTATATAGCAAAAGGCCCGATGATTGAATAGGCATTAGCTAAATAGATCCATCCTTGAAAGGGGTTTTATGTCTAACAGATTCTTATAGAGTCATAGTGATTTCAAAATATAAAGTAGAACCGAAAATATATCACAGTATTAGATGAACAGACCCTGGTATCTAGAAATGCTAGCCACACCATGTCGTATTCCTAACATCCTCTTAACGCCTTGTCTCATAGCAGTACGATCTTTGCATCTCCTCGGCGTCTGGTAGAAAATTCCCTACACAAGGTTAAGCTTACCGGTCCATCGCATCCTTCGGAACATATCCCATGATTTCGGGTCGGACAAAAGGTTGATTTGGCCAAGGATACCTACACTAATACCAGCCTTAGTGCCAGAGGATTTTGTTTCAGGTGTCCATCAGAGCCTTGTATATATTCCATGCCTTGTAGAGAAGGCTTCTGTCGAAATATGTGCACAATCTCATGATAAGAGTAGATGTAGCCAGCTCGATACAATTTAGCCCCCAGGACCTCACGCGCTTGCCTTAATTGTGGTTCTAGAAAAAGAAGTGAGACATCTCCCCCTAAAAAAATCTCAGATAAGGTATACATATATGGCGGATAAGGACATGTAGAGTAAGCCTCAGCCTTCTTTCCCAACGTCATCACCACATGGCGTTTGGCGCTTGTCGTTCACGACGACATGCACCTACGCCCCAGCTAGGCGCATAAACGGCAGTCCTGGTGATAGGTAGAAACCGAGTCATGGGATGGACTATGCGCCACATTTGTCGTACTTCTAGACTTACATGTAGGTTTTGTGGTTCGGACGGACCCTTGCATTTCCTGCTAGAGTACCAACGTACAACTACATGTACCCACTACACAGGAGTTGATCTAAGATTATTAATTATATCGATTGGGGCTTGAGGGTATCAACGCCAAACTGTAACACTCACATGGGTGGGAAACAGAATTGATTTCAAGATGAGCACTGTATGTACTACAAAATGTGTTCACTATATGCAGGCCTGCTGTAGTTAGTATTGAGACCGAAACACTGCTATTAATTGATAACAACAATCTTGTAACACCCAATCAAAAGAAATGCACGTCGCTTTCTGAGACCGAGGCAAACGCCATAAAAATAAACAAGGGTCCAATAACGTAAGTGCTTTTAAATGTCAAATATATGGCATACTAGAACTATTAAGAAGGCTCTTATGGATCCTGAGTGCACGTTGTTGTTCGAAGTGCTATCTACCACATGTATGTACACTACTCTACTGGTAGACACCGTGATAGTCTCAGAATGGTGTGGCAAGTGGCGTTCTGACCGCCACTTTTAACTAATCGAGTGCCAAGTCAAATAATCTTGATTGCGCACCAATTCGGCTCACGGGGTTATTAGTAGACGATCACATAATATCACTCGTCACTTGATCTTGTTCCACAACCACCCAAACATTCCCATATATCCATAAAGATGTAAAGGAAAACCCCCATAGAACCGTCCCAATTTATTCCTTTCCCATTTCAATCCCAAACCCCCCCAACCCCCCTATCCTGACGAAGAAATGAAAACAAATGAAAATAGTAAAAGGAAAGTAGATAGTAAAATGACGATACACAACAAACCGACACTACCCTCGCATAAAGCATACCCGCTTTATGTAAATAAGTCAAGAAGAAATAGCAACGGTATGTGTTCACTACTCCTGAACGCCCCGGTGGAAAATAAAAAAAAAGAAACAAGGACTAGGTCTAACGATATACTAAAAAGAAATAGATCCAATATAGATTTACAGCAATCCTCCCAAGATCTCTTTTCCCAAGCCTCCAATCTCCCTTTTCACCGCAGCTTTGCAGGCCTCCTCAAATTCTTTAACCACTCCTGTAACTACTACTTTTTTCACCTTCGTATCCGCTTTCATAAATGCTTCGTAAACCAACTGATTGCATGAATCTGGCGCACCAACCAGGCCTAGTACTCGTTGATATGCATCAATCAATACATCGCATAGCGTTGAAAAGGTTTCGTAGTAGTCCGGTTCGAACGGTAGTGCTGGTGTTGAGAGATAAAGATATATATCGCCGTTCATTATAGGAGGAGGAAACATGGGATTGCTTGTAGGTAATGGCGGGGTCCCAGTACTAGAAGTCATAGGTAGTGGGGGAAGGAGATCAAGTTCGGTTGTTGATGTTGCCGGTGTGGTAGAAAGGTTGGAATTATAAGAAGAGAGATTGCTATTAGGATAACCACCGCTACTTGTTGGAGGCATACTTGGAAGGGTAGTGGAGTTTCCAGATGCAGAGCGGGTCCGCTCTAAGAATAAAGAAACATTGTCAGCTGCAGTGGACGGTGGAGTGATGGCAGGAGTCATTGTTAGTGGCGTATTGGCGGAAGAGCCACGACGAGGCTTGGATGATGACCGAGAGAAGAGTTTAGGGAGTCTTCCTAAACTCAAGGCAGATGTGCTAATAGGATGGTGATGGCTATGTGAGGATGATATGCTTGATGAATGGCCCCGGGTGGGCTGGCGCGAAGGGGGAAGAGCAATGTGGGTTTCGTATTCCTGAAGAAGATGGTTGAAAGCTTTAAGATAGTCGAGAGGCGAAGATGTTCCAAGATCAAGTATAGCAGGAAGCGAATTGCCAAGTATGAAGTAATTATTTGCTCTGCTAAGGGTGAGTGTATATTCGATGATGACTAGGAATATAAAACGTGGTGTACCTTCTTGTGAGTTTTTTATGGTCATGATACACCGTTCGTTGTAAATCAGCCTTTGTGAACAACATGGTATTAAACCAATAAACTCTGCCCTCATGTCTGTAGAGATTCAATTATTAATACTAATCCTGTTGTTTATCGAATTCCATGTTACGTAAATCAATGAAAAAAACAGTAACAACCAAACATGTGAGATAAACTTACGCTCTCCGTAAATAATCAAGGGTTGCGATTCTTTTCATAGCTAACTCATGCAGCGTCTCATATAACGCATTTGGACTTTGAGGTCCAGCCCCCATTGAGCCTCCTCCACCACCTGAACTTACTGCTACTCCCCCATTAGGTGCAGAAGTACTAGCATTAACGAAGTCGCCTCCTCTTGATGTATTGCTACGGGAAAACATCCCCTTCCCTGAGGAACTAGGAGGAGGGCCAGTAGGCGGTGGTCCTTGGTATAGATACACTGGAGGGATCTCAGCAACTGAAGGTCGCCTTTTCTTGTTTGATGCAGAACGTGACAGTGAAAAGTAACCGCCTAAAGATGAAGTGGCAGGAAGTTCGTCAGGAGTGGAGACGCTTGTGGTGTGGGAGAGGATGCCCTTAGTGATGAAAGCAGCGGGCGTTGAAGAGAGTGAAGGCTTCCGCTGATCGTACATGATTGCGCTTTAGGGGACAGCTATTGCCTGCTGCAAGCTGTCTCGTTGCCCTCTAGTGTGTCTAGTGTGTCTAGTGTGGTGCCGCAATAGTACTTTACGCAGGAGAAGGTCAGGGTAATCCGTACCCGAAGTTTATGATATACTCTACAGGGCAATTAATCGATCTGCAGCACTATAAAACACTATAGCCCCGCTGTTTAACGAAAGAATTTAAGAAATAGGTTAATCTAAATGGAAACACCCGTAACGGCTTGCTCAGAGGTGCGGCAGTATGAGAGCGTAACACCGGCAGCAGCAGCAGCAGCAGCAGCAGCGAAGAGGTCCAGGAAGTACGAGAGCCTCTGGGAAAAGAAATGTAAAAGTGTAGTATATATAATGTACGAGGGGTATGATGTATGGATGTAAATGAATGTGATGTATGTATGGAGCGAACAGACGGGAAGGCAACGGGGACCGAGAGTTGCGCAATTGCCGGAAGGGGGGCTTGCAGGACGCGAGGGGAAAGCTTCAGCGACGCGTAGAAAGGGATGGGATGGGATGGCAGCAGTTATGTAAAGAGTTCCTGGGGGGGAATGTGCAACACTCCCAGGCACCGAGGAAAGGGGGTAGAATGGGATGAGACGTCTAGATCGTAGGGTTAGGTGAGGATAAATTCCTTGTTTGGCAAAGTCCGGGTATGGGATCTGCCAACCGATGGCGAAAAGATCTGGTTCAAATCAAAGATGAGACCCTTACGCGCAGACTGAAACAGCCGGCGGCTCCTGTGTTAAGGGGGCTTGCTTGGATGCATCACTAGACGATAAAGTAGAGTAACAACCCCACATTTTTGCCCTCGTTGGCTGCTTAGCGAAAGGTTAGGGTTGGAATTTGGAAGGGTTGACATTGGCGGGGTTTCCCAACATTCTGGATTCTGGGGAAATAGGAGAGCTGGCATCTTCTTCAACATCATCAACGATTAATCTCTCCTCCATATATTATCAATCTATCAAATCAGGCAGAACTCTTCGCTGAAGAATTCACTCGAAGACATACAGCATGCCTATAGCATCAATTATGGCCGATACCTTGCCTGAGCACCCACCTAATGAGGCCATTCCTATGCGTGAAGATAGAATCTGGATAGACGGATGCTTCGACTTCACCCACCACGGTATATATGCTCTCGTTGTACACCCTTGATGTGTATTAATCGCATAGTAACGTATTGTAGGTCACGCTGGTGCAATGCTCCAGGCCAAACAGCTTGGTAAATACCTCGTTGTGGGTGTCCACAGCGATGAAGAGATCATGGAAAACAAAGGCCCCACGGTCATGAATCTCCGCGAACGCATGGCTGCTACTGCCGCTTGTAAATGGGCTGATCTCCCCGTGCCTGGCTCTCCTTATGTGACAGACCCCCATTGGATGGATCTTTATGGGTGCAAATTTGTTGTTCACGGTGATGACGTTACTACGGATGCTACGGGAGAGGATTGTTATCGTGTCGTCAAAGCCGAGGGACGGTTCAAGATTGTGAAACGAACCCCCGGGATCTCTACAACGGATTTAGTGGGCAGGATGTTACTGTGCACAAAGACACATCACCTCCGTAACTTGGGTGGAGTGTTGCTATCCGCCATTGACCCAGATCCGGAGAAGGATGACAGAGAGACCAAAGAGGCTGCTGAGCTACTGGAGCGGATAGAGGCATACGCCTCTGATTCCTTTGGGGTTATCGGTAAAGGCTCAACGGTGTTTGTGTACACGCCACGAACAAAGGCCTGTAATCCACTTGTTACCGGAGTAGGACCAAAAGAGGGGCAAAGGATTGTTTATGTCGATGGTGGGTTTGATCTGTTCTCGAGCGGACATATCGAGTTCCTTCGCCGGGTAGTTGAGAAGGAGAAAGAGGACGGGAACGAAGACATATATGTTGTTGCGGGTGTGCATGATGATAAGACCATAAACCATTGGAAAGGTCTTAACTATCCGATTATGAACATGTTTGAAAGAGGACTTTGCGTGCTCCAGTGTCGGGTTTGTTTATCGTTCCTGGTGACTCAAGGGATTATCAATAATTCATGGTGGCACAAATAGTACATTGACTCGATAATCCTATCCGCTCCATTCTCCCCAACGAAAGCTTTTCTATCAACACTCCCTACCGGAATTCCAGATGTGGTCTACCATGGACCCACGCAGTTCATGCCGGGCGAAGAAGACACGTAACTCTCCTAACCTTTTCTACTCAACGTCAGCTTACAATTGGTAAATAGTTACGCCGAAGCCAAAGAAATGGGTATATTCCAAGAGATTGGCGCGCATGAATTTGCGGGTGTTAATGCAGGGGAAATCATGGATCGTATCCTGAAGCAGCGGGCATTGTATGAAGAGCGGCAAAGGAAGAAGGGTGTCAAAGCACAAGAGGAGGATAACATGACGAACTAATCGTGTTAAGGGTTGTTTTGGGCTTAAAATTCATTTCCTGCCTGTTGAAAATAGCTTGTTTAAATTTGATAGAAATATAGAAATAAATTTAAGGTATGTGCAGTTGCTCTCAAAGAACCTAGGACGACAAACTCAACCCAGAATTTTCCTCCACCAAGGCAACGATATCTTGCCATTCCCTCATGGCCCCTGAACCAATGTCTCCGCAGGCCAGTGTTTTCTCCACTGGCCTCAAAACCTCCATCCACTCCCATTTCTCCAAAGTCGCAATGTGTTGTGCCGTAACCGGATGATTCCACATCGCTGTATTCATTGCTGGTGCTACAATGATCTTTTTTCCAGCTGAGCCCGGCTGCACAGTCGTATCCCAAGCCCTCGCTACACTCAAAAGTAAGTTATCGCATAATCCCCCCACAACCTTCGCCATACTATTCGCAGACAGCGGCGCAATAACCATCATATCCGCCCATCTTCTCAGCTCAATATGCAGCACTGGATCGCCGCGCTCCCATGTTCCGCTCTTGTTATGGGGGAAGCTCCATTCATCATCGTCAGTCCAAACCCTATGTACACCCTCGATATTGAATGGGTTTTGTAGGAATTTGGCAGCTGATGATGTGAGGATGACATGAATGCTGAGGGTGTTGCCGTACCGTTCGGAGAGGGTAGAGGCGATAAGTGGAAGCTTTATAGTTGCGACAGAACCGGTGCATGCGAGAAGAAGGTGAAATTTCGCATCAGTAGAGTGTTCGAGTGCGGTGAACGGTTTTGGTGGAGGCGGGGACCTTGGGGACTCCATGGGGTGCTTGGTGGGGGGTTTGGGCTCCAGGGATTTCGGGATGTCGGAGGTGTGGCAACGCTGGACCTTTTGGGAAAGGTGACACATGCATCATGAAAGATCACTCGAAACTAAGTATACGTTTTTTTTGAATACACCTTTTCGAGGGGGCTTCACATTTTCGTTGGTAGAAGTACATGTAATGTATTCACTACTTGTAAGTACTCCGGCCTTTCTTCCACCTTTCCATCCAAGCACACGCAAATATCCATCGCGATGAGTGTTTTCCGAATCGAACGCTCCAGCGACGATCACGCCGTCTACAGCGGCTTTGATGTTGGCGGGCCTTGTAGGACGCCAGTAATTCAAAATATCCACGCCCTCGTCTCTGAAATCGAACCGAAACTACGCAAGTTGGGGCGGGACATGAGGCATAAAGATTACACACAGGATGAGATCAGATATATCCAGAAGTGGAATCGAGTGCTGGAAGACGACGACTTTTGTTTCTACTTTCCGCATCTCGAATCCAACTACGTCCTCAAGACCGGCAACTCCCTTCTCATATGGTACCACGAATCGTTGCGTAAACTGGCTCGGACAGAAAAGTACGTGGAGCATGAGTTCTTCGCGGAAGAGCTGGTGCGTGTGGAGGAACCAATTGCATTGATACTCCACACCTTCGAGTCATCTTTCCGCGGGGGGTGCGGAAGGTACGAAGGGAAGCATTTTAGGTTTGATCTTAGAATTTATCTTGATGATCTCACGGGAAAACAGACCAACGAAACGGGGTTACGATTTGTCCAGATTTACGCCTGTCCGGAGAAGAGAACGGGGGATATATTCAGAACGCTCTGTGGTAGCAAACTAAAGTGGAATTACGGCCTTTCTCCTATCAACGGATTTCCTCCGATAGGCTCCATTGCCACGGATCGGGAATGCGAGTTTGATGATAAGGTACGGATTGATGAGGGATTTCTTGAGGGGTTTGGAGCAGCAGCAGGGTACTTCGAATTGGGGAGCACTCTGTGGTATAACTGGTATCGGGATTTTGAAGAGGATGAGTCGGTCGATAGTACGAATTGGGCTGCTGTATTCCAAGAGGATGTACGCTTGCTGTGCTCTCCGTTCTGGCCTAATCGTGGTCAATGATAGGAATGATGTAGCAAAACTGGAGACAGTGGCCAACTTAGAGGGATAGGTGGAGGGGCGTGGATCGTATAAAATAATTAATCCCTCAATTTCCTTCTAGAATTCTACAATCTTTAAATTTAAAATGTTGCCAGCTTGTGTAATTACAAGTACGCAATACCTACTCCAGTCATAATTAAGCTTTTAAGCCTCCATGCTTGGTGTAAGGGCCGGGAGTGCGCCTGTTCTGTTCTTACAGGAAACACATGATGCCTACAACCCGATCGAGTAGGTAACAGACGGCTAAAGATAATGATGTTTAATGTCAACCATCAGTGGGACTCCCGCTTATTTCGTTATTGTTTCTACCTTTCTTCGCCCCTCAATTGCGTTTTGTCTGAGACAAAACCTCAAGCGGGGGAGTTCTTGGCAAACGCTATCAGTCTTACCGATAAAAGCTGCCAGGAATGATGATTACCCCAGTGTTACATCCATCTCACCGTGGTCCCATGAGCTCCATTAGAATGCTGGGCCATATTAGACTTCTCACTCAGCATGTCTCCATGCGCTCCTCCGCGCTCAGGAGCTTCTCAAGGACCTGTCGACCCTCGCCCTCACTTATACGGTATACCTCACGCCCAATATCTCTAATCCCATGCCCACAGCCCTCACGTCTAGCTACAACCCTCGTGATCCCCGACTCGAAATCTCCACCAGCCCCTGAGGTATATACACCTCCCACTACTGGCATTCTTTCCTACCTCCCTTCCTCCGTTGTCCCCTATGCCGAACTTGTCCGAATCGACAAACCCACGGGTACAACCTATCTCTTCCTCCCATGCATGTGGTCCACCATTCTTGCCTCCACAATGGTTGATCCGGTCCATCCTCTTACCTCCGTGGTCTATACTACTCTTTTGTTCGGTACCGGCGCCATCATCATGCGCGGCGCTGGCTGTGCAATTAACGACCTCTGGGACCGCAATATCGATCCCAAGGTCACAAGAACAAAGTTCCGACCCATTGCCCGAGGTGCTATAACGCCCGCAGCAGCACTGGTATTTACAGCGTCGCAGTGTCTGGCAGGGCTGGCTGTGTTGGTACAGTTCCCTGTTGAGACCATCGTGTATGGGATTCCATCGCTGGTGCTAGTTGGGTGCTATCCACTCATGAAAAGGATCACGCATTACCCACAGTTTGTGCTTGGGTTGTCATTTTCTTGGGGAGCAATACTAGGATTTCCGGCGATGGGGTTGAGCCTGATGGAACCCACCGTTGCTATGACGGCTGGGCTACTGTATGCGAGCAATGTGGCCTGGACGGTGCTCTATGATACAATATATGCGCACCAGGATGTAAAGGATGACCTCAAGGCCGGAGTGAAGAGCATTGCCGTCAAGCACGAGTCGCACACTAAGTACCTCATGACTGGGTTAGGTGTAGTCCAGATTGGACTGTTAGCAGGGGCTGGCGCAGTGAGTGGATGTGGGCCCATCTTCTATGGGCTGAGTTGTGGTGGCGCCGCGGCAGGCTTAGGGTATATGATTAGGAAGGCCAATTTGAAGGATGTGAAGGAATGTTGGTGGTGGTTCAAGTGGTGCGCATGGGCTGTTGGTGGAGTTGCCGTAGGTGGTGGGTTGTTTGGGGAGTATCTGGCCGTGAGGACGGGAATATATGGTGAGGAAGGCTGGTGGGGTATGGGAGGGAGGAGGCAAAGGGTGCTCGGAATAAATACTGGAGAGGGCATTCTCATGATTAGGGAATAAATAGCTAGTTGTATTAATAAAGATTTGGATAAGATGATACCTATACAACATGAAATATCACTACATTCTTATAATGGTCGTTTACAAGGTTTCGGCGTTTGATTCATACCTAGAAATGAATACCTACACCCCTCGAGTGATAATTTATGAACCGAGGCATCCCGGACAGCAAACCAGAGCCGATCCGGTCCACCTCAACATACAGGTGCAAAAGAAGGTCAATCCAACCCCAACACTGTCTAACGCTCTTAGTCCCCGTTGATTTTCCCTAAGAGGCAGCTAGTTAGTCTGTTTGAGGATGGTTAGAGTCAATCGACTTGATATTAATAAACATAGAGTGAAAATATAGATAGGGTAGTGCCCGTGAGCTCGCCGGAAAGCTTGTGTACGCGCGAGAGGCGGCGGATCGGAAGAGGTTGACATTAAAGGTTAATACCATCTCCTAAAACGTTAGGATGTGCTTATTTCAAAACTAAAAGTTCCAAAGGCTTTCGTGTCTTCAAAAGTCTGATGATATATATATATATTTAATTATTCTCCCAGAAGACCTATTCGTTTCATTGCTCGTTTTTTCGAATTTCCCAAGTTCTAAGATACATCTACTCTCATTCGAAGGTCAAAGGTACATTGAATTCAACAATCTGTTGGTACTAGAGCCGCATTATCGTGCTCTTCCAATCCCTTCTGAAAAAAAATATTGAAAATAAATAATAAGCCTAACCTACAGCTGCTTTCATAATATACGTAGCTACCTGGTGGGACTGGATTTAGATCGAAACCTTAAATTGATTGCTCACTAACTACATGTATAGTACTAGGATCCCGCTAGATACATAAAATGTATGTACGTAATTGCATCTACATGACAAATTAATCGAGATTGCTTGAATACATAATAAACGATTTGTAATTTATAGCTTTTGAACATCGCATTTTATGTGGATGAATGTTTGTGTGGCTACATGTACATGTAGTATATAGATAAACCAAGTACATACATACATGTATGCAACCTGTATTTTAAAGGTTTTGATTGGCCGAATTTTGGATGTTTTCTTTTTCTCAACTAGTGGCGATCGATTGGAATTTATCTTTATTGTTATGTATTCAGTGATTGTACAGCGCCATGCCATAAGTCATGGGAAGACGCGAGGTCGCAACGCCTGAACACAAAATCTTTCACCACCACCGATGGCGCCCAGAGACCATGTATCCCGCCAGACAGCTAGGAGGGAATGACCAGCCTCCCTGCTGTGGCAAAAAACCGGAGTCTTACAACTCTGGTTGGAGGAGAATAGGGTAGATGTTCTGGAGGACTGGCTTGCCTATTCCATCCCATTGAACATGTTTGGGTGCACCTCAAGAAGCTTTACCATCAACAATACCCCCATTTGGCATATGGTACTAGATCACCTTAAGTATTGAAGCCCCTTATGGAGGAAGGTCTAATTCATTGCTGGGAACTGTTACCTGATGATTTCTTTGGTAGCTAGTTGAGAGCATGCCTAGGAGAATAGTGCTGTTATAAAGGCAAGGGGTTGGTACGCCGCGCCTTCCCATGGTTTATGGCCTAGAACTATAATATGTTTTTGGTGGTTATATAATGTATGTTGTAAGTGTTTGGTGGTTAAGAAAAAGATGTATATAGGTGATCAATATAATCATTAATTTGATTGATTTTGTTAGGTAGGGTTATCAATCCCAATTTATTACTGGAACCAGTTATTGTTCATTTCATTACCTACACCGGCCAAAGGCCGGAAGACTTGTAGGATGATATTTATCATCACGCTACGCCTGCAACCTAAGGTGAGGTTGCTGCTGCTGCATACATGTAGAGTAGTGTCGTACAACGGCCGCATTATCACCCATGGTTGGCGCGTCTTCTCACCTTTGTACTTACTTGTCTATCAACTTGCTTCTTTGGCTCCCATCTCCATCACTTTCTCAATCCCACAACGCTGCTTCTCTTGACCAAATTTCTCGCACCGCCTTTATCGTCACCTATCCACGAGCACTACCGGTACGCCCACTACCATATTATTTGTTGGCCGGAGGAAATTCGCTCTGTCTGCCAATAGAGGGCCTTCGACGATGACATCCGCGGCGAAGAAGCTTGATCGCGTCAGGGACAGGGCGGGATTCACACCGATTCCCCCCAACCTTGACATCAATGAGCTAGTAAAGAGCTGTAGGAACTTTCATCATGTATCTCGAGCTGATGCTCGCACTTTTAATTCTGCGGAGCGCCTTAAAGAGATGATACAGTCGCAAGTGATCGACGGTGGGAAGCCATTAGTGTTGGAAAATTGGCATGAGACGCCTGATTGGCCAAAGTGGATTTTCAAGCCGGAGTGGTTGGTGGACAATCATGGACAAGACCGTTTGTGCCTCCCAAAGGTCTTTTTAGACAACATTTCGCTCGTTTGCTAATGTGCTATTGTATTATAGCGATCAACATCCGGGATATATCATCAATGAAAGACCACTCCTTTTCAATGAAACACTATCTCAACTCTCTTAGCGTATTGGCTTCAAAATTCACTGCACAAGATTACGATGGCACCAAACAACGATTATATGCTAAGGATATCGATTGTCCGCCGGCTTGGCAAAAATCTCTCGAGAAGATACTGCCAGCATGCACATTCTATCTTTCATCTGCTGATCTCATGTCCCATCTCCCTATAGATGCTCGCGCTGAGAATCTTATGTGCTATTTCGGGCATGAAGGTACCTATACTCCTGCGCATAAAGAGATGTGTGCTTCTCTGGGGCAGAATATAATGGTTTATACATCACCCGGGGGCTCGTCATTATGGTTTATGACTGCGTCTGAAGATCGAGATGTGGTAGCCGAGTATTGGTTAGGTGGTCTTGGACATGATATTGAAGTCGAGTCGCATTTTGCTTCCATTGAGGCTTTAAAGAATGCACCATTTCCCGTATATATCATTGAACAAAAAGTTGGCGATTTTATTCTCGTCCCGCCGTTGGCTCCGCATCAGGTCTGGAATCGTGGAGAGGCAACAATGAAAGTGGCTTGGAATCGTACGACTGCGGAAACTCTAAAGCTTGCAATTGAGGAGTCCCTTCCGAAAGCTAGACTCGTCTGCCGCGACGAACAATACAAAAACAAAGCAATAATTTACGAGACATTAAAACACTACCATCGTATCCTTTCCAGAGAAATTAGCCGGGACCATGATATCTCGCTCTCAAAATTAAAGGCAGATTTTTGTATGCTTTTCGAGCTCTTTGATATGATCATATTGGACGAGCACTTCTCGCCTGTATACGAGGGGAGGGTGGAGGTTAAAAAAATCCCAAACGAGTTCAATGTTACATGCTCGTTTTGCAGGGGGAATATTTTCAATCGCTTCCTGTCGTGCAAGCGCTGTGTGGAGCCTTCTGACGATGAGGATGGCGATGATGATGTTTATGACATCTGTATGGAGTGTTATTCCCGGGGAAGGAGTTGCGCATGCATCTCAAAACTTTGCTGGGAAGAACAACATGACTGGAATACACTCCTTCGGGATCACGAGAAATTCAGGATGCAGGTGATATCCATTGAGGGTGCTGTGACTGAGAATAGCCCAAGGAAACTCGCCACCGCATTCAAGAACATTGAAAAAAAGTCACTGGCTTGGGTTTGTCAAGAGCAGCTATTAGCTAGGCCTTTTGTAGATGTCACCAAAGATCCATCGTTGGACGATGTTGTAAGTTTCTATTATGTACTGGTGTTTTGTACGATTCTATTGATATAAGCTAACTAGCGAGCTTGAAATTAAGGATGATGCGAAGGATATTGAACGCAAGAAAAGGATGGGATTACTTGTCAACTGCCACGTCTGTAAAGTTAGGCATCCTGATTGGAAAATAGCCAAGTGCAATGCCTGCTCAAAGGCGTACTGTTATGGGAACCTTTGGCGTGCATTCGATATTGACCCGTTTGAGGTGAGCATGAGCTTAATTGCAAATATTATAACCTCCTCTAACACATCGAATCCAGGTGCTCTGCGATGCTGAATGGAAATGTCCCTTTTGTCTTGGGATCTGTTCTTGCGGGCAATGCCGTAAAAACGGCAAGATGGTCCCCTACGAACCGAAGGGAACTATGCTTGGGGCTTCCACAAAGCACGTAGCTGACCCTCGAAGTGTTGAAAGTCTTGTGGATTTCTCGAGAGGAAACCTCACATGGTTGTCAGAAAACATTGAATCGCTGAAACGAAAGCGAAGTTCAGCTGGAACTGATGATGGCGATGCGATTGCGAGGTCCTTCACTTCGTTCGATGAGTATGGTACAATTGATGAAGAGGACGAGGGCTACGGCTTACAATATAATGGGGAAATACCAATTGACCCCAGTCTCGCGGTTTCCTCCGACGAGGCGCCTAAAGCGAGGGATGATGACTACCATGAGCCTGACCTAGATGGTAGTGTCAGAAATGGTCAGTACATCGCTAATTATCCCTCCTCAGTCTTAGTGGAAAGGGTGCATTTCCCTTATTTATATTTTATCATTCCAAGATCGGGTTCTAATATCAGTTTGTCTTCAGGGCTCATATCATCAAGCGGATGGCAAAGCTTCAGCGGTAGCTTCGGCAACAAAATCGATAAGAACACCAGGGGCAATGGAAAGAAGAGGAAATCCCTTAGATAAGCAGCCTTTATTGCCGTCCCCAAAAGATATGTTAACAGGAGCTCTACCGTTGAGAAGACGGGAAGCCTTATCACATGATACCATTTTATCCCACCCTAGTAGTTATTATTCTTCCGAGGTTCGAAACATGTTCGATAAGCCACAATCTAAAGATTTAAAGGATGATATACAACCTTATACCCACCAATCTCTTTCGCGCATCGATGCAGATAACCAATCGATGTGGCCTGAAATGAGCTCTTTAGAGAGAAACCCAGAAGCATTTATTGCGGCAGCTGGGTTAAGCATACTTTCTGGCATAGAATCTTACCCTGGTGAACTTAGTAGTTCTTCGGAGGCGATAGGAAGCCATTTGTTGGGAGCCTCCTCGTCTTGGCCAGCAGCCTCTACAATTACTGCCACTGGACTCCCGGAAGACCTGGCGTGCTATGCCGGAGGCATCTTGCACAGCCCTCAAACGACTCGCGGACGTGATCGTGACGAAGCAGAAAACACAGCAAACCCATTACCCGATGATACCTATAATCCCATAGCGCCCATCATGCTCGCAAAAGCCAAACGCAGAAGTAATCCATACGGAATATCCGCTGCCACCAGCGAGATCATTGGCGTCAATGGCACCTTCCCAATGACCGAGCCTACCCTGTCCATGTACGAACTCATGGCCAATGATCAGGCAAAGAAGCAGAAGCGCGCCAGATATATCGCCTCTAAGGGTAAAGGACGAAATAAGAAAACTTTAGTTGTTAAGTTGAAACTTGGTGTGGAAGCTTGGCAGAAATGGGAAGAAAAGACGGTTGAGCCAGATATGATCACGGAGTACTATATGAAGGGAGGTAGGCTTCATAAAGTAACGGCCAGGAGAGACGATATCGGGGTTGGCAGTGCGGATGGCAGTGCGGATGGTAGTAAACGACAAAGGGGCAGGCCTCGGAAGAGTGCACCAACAGTATCGGAAACGAACTCTGACCAAGAAAAAGATGATGAGGAAGACGAGGATGAAGATGAGGACGAGGACGAAGAGATGGAGGTGATTCCTGAGCCCAAATCCCGCCGTAGAGAAAGCGCCTGGATTGCGCGCAAACGCGAAGAGGAAGCCGCGGAAGCCGCCGAGAAGGCCATCAAAGACGCAAAATTCGCCCAAGAAAAGGCAATTGAAGATGCCCAACAAAGGATCATTGATGAAAGACAAAGAATTATGAACGAAAATAGGGCAGCGGAAGAAGAGAAAATAAGGAAGGAAATAGAGCGATTGCAGGCAATTGAGGACGAGAAGGAGGAGCGCCGAAGAGCATATCAGGAGGCAAAGGTACTGGCTGCTGAGGTTGCCGAGGGCATGCTTGAAGACACACGGGGAGTTGATAGCGACGAAGAAGACAACTTTCGTATGGACGAAGACGAAGATATTCCGCAAGAGAGAGGGGCATTTTGGGAATCGCAGCTACCAGGCTCAAACTTTGCGGTTGTAATCGAGAAACGTCCAGGAATTTATTGGAGGTCACAATACGCCACTGAAGCTGAACTTTCACTGAGAGCTGGATTGGCCCTAAGGAATGCTACGAAGACTGCCCAACCCATATCGGTACCGACAACGGCTGTCCCAATTACGCGAGACTCAATACTCCCCACACCTCAGAGCAAGATAAATACGGCTAGGAATCCCGCACTAAAAACATGGAGAGTGGAAAGATCAGTTCCAGTTAATCGTACCACTCCAAAATCTCCAGCTCCAACAGGCTTAGTGCGCAAACCTAATCTTTCACCAAAAGTAAATATTGCAGCGAAAGCACCTGTCCCTAAACCTTTAGATTGTGAAACTACGAGTAGCAGTAAATGGCAACCACCAATCCAAAAGACTAGTACCGAGCTCGAAAAAAGCATGCCTACCACCGAATCCTTCAAAGATAAATGGTCTATAATTAAGGATGAATCATCGGGATCAGAATGGGGTGATGAAGCGTGGGGAGGTGATTCAGCTAATGTGGCTAAGAAATGGATGTATTAGAATCACGGACAGACGGTCATGTTGGGTGTGCTGATGTTTTATAGCTTTATGTTTCTTTTCTTTCCCTTATGGACCTCCTAGTTTTCCTAGTTAATTCCTTCTTGGAGTCATTTTATTTTCTTGTTGGGGTGCTAAATAAGCATGTGTTGTTGTTTGTAATTATGGACAACTGGTAGGTTTCAGGCAAGGGGGAGTTTGTATATTCGAGTCTACGTAGATAAGGGCGTAGAGCGTATAGTCACAAAATCTCAAGATCGAACAACCACTCAGAGCCTGGCTGTTGAGTCAATTTAAGTATTAGTATCATAGGTCATCACTCGCAACAAAAACCGTTAGCCCTCCCTTATCATAGTTATCACTTGCATAGAAAAAGAACAATAGAAATGACACAGGTCATTGGTATAATACCATTTCCATTTTCCATCCAAACGACTAGATAACAATATCCTCTCCAGGAATAGCAGGTGACAGGGAAAGACAAAGGAAAAATATCAGGAAAAGACGGAAATGAAAGACTATTCAATTTTACAATCTTCCTCCTAATTCTCCCGGCCGGGTTATCCCACTGGCCACGGTGAAAAATCAAGCTGCAGTTCTACAACCAATCTAACCCAACCCAACCTCGTACACACAGTAGGACAGCAACTAAAAGCTCTCTTGTCCAGCAGAAACGTACTGAACTACAGCTGCAAAAAGAAAAGAAACGGAAGGGGGTATCATGCATTGCTGTTTTTGCTGAAGATCCGATTCTTATTCCCGGCCCAATTCTTATTGCTCCACAAACCTTTTTTTACTATTTCGCTCCTTTTTTTTTACCCCTAAAATAGGAGGCTTCTTTTTCTTTTCTCTTTCAGAATTACAGAAATTAACCCTAACTCGAGAATACGAGTCACAAACGCATACATCGTATCGACCATAGATAGATTACCACTCGTACTCTCCATTAGCCTTGTGGAAAACATATCTGAGACACCGGGTTAGTGAAAAAGTAATCATGATAAAAACAGGGGATTAGAGGGAGCTCACTCTTTCCCATTAATCGTTAAAACACCATCCTTAAGCACACACTTCCACTTGTTCTTAGTTCTTTGGACTTTATCGTACATGCACAGCATGATTTGTGGAACTTCATCTTCATCCTCGTTATCAATTTCATCATCCTCGGGATCGTCAAGATCCGAATTAATGGCATCTTCATCGGCAATGTCTTCATCAGAATCACCATCAAGTTGCGAAATGCCAACAGGACGAGGAGTCTGGGACGAAAGTAAGGTGGATGGGTATGGATAAGAATTAGCGCCATCAAGGGCAGCCTCGTACGCATCTTGTCTCCTTGGACGACGTTTCTTAGAAGACTTGGATGAAGAAGTTGTTTTAAGACCCTTCAGAGCATTTGTTAGCTCCTCGGTAGCCTTAGCGCTCTCCCGTTCCGCTGCTCCGATCCTGCGAAGCAATATGCGGTCCGCTTCATCCCGACTGATATTGCCATATCCCTCTATTGGTACATCATCGGCGCCATCATGCTGCGGGATCCCGTTCTGTCCGTTCTGTTGTCTTTGCTGAGAAAGAGCTGGTAACACCAACCCACCGCCATTAGGTCGCACCTGCGGGTTCATATTGATCTTCTGTGCAACATTTTGACGCGCCCTCTGTTCGGCGAGAGCGGGGTTATGTGTTGGGTTGCCTGGAGTGACGGGGGGGCCATAGACTCCTTGCGGGTCTAAGCCAGGTTCGGGCTTAATACGAACGCCGCCAGTGTTCTGGCCCATTATACCGGCGGAATTTTGAGCATTAGCCTCTTGCTTGATGCCCGGTTGCTGCGGTTGGGCTTTAGTGGGGGATGTGGGGGCTGGCTGGGCCGGTGTGGGTGCAACAGTCTCTGGTGGTGCAGGGTCCCATGGGAAATGAGCAACATGAAGGTCCGAAAGTCTCTGCTGCCAGACCTGCGCAGAACAAAGAGTATTGTCAGCAAGGATAGCACTGATTGTGGCAAAAGGAAGTAATATAACCAAATCAGGCAAGCCCAGGTGAGCAAAATACGTGGGGAAAACAGGGAAGTAAATCAGCAACCATCCCCTAAGGGCAGCATATAAAAGCGACCCCGCAAAAATGGGTGTGAGGCACATAAAAGGGAAATCGGGCGCGCCCATAAAAAGGGGATAGAGGAGCCGCCAGCCAGCCAAGCGCCTTGAGTTGAAATGGAAGATGGCAACGAAACGGAAGAAACCAACTCTCAGCTTACCTGCTTCAACTCTTCCAAGGTCGATGCATTAACGCCAGCTTCCTCGAAATCGATAACACTGGTGTCGATAACATCCTGTATGATGCGCTGGTAAACTTCACCCTATTTTCCCTCAACCAACACCCGAAACACGAGACACACACGAGTCAGCGCGCGGACCGGAAGAAATGAAAATGCGTACAAGAGATGAAGGATAGGACAGACGAGCAAGGAGATAGAAGAAAAGGAAGAAGCAAGGAACACTAACAACTAGCTGATTCGACATATTGTCTAATATCGATGTATAGCTGGGTGGACGGACAATAGGAGTAAATGGGAGGGGCGGGGGCTTTTTCTTTTGGGGAGAGTTGAGGTAGAGAGGGAAGATCTCGGGGGGTACGCGATTGTGCGGGATGAATCCGCAGTGGGATTGACAGAAGCTTCTGGACGAAGCGAAGGATGAGATACGGATATCACGGACGGCGAAGTCTTTGTCTATGAAGATGACTCTTTCGCTATGGAAAAACCTGCGATAGCGATGGAGCAGGGGGTGAGAGATTCGAGGCCGAGAGGCAAGATCTATTTCTTTGAGGCCTGTAGTGTCTCTGGTGATAGTGTCCAGAGGCCGCTGGAATTTTGAGGGTGAAAGCTCGGATTAGTCAGCCGATGCACTTGGCGCGAGCTGGGTAGAGCTACGAAAGAGCCGCAGCACAGTCTCTGTTACTGTCTCTCAGCCTCATACGGTGAGGGCAGCTTTATCTGTACATATGTGGGTATGAGTACATCTAAGTATTACAGCAGGCATTACATAGGTGTATCAAGTATAAGATATATACTTCTATTCCTCTTCCCGTTTCTTTCACTTTCGCTCTCTTTCAATTTTGAGATGATAGCTGTGATTTTATCATGGTTATGATCGAAGGAGTCTGAGCCAAAGATAATCCTCACTAGATGGTTCATGACCACCTGTAGTATTACAGGTGTCTATCCTATCGTATCCAAATTGCGTAGTACTATATGCAACACATGTACCTGGCCATGTACCTACATACCGCTTGTTAAAGTACATGTAGGTATTGTTCCCCACAAGATTATCACCACCAAGCTTAAGCATCAAGTGTGACGCTTTCCCATGCATGAAATTGCGGATGATTCTCCGCGTGGCTTGAGAGCGAGTTTCTTTTGCCAAGTGTTTTCCCCGTAGCCTCAATGCCAAGCCAGTACTAATGTGCCACAGCACTAAGTATTGTTGTCACCCGCCACAGTGACGAGACATGACATCACAGTTGAAATTCGTGATGGTGACGACACCTTCTTAACCAATCAGCCAATATGTCCCATCCTGCGAACAACGCTTGTACCGAGGAAACCCCTTCCCTATGTCCGGGTTCGTTCCTCAACACCCTTTAACACGGCACAGAAACAGGAACATGAGTCTACTTCAAGGAATCTAGGGAACTTGCAAGGGACAAGACAAGGAAATCCAATCGGGCTCCAAGTTCCACTTATGCAGCTGGGTTCTGATTAGATCGTGAATTACAGGAACAGGATTGATCATGCATATGGAGATTGAAAACGGCATTCTCTACTGGCTGGTGGAGAGGACCGGTATGCGGTCATTTTAGTAGACGTGTGGTCCAAGAAATAATTACTTAAATACCTTCTGCCGTGCCCTCTTCTCCAAAATACTCCTTCCTCATCCCCCAATTCGACTCATCCATTCAATATCTCACGAGAACTTTACACGCTTCTGCACTTAACCTATAAATCAACTCAATCACTTACAATGGCATCGTTAGTCTCTCCAGTCCCATGATTACTTTATAATCAATTGTCTTATTATCCCATTCATCCATTATACTCATATAAGTAAAGTAATATACTGATATCTTAAAGCCTCCACTATCTTCCTCCTGTCAAGCCCTCCGCCGTTGCCCTGGGTACTCTCTTCACCCATACCACCAACCTTGCCGTCATGGCCCCTCTTTTTGGCGAATCCTACCAAAAGGCTATGAATGCCGACTCCAAGCAAGAATGGATCAAGTCGAAGGAAGCTGCTAAGACTGCCACTCTTTGGGGTTCCAACGTTATCGGTTCAGGAGCCCAAACCTACGCCATTGCTGCCCTACTTACTCAAACTGGTGTTCTCACCTACAAGGGTGCTGCTTATGTTGGCGCGCTCATTTTTGCCGCCACGAGCGTTCCCACCGTACGTTTATCCTAACTATCATTTCATCGAATATATATTAACTACTGTTGCAGGTCGTTTCTCAACTATTCCAGGAACGCCGCCCAGCAGAGTACATTGCTATTCGTGCTACTGCAGGATTGATTGAGACTGTTGGATTATCAGTATTTTTGACTTGGTGGGGAATTCGTCCCGCTCACGACTTGCTCAGATAAGCGGGCCTTCTGAGGAGTTTTTGTTTTATTTAATATTTGAACTTGACATGTGCTGTTATTTTGTATGATTAGAAGTGCCGAGCTAGGCGTTGACTGAGGATGAGGTCACTAGTAAATAAATATGTGAGCTTGTGATAATTGATGACGCATATCACAGTCTCGAGTGAGATTACATGATCTAATATGAATGTGCTAAGGACTGTCCTAGTTGAAGGTTATGTAAGTATCTATCTTAACTGGATAAGACCGATCCTATAGTTTATTGCGCTTATTTCAATAACAATAACTACAGGTATGATCTCATGTGATGGCTCAGGTTGTTGGCATCATCATTCATCACTCGGTGTTCATAATTTTGAGCCTCACTGGGGTTTTTTTTTTGTTTAATTCATTAATTGCATTGAGCCTCATTGGGTATAATCAGCCATCATATCTCTTTTCGATTCCGGAGTAATAAGTAAATCATATTATCTCTACAGTCGCCTAAAAATCAATCTCATATTCCATGGCTATTGATATAAGTCAACCTCTCCTTACAGTTCTCCTTAAACCTGGTCTATCCGCTATCCCAATTTCTCGTTGAGAATTAAAAATATTTCCTCCAACTCTACCAGGTCCTTGTTCAGTCCCTGGTCTTATTCCTCCATCTTGGAATGAGCTCACCTTCGTCCCGGGCCGTGGTGTGCCCCAGTTTGGGGCTTCAACAGTATTTACCCCCCTACCCAACGAATTATCTTGTCGACTAAAAAAGCCAGTCTCTCCTAAACCAGCACCATATGAACGATTCAGGCTTCCCTGCTGCTGCTGCCTAATAAAGCTTGAAACACTGGCGGGCCGTCGTGTCAAATTTCCAATGCTTGGTTCATGATTCCCAGCAATATTTGAGGTGCGGGGGCTCAACAAAGAACGGACTGACTACACTGTCTCCCCCTTTGTTGGTTGTCTTTGGGGTGCCCAGAATGGCAGACTGTCCACCTCTTTCGTAAGGGTATGTGGCGCTTTCTCCTTTCCGTATCAGGGACGGGGGTTATCATCCCGATTTCTTGGGGAATGGAAAGCTGCCGTCTTATTTTGTAACAGTGGAGACATATTGTTTTTATTCCCATATCTTATCGCGGATTGTGGTGGCTGGTTGATTGGAGATGTGAAATACCTATCTCCCGAGCCCCGTATAGGGAGTGTATTTATGGGTCTTGGAGTTGATATCTTAAGAGGCGATTGAAATGGAGTGTTGATGTTACCCGCATAATCCTTTTGTAGTTTATCTCTACTCTGCTGTTTGTTTGTAAATCCACTCTGCTGCGGTCCCATAAGATCGGGCGATTCTGTAAGATCGATGAAATGCCTTCCATGATTGGTAGGAAATCGTTCTCGCTCAGAAAGATTGTGACGTTGTAGATTAAGTTGCGGAGATGTATTGCTTCTACAAAGTGGCTGATCTTCATACACACGTTGCTGCTGAGCTCGAGTTGAATATCCTAATTGTTGAAATTGATAACTATATTCGGATTGTTCTTCACTTTGCTCCTGCCTTGGCTCAATATATTGTGCTTCTTGTCTATTATCTTGGTATTGCTGGATTGCCCGTTGTGGTACAGGTGGGGGAGGCATGGCCTGAACCTGCGCCTGTCTCTTATTCATTTCGTTTCTGAATTCCCTAGCCCTAAAGGCTGGGTCACCACCTAAATCATCAGCTTTTCTTTTAAGAAAATTTTGGTTATCCTGGGCTATGGTGAAGGGCGAAGCTGAGCCTTGCCGAGTAGCCCTTGTTTCTGGTTGCTGCTGCTGCTGCTGCTGAGCTGTTCCTGGGACATCATAATCCAAAGAAGATAACTGGGCAGATGACAGCTGAGAGCGAAGCTGGGAAACCTCTTCACGAAGTTTTGCTATCTCTTCCTCCATCACTGACTTGTTTCTACTCATATGTCAGTGAATGCATGGCGACAACCACTTGAAAGGAAAAACCATGCTTTTTTAGCTCTTTCCCCTCCACAAGTTCATCTTTCACCTTCAGCAACACCCTTCTCTGGTCGTCAACCTTACCCTGTAGCTTCTCGGCAAGCGCTCTGTAATGCGATGCTATCCGCAACGCATTACTCATTCGAAACTGTCAATCCCAGTCAATTATTTGCTTGAAAGCAGTGGGAACGCGAGATGGATGAACTTTGATAGCGCCAGTAACATCCTCCAGAAGTTCCGCTTCAGAGCGGAAATAGTCACGTAGTTCCACAGAAACCTGGTTCAAAAGGAACATGAGAATCAGAGTTCTAATTTCGGTGGAGTAGACAGCCCACTTTACTTTACCAGCACCCAAATCGGCTAGAGATATACCACCACTACCACAGTAGGGGCAAGCATGAGTTCTTTCCGCTGCGTCCTGGGGAACTACTATTATCAGCTCCTCCCTTCTAATCATTACTGGTTATTCCCGTACCACCGTTAGGGAAACAGTGTGACCCGCACACGATATGACCACAGCTTGTCAACCAGAATTGTGGGTCACCTCCACTCGTGTTGCCTAGGCCATTGGAAACAGGAATAAAGCAGACACAGCAGTATGTAATAAGGTCTTCTGAATTTCTGCCTGATGTATAAGAAGACTGGTTTCGAGTAGCTGGGGATGAAGAGTTAATGGATGAAGTGTTAATTGCGGACATAGATGAAGCGTCAGTTGATAATTTGTGATCCACAGAAATCAATCAAACATGATTTCACAAATCCAGGAACAAATAATTTTCCCTTGCACCAATGCGGCCCACAGGCAAGTCCTTCCCGTCCCCGTGAAGCGTGATGACCGCAGTCCGCCGTCCGGGCATATGCCGGACCCGACAGGGTTCTTACATAAGGATTTCTTGGCACCGGGCAATCCCAACGACATCCCTCCCCTCCGTCAATTCGCGATGGCAACAAATTCGAGCCCAGCTCGCCGCTTTCGTTCTTTGTCTATCTCAAAGGTATTTCGCCATCTTTTCATTAAAAAGGTCGCAATTACGCTGACACACGATCTCTACAGCATCTCCCCTCATTATAGTAGCCTCAACAATGTCTGTCCAGCCCGTTGTCAAGGTTCGTCAACCATCTGGCATCACATCACATCTATATCAACTTTCTGATAAATCTAATGATATAGAAATACACCGTCGGCTCTGTCGGAATTTGGGAGAAGATTCGCCGATTTCTCGCAGTCGACCCTGAGCGATCATCCGGTATCCCTCTCAACCAGCACTTCCGTAACCCCGCCCCCGCCTCTGTCCCCGCATCCGACTACACGGACCCTGTCACCGTTCCCGCGGCTGACATCGCCGAGAACCCTTACTGGAAGCGTGACACAAGACGCGACTACCCTCAGTTGAGCACTCTCAGGCAGTCAGATATCGCAGGCCTTTTGACTGTAGGCTCTGTTGCGAACCCAAGGATTGGAACTGGCGCAGAGGGCGAGAAACAGCTTGTTACCATCAAGGAAGACAGTGCAAAAGGGGTTCTTTCATTGGCATTTGAGAAGGGCGGCGCGAAATCTATCAGTGAGGTCCTTGGAGCCGGCGGATTGCCGCCGTTGCCTGGGAATGGTATGAAGTGGACCATTGACTCGAGCGAAGGATATCCATCAAAGTATGGCAATTCTCTTACCTATTCCCTGTAGGCTGTCTTGATTTTAACAATTTCTTTAGGTACCCTTGCCGAACCCTCAGGTAGATGTTGAACGTTCGTTATAGAGTTGGATACAGAGTACATAGTTCATTCGTTTTTCTTGCGTTGTCGTGAAGGTCCTTTCCCCCTTCAAAACTGTTGATACCTGATTTTTAAATCTAGATCGTATCAACTCATTTATTGCGAATTGAGGTAGAGAATATCCTAAATTGATCTTTTTTTTTTCTCCTTGAAAAAAGCGGTGAAATCTTGATAATCCATGATAGCACACGGATACAACAGATAACAAGGGGCCGATATGCCCTCAAAGAGTGTTCTCTTTTCACCACTCCATTATTGGCCCTGGCTAGCGCACTGTGTGCCACCAATCAATTCTCATTACGGTGATAACCCTTAAGATTAACCTTCACACCGCAAAAGGTCCTTCACAGTATCGGGAATAATAAAAGAGCCCAATGAATCTACTCTGCCCTGGAAATAGTATCATTGTGATGCCACCATTCATTATGATGCTACTATCCGCTATTAATCATAAGATCACATTGTCCATAGTTATTTGATTATCACATGCTGCTTTGGGAAGGGAATTACAAGGGAGGGAAGAGGAGGGGAGAATTGATGCCCACAGCGCTTATCTAGATTGGTAAAAACCTGCGCAGGATGTTTTCTGGATGGGCGTAGGCAGAATCATGGCGGTGGTACATATCGTACTATGTACTAGCTGGGGCGGAATCATATTGGCATAGCTCTATCTACTGCACTTGTAATTGAAACCAGGGATCAACGAGTTTGGGGCTAAGCATTCCGACGAAGAATTTGGCGAGTGATATTTTATGAATAAGCACGAGAGGATCACAACCACACAACGATTAAAGACTAGGACGAGAAAGGGAAAGAACTCAAAGGCTCTGTGAGAAGGTGGCTATATCACTTCTTTGACAGCTTCCTAACTGACTATCGACCTACATATCTCCGGACTCGAAAGAATGGTCGAAGCAGATACCGCATAAATACTAAAAGCACCTTAATATACATGTGTTTACCCTTATTAGATGTTTTATGATTTGAACCTCCATCTATTCAAAAGCTCAAGTAGAAGGCCGAAGAGAGCGGAAACACTGATTGGCTAGATGAACAATTCCGATATAAGCGGCGGGGTCCTACTAGCTATAGAGTCATACCCTTAGATTTTCGCAGATTTCTCTTGATGGATTGACCTCTGACGACTACGGTCACAACTACATGTAAATAGGACATATTGCCAAAATGTTAATCTTGTAGTACCTATGTCTGAATCATGTTACACAAGGTTTTGTGACTTCACGTAAGATCACTCGCTTTAGTGTGTAACGTAGCACAGTCACAGCACCAAGGTGTGGGCGAGTTACTCTAGACGAAAGAACAAGCCTTCATTACGTGTATGTATATGTAGTTAAAGCCATCACCACTACTACTTGACTCAATCTCGGGTAAACTCATACATTTATTCATACACAGAACTTCTCTGAAAACGTTTTATAAACACTCACTCTCCTTATAATAATTACAGGAAGACTCCCTAACCCCCACTCAAAATCAACCTTCCCCACGTCTTCATTATAAAAAAATCATATCTCGTAACTTTTTGTGAAGCATCGCACTAAACTCTCTCAAGCGCAGCTGATCTCGTAACTCTTTGTGAAGCATCACACTAAACTCTCGCAAACGCAGCTGACCACGCAGGGTTACTCTTCATCTCTCTAATCTTTTGTGCAAGAGCCTCGATCTCATCTTCATCTGAGGTCCAGACTTGAAGCCGACCTCTTTAATGGTGTGTGCCCATTCGTGACGCTCTTTGCCATACACAATACCCTGAAGCCAGTTCTTAAGTAATAGTGTATATTTCCCAGCCTTCTCAAGTGGCTGGATGTCCACACCACGGAAGTGAATGTCGATGACAGATGTAACAAAGTACTAGAATCCAAAATATATTAATTTATGAAAAATGAAGTGAGGACGGAGAGAAACTTACGGCAGTGCCGGCAGCAAATGCTTCTATAAGACGACCTTCTTGAGCGGCTTCGACCACTTCATGCATGGTATACTTTCTCTCAATAACGTCCAACCCTTCGATTTCGCCCTCAGTACCAGTCAAGCGGGCTCGGGCAAGCTCAAGCAGGCTACGCCTGGTGACACCATTAAGGATGATTTTGTCATCCAGTGGAGCGGTGACAAGTTCCAACTTGTTTGTCTCTCTGTTGCGCCAGATAACAAAGAAGTTGCTGGCACCAGCCTCAGTCACAAGACAAGATTTGTCGAAGAGCCAAAGGATCTGATCATATCCTCTAGACTGGGCCTCTTTCTGGGCCATCAGGGAAGGGCCGTAGTTTCTGTAATGCGAGTCATTAGCCATGACTCATATTAAAAGGATCTTATGTAACTCACGCTCCAACCTTGGCATAACCAAAACCACCGGGCCAGGCTCGAATTGAATTCTCGCTGCTAGCAAGCAACTTCATCGGTTTCGTATCTAGTATGGGAAACAAGGCAGCAACAATGAACAGTCTCGCCTCTCTAGGTTTTTGCACACCCAATGCCACTCCAGTCCCAATCATGGTAGGCCGAACATAAATGCAAGTTCCTGGTTTTGGCAGCCATTTTGGCGCATCATGTGCAATTAGGGTCTTGATAAGCTCCTCCAATGCTGATGGGGGGAAACTAGGCAGTGCAATTCTGGTACTGGAAATCAACATTCTCGCCGCGTTACGGTTTGGACGGAACATTCTCACGGCGCCATCATAGCCACGATACGCCTTAAGGCCCTCAAAACATTCAGTGGCATACTGCAAGCACGAGGCAGTAGGCATGAGGTCTTCGAGTGGCCCGTACGGTTTCAATTCGGGGGCCTCCCAGCCGGTTGCGTCAGTCCATTTCGCAGTGATCATATGATCCGTACAAACATCCTGGTTGCCCCATTCTATGCCAGAAACGTCCTCAATGAAGGGTTTCGGGTTCTTAGTAATAGTGATTTTTAGCTTTGACGCATCAAGCTCAGGGAGGTCGGGGGTTGAGGATGAAGTGACAGGAACGGCCGCAGTGCCAACATTTGTTGTCTCAGTACGGTTATGGACGGCAATTGATGACGCAACTGCAGACTCTGTAAGGGATTGCTGGATAGCTGATGGAGGGGACATCGTTTACGAGTGGTAGCAGCAAGAGCTTCAATGGCTTCCTGGTCAGGTTATGATGTTGACAGAAGAAAATAAGGCTGGCTTATTTGATATGGGTAATTTCTACGCAGAGGAGACGAAGATTCGAGAGAGAGGTGAAGGCTCCTTCTTAAATACATGTCCTGCTTGACGGCTCGTGACTCACCCCCGACTGTAACCAGGTTCCGGCGACCCCTTCCGCAAGTTCCCCCACATCCAACGCCGTTCTTAGACTGGCACAAATAGCGGAAGGCTGTTCCAGAGTAGATAGGAATAACAAGGCTTTTCGTGCGATGATAAAGGAGTATACTTACCTAGCTAGGTGGTAATGGACACCGGATTGTAGAGCACGGTGCACCAAGTAGAATCACAGGTGACGAGCGAGCTCCCGTAAGTTACAACAATAACGACGTCGTTGTCTACTTTTATCTTATCTCGGCTGCATCTCGTGACGCTATCTGAGTTGCTCCTGTCGAATCGGGATCTTGCTTCCCCTGGTTATTTCCATTTTTTTCTTTTTTTCACAGGGTTCTGGAAGCATTGAAGCACGTTTCATGACAGATGAGCCCGTATCTAAGCGATTGTACCCGGGTTTACTCCCCCACAAGACAACTCCGACTGTCTCAATTGAGAAGGTTGAATACAAGAAGGAGCCTCGCAAGCTTGCCCTGCATTTTCCTTTCAATTCGGATGTCAAGCCGCAACGGATGGCAGTAATATTTAACCGTAGCTAGAGTAAAGGCTAGATGCCCACTGATACGAGATTCCCCCGCTCTGTTACATATCGATACGGGTAATAATTTGACAATTGACTGTTGACTCATCAATATCAGCGCCCAGGGGGAATTCTAGGGAGAATAGATACTCTGACATTGTACAATGCCGTAGTACCTACTAATAGTACCTATTATATATAGGCTTTGATCGCAATGTGTCACGACGATTTAGAAGTGGTGCTCAAGTCAGCCAGATCGGCACACAAGACTTCGGAACCGAATGTCTCTCTAATTATTTGTGCCTGGGCCTTATCCTGAACAGGACATTTAATAAAGAAATCCAAAAATGGTAAAGTTTAAACAAGTGATAGTAAGTATACGGCAAGTACCGATATACCAAAATCCATCAGGGTATCAATACTAACGTTTTTGCGATAATATTTAAATTTCATGGCTTTAGGTTGTATGTACTGCCTAAGGTTTACTGGTACGTCATATATAGTCCTGTACCAATCCCCCACTTAGCAGCAAGCTGCTCACCAGTAGAAGCAGGGGGATTGGGGACGAATCTATGTGATGTCTGACCTTTCTACTAGAGTACATGTAGAGTAATGTACCCTGACATAGGACCGCCTCATAATGACCTAGTAGTATAAGACTATTCATTTTCAAGTCACTACATGACTTTTAATAGGTTTAGTAAGAACCGCATCAGTTACTGAGAAACACCATTTCTAAGATATTCAAGATATGGCCGGGCGCTATAAATTTCACGATCTATAAGACCCCGCTGTGCGGTACTGCACATATGTATATACATGTAAATGTATGTATGTACGGCTACTTAAACGTATATAAGTGCCTATATGTATCTGTTTTCATAACTCTTGGCCGGGCAAACCCCCACACGCGTACAGTGTGATTCTCGAAAGCTTAAATCCATTGCCTATTTAGGCAATCTCAAGCACCTATCAGGTAATTATCTCGGAACTCCCAGGTAAGTAATTACAGTAGTTTAAAGTTCTAAAAACCGTCATACCTATTAGGGATATAGGCGTACAGCAACCGTCTTCTATATCCTACACCCGAAGGAGCCAATAGAGAGTTTATCGGCGACCTACGAAATCTGAATTGGCGTGGGAACACCCAAGCCCGGTTTTAACCAACAAACAAACGCCTAGGTGGCGCGGACCCCGGTTTGAAGCATGATAAGAACTCATACGAGTAGAGTACTGCATTTAGAATCTGCAATTACTAGTAGGTATTGATCCTTGTTTAAGTATTGATTACATACAGTAACTACATATACAGTCGCCCGCCGCTATAACGAACGTGCATATTGAGCAACTTTCCGCTCAGTATAGCAGATTATTCGGTACAGCAGACCAAACTCTTTGCCGGGGGGAAAAAAAAAGCCAGCCCAAGTGGTTCGGTACATCAAATATTCGGTATACAAGCGTTCGCTACAACGGCGGGCGACTGTATGTGGTATGGTTAGCACGAACAGTCATAGCTCCCTAGGCAATATAGAGCGCCTACATTTGCAACCATGGTCACACACGTACAGAAAACCGTTTTGCGCAAGTTACTCACTCAATCTCCTGGGCTGAGTGATTGGCTGCTCCTTTTCTAGTAATTGAAACCAAGCATGTCTTACATTTGTCTTGTCTCAGGTGCCAAGTTTATTTAAAAGCTTGGTGAGTCGCTTCGTGTGCAAGGAGAGACACCATACCGTGTCGTACTGGGGGCCAACGGCGTAACAGCAAGACTACATACCTAATCTCGTGTAGGTATAACTTCAGACGCCTCAGCGCCTCCTCCCAGCTAGAAAACGCAAAAATAACAAAATATGGGAATAGAAGAGGAGGCGATGTCCAATTCACATACCTGTGATTCAATCGCAGCAGCTGTGGTTATTATGGGAAGATACATGTAGCACGTGCATAGTAGTACGGTAGAGTGAACGCGAAAATAGAGAGTGTTTCCATTTGTGCTCGCACCTACATGTTAAGAGCCAAGCACGAGATGTAGGTACATGCTTATCATTCCACCTGCTACTGACTCCATCTGGTATGTCTCAAATACTTCTTCCTCCACGTGCACACATGTCCCGCACCAGGCAACGGCGCCTTTACCATTTCTCGATCATTCAACTTCACCGATAATCCTCCCCGCCGGCATGTGCAGCGGTTTCATGCCTCTCTGTCTCCTCCACCAGTTGGTGCATCTGATCATTTCTTCATCCATCAGGAACCAATATTTCCTTTTACGTGGTCGGGCAGTTTTTGAGTCAGCCCCTTCCTTTCCTTTTTTTCCTATAGATGCGTGGGTACAGAAATCGAGGTGGATGAAGTTGAAAAAGGGACATCAATGGAAAGTTGAGTTGTGAAATATTCGTACTGTAAATAGAACATCGAGGCTTCATCACCTCCCTACTAGCTGTGATGATTGATGACTGGATATTTTGAAGAAATTTAGGCAGCGGAATGAAAGGTTTATAGGTGAATAGTTTATAATGTAATAAATGTCTAATGCAAAGTTCAACAAAGGAGAGGTGTAGTGTAGCAAGGTAAGAGGTTTGTAGAAAATGAAAAATGAAAAAGAAAACTCCAACAAAAAAGAAGAAAAAAACTCCGAATAGTGAAGAATAAAATAAAAACAAGATGCTCGCTCAAATGCTCCCCAACGCCGATTTGTTATACACACGAATACATTAGACGTAAAAGAGTACTCATAAAACATAAATCTTTGTGAAAAAACAATAATAATAAACGCCCAGAGAAAGATCGACCCAAAAAGAAAGAAGAAAACTGTTTTGCGCTTACCTAGCAAACGCTTCGCCAATTTCCCAGCTTCTCGCCTCCCATGGAGTCTGTCCCCAAACACCCCAACTCTCGTACATCCCATGACATAGCTTTGTTTCATCAAAATAATTTCCCGTCTTTTCCCCTTCCGCTACACAATCCAACAATCGATCTCGAAACCCCTTAAATGGAACCATATCGATATACGGGTGATGCTCAATATCTAGTTGCTTCTTCGTTGGTATCAAATCTTCCGTTCCTTCTGGAAGTAAAACTGGGCTAGGACTGTTGAATGGGGAGGTAGCATCATCGTCTAGCATAGTCTTTTCAGAGATTTGTAGGATTTTGCCAATCTCGAGGGAAGCGTTAAAGAGTGTGGAATAGTTCAATGTAAGGTAGAAATCGTCTCGCGGGAGTGGCGCGTTCAGATGAAATGGATTGGGGTTGACAGCCGGGCTCGCGGAATAAGTTGGAGGGAGGTCAGGGAAGCCCAGGTGTCCATCACTAATATTGCGGGTCTGGTGTACGTTGGGTCGGTATGAAGTATGGGTAATTGGACTCGAATCTTCACCACGAGAAAACGTGTGAGTTAGCGGCAACGATGAGTCGGTTTGGAGGGAGGAGATGTACGCTTGGACTTGTGGTGGCGATGTAGCTGGTTCTGAGACCGGGTGAGGATGAGGTGTCATAGAGAATGTTGGTTGAGGACTGGCATGGTAGTAAGGCTGTGCCAGATACTCATATGATTGTTGCTGCTGCTGTTGGGATACGGCTGAGGGCCCCATGCTGGTAGCTGTTGCTCAGGCTGTCTAATGCTTTGATGTCTGGCTTCGGGGTTTGCAAATAGTGGACCGAAATCGCCCATAGTATAGATGTTTCTGGGGGAAGCAGTAGCTCTGGTAGACTGTGATGAGGCACCCGATGTAGTAACTTCTTGACTCGAGGGTCTACTCTCCAGGTTGCTAATCTTAGTAGCTCTGACCGGATGTCCTCCCCCACTTTTCTTCTCAATCCTTCCAGATGCAGTACCAGTTTCAGTAGCAGATTGCTTCTTCTTTTTCTTTAATGGGCTAGCTGAGGATGATGTTGTACTACTTGTAGCTCCAGCTTGACGTTCCAACTCTTCAAGTCTTTGGCGGAGTTTGCGGCCTTAACATGAAATGTTAGAGGATCGGAAACACCCGGGTTAAATATAGATCACAAAGCAAAGAAGACTCACGATAATTCCTTTGGGCCAATCTATTCTGGATTTTTCTGCGTTCGTTCAAGTCTGTAACCTTTCTCCAGTCATCATCCTCAGTCTCCATGACTTCTGAGCTGTCATAACCGTTGCCTGAGATGGAGAGTCAATAAAGGCATTGAGATAGCAGGGTATATCTGCGGGATTTATTACCACTACGACCAAATCTGATAGACATTTTTGAAGTTGTATATAGGGAAATTTTCTGGCTCGTTCAAGTGTTGTGACGGGGGAGGTAGATGGGATTTTGTAGTATTATGATGATGATGCGTAGACTATGAGGTGTGTTTTGACCGTTGTCCCTTTTTTTTTTTGCTGTGCCGTAACGCAATGAATCAAGATCTGGGGGCTGAATGGAAGACTCGATGGATGGAATGAATGAGCCTGGGAGTCGGGAATACAGTGGGCCTTATGTATCTCCACAACCTAAACGGAGGTACGGGCCGCTGCGGTCTACTCGAGAAGGATGTCTCAAAATGAACGATACTTGTAAAACGGTATTGGGGGCTGGCAGGCAATCCTTGAGATTTTGGGGGCCATCGTGCAAGAGTTGTTACTGGGCGAAAGATGCGTTCGAATTCCAGAAAAGCCATGCACACAAAAAATAGTGCATCCTGCATGCTAAGGCTGGTGCAGCCACAAACCAGGGTTGTTTTGGTCCTGGGATTTCCGTTCAAACCTCCAAACAATCTTTGGGCCCGAGCTTGCGTGACAGCTGGAAACACCATACAACGCCTGCACACTACTCAGAATGCCTATTTTGAGCCAACATGCCCCGAGTTACATAAACTCGGGACCGCTTACACAGCACCGGCAGCCTCTTTGTTCATTGCTTTGATGGCTTCTTCCATTACTCTATTCAGCTCTATTAAGATCATGCATGGGTCTGTATTCGGAAATAGTAATTTAATTAACACAAATTCCAAATAATTATTAGATCCAATCTAGAACCCTTATGCCCTTATGGTATTGGAATACATGTATGCATGGTGATCGCTGGCAGTTGAGTTGCCGTCGGCCCTTCTTTTCGCCTTTATTCGAGGCATCCCTACTAACTGCCAACAGCTTCCGTTCACGCCCGTCGCTGACATACCGCCTTGCAAACAGCAAATAATGTTCACATCTCCAATCAGTGCCATCATCATCGTCATCATACCGCCCTATCGTCTTCGGATGGTAGAGCAGTACCCCTTGTTGGTTTCTAAGCTTTAACAAGCCGCTGTAGATGGTCCTCCGCCCTATGGACATTGTGGGACGCTGGTCAATTGACGCAGGGCTGTCTTGCGTCTCGCTTCTACGTGGCTGTGTGATGTTTAAATATCTATGTGCACTTCCGTTACCGCTAAAATGATCCTCTCCCGTGCTACAACGCTAACTAGCAGGGATATTCTAATAGCCACACCCACAGCCACACCCTAAATGGACCCATTTACTCCCCTTCTGATTCACTCCCGCCCTTACCACTCACCTGAGAACAAGTCCACCAGTCCATGTTCATCTCATGGCTTGTTGATTAGCACACTTCTATGTCTGGACCATCAAATATCCAAAATTAAGCTCAGCTCAGATCAACCAAACAAATCTTAGGACTGGGAAGGTGCAGAAGCCAAGAACACTCCTTCCATGGCTAACGACTTTGGTAGAGCTGGGGTCAAGACCCCTAAAGGTCTCAAGGCCGCCAATGTAAGGACCAACAGGGCCGGTAAGAATAAGGATATTCGCAGTGCCAAAAAGAGAGACAAGATCTTAGCGAGCAGCTTAGACAAAAAAACTTCGGTTGGAGAAACAAGAGGCTTGTCCTCAACAGCTAAGAAAAGGAAAAAGAAAAGGATCGTGTATGAACACCCACTGGCGAAAGCATTCAATGGTAAGAACGATATCTCTTTTTTTCTTCTTTGACGAATCAGATCTTCCGGAGAACGTCCGGTATGTATGCCTTTAGGCTGCATTGGTAGCAACCTGTCACAATTGTCAACTTGTACTATTTTTATTACTTGACCCTTAGCGGTGCCTGAATCAGAAATGTTGAATACCGTTGGGGGCCGGCGGGATCTTGCTTTTGAGCCGGCCTTCTGGATGGCCTTCTGGACGATAACTCCTTCAGCAAATTATCGTCATTTCTTTCTGTTGTCCTGTCGAATGGTTTTATGTTTCATCTCACCTCCTCCCAATCCGTTTAGAACACAATTATTATTATTACCCCAGACATTTTTAAGACATGTTCCACTCTCTTAATTACCAAAGCAGCCTTATGTGATTTTTCGCTATGACATGTCCCTAATCTCGATCCTCCCGAGGCCATACCTAAAACTAACTCTATTACGTGTCCAATAGACTCACTCTCAAAGACAACGTCGCATGTTTCGACGAAACTATCAAAAAAACTTATGGATAACCTACAAATGGCACTTTCCCAGATAGGAGCGACTACAGCTCGAAGCCAAATGTACCTGGTGGAGGCTTCAGAACTAAAATCAAGACTCTTTACCTCCACTCCCCTTCTGTCGACAGAATTTGAAGAGAGGGTTGAAAAATTCCAACTACTGGTCAAGAAAAAGACAGATTTATTAGATATTCTCTGCGCAAATTGGACGGAATGCGTAAGTGAGATTGTAAACCTAGGTATTGAGGAAGGTGCCTTGAAACACAGGGGGGAAGAAAACAATATTCAAAAGGCAGACAGTGATTCACTACAGGGGGGGCAAACGCAACGCTCCGGTGACGCCAAAGACGATGAAGAATTCGATCACCTCCTTCGAGATATCAAGGCGGTGAATAAGGTATGGACTAAGAAGATGGAGGACAGTGAGAAGGTTCGCACGTTACTCCTTCCAATTCGCCAAATAGTATACGAAAGGTGCCTAACATTTCACAACGATTGGTAGAAAATCGCCGACGAGGTTCTCAGACAGCAGAAACTTGCCGCAACTGTGCTTCTTTAGGTAAGTATCTCATTTGCCCAGGTAACTAGAAAATCGTGCTCATATTGACTAGACTAGGGTGATCGATATGCGGTGCTAGTTAGTGGTTCTAATTGGCTTACATCGATCTTGCGGTGGAATTTCTGCTCTTCATGATAGTTATTGAATTTCTTTGAGTAATTCATCTCACTGTTGTTTGAGACGGGGAGAAAGTCAATAACATTGTGGTTAGGAAGGCTTGATATCTTTGGAAACCTACCCTTTCGTGCACAGACGATTTGATGTTACCACATGATCTATAGCTGCATGCAAAACAAGAATTAGCTTCTTTAGGCGAAGGGTTTCTAAATTGGGATTCTATCTTTATAGCTGCTATAAAAGAATTGGCATAGCCCTACCCATCTATTTCGGCACATATAGCGTCTCTAGATCTGGTCTGATATTCTTCGTATTTACTAGATAACTGCTTTTTGAACGAGACGCTGCAGTATGCACCTGTATCGTATGGAACTCACGAAACCATGCCAGAATAATAATGCTTAACAAAGAATTTGAAAACCCGGGCAGTTCAGACCTAGATTAGAAATCCGAAAAGTATTTGGAATGATACTATAAATCGATACCGTAAAGTGCTTCCGAGAAATATAAGAGGTTATTTAATTTTGGGATTTCTAAGGAGAAGTAGCTAGAAAGGGTAAGTACCGAAGTTATGAGTAACCGACCACGTGACATGCTATAATCCTAGTAAACATGTGCATGTAGCTTGGCGCCCATGATAAGATCTCTCTCGGCATCTGGTGGAACGTTCTTGCTCAACGAGCCAAGGAGGTCTACTAATCCATACCTCCCCAAATGTTTCGGAGATTAGATATCTACTTCTCGGATACTGCTACTCCTGCAGTAAGTTGTGTGTAATCATTAGCCTCATCACCGAGAGGACCTCATTTCACGCAAGAGAGATGCCTGAGAAGGGTGGCGGCCTGCAGTTATGATTGCATACCTTCACCATGAATCACTCGAAGTTATTGGTCACCCCCAACCTATCAAACCCCATTCACGTGATCTCATTCAAATAAATAACCTTTGCGGTTGCCGGGAATCGGCCGTTTTCTTTGATATGAAACGAAACTTTTTCTCTTCGTGTGACCTGAGATTCAACGATCCTGAGGGTTTTTTTTTTTTGGTCATTTCCTGGAAGCGAGCGATATTATTGAACTCCCATAGCCCCTTGACCACAGAAAATATGTATATACAATTTATGCTATCGTGGCCCCCTCGAACGGCGAACTTCTTTGGGGGTTGCCGTTACATCATAACCTGAAAGGGCAATTTTGAACGAATTAGTATTTTTGCGGATGCAGCGCTGACCGACGACAGCAACCCCAGGGAAAGGAGGATGCACGACGTCAAACTGCATAGATCATAGCAACGGCTGCGATATATGTTTTCCACAACCATCTCATGATACCATATTTAAGAACATTCGTCCTAACTACAATACATTCCCAACCTCTCTACCCGATGGATGGATGACGATGGCGGTGTCAACGAAGGAGGGTACAGTCACTCACGGGGTGAAGGCGGATCCTGTCTGATGGCGGTCAGGGGTTTGAGGCCAATAAAAGAGTTAGGTTTTGGACGCCAAGAGCAAATTACTGCAAACAGAACCATCAGACAGGACCCGCCGTCAGTAGGTGAGCGACTGTATTGGGGTTCGGGAGTAAATTTTTGGTTAGCATTTCTCATGCACTTTGAATTTAGTGGGCCTGGATTGGGCGAATCAAAGATCCCGGATTGCATGCAGGTATGCATCGGACCCCCCTGAAGAGTGGGAACCCAAGTGAAGGTCTCCCTCCATGCTTTTGCGCTTTATGAAAGCTGATTCGTGGAATGATTACTAGCTCTTTCGTCTACACACGTGGAGGACAAAGAAAGTTATTCTTTTTTCGAAGTGAAGGAAGGGAATGATAAAAGCACTATTAATAGCACATACCTCTTTCTCGGGTCTGCATTCTGCACCTACCGATTACTTTTGGGGTGTGATTTTGTAATGGTCTGCAGACAATCACTAAGCATTGGAGCGTATCAGCGCAGTGACAGCCGCAAACTTTAAATTGTGGGTCATCCGGCTCCGCATTTTCAGCTGTGGCTGTGCAGCACACAGTTGCCCTGCTGCCTGCTGCCTGCTTAGAGCACTCTCATGGGCCCAAACCACTCACTCAGAATATTAATCGTGACTACCTGTCTATCCACAGGCGTTTTCTGTGTGGCTGGTTGAAATAAAAGTAGGTGGGTATATTTACATGTAGTATGCTTATCGATCAACAAGGCTGAATATCCTGATCTGTGCGGGGGCGGCGCAGCTAAACATACCACACCTACTAGAGAAGAGTACGGACCTGTATGTGCGGTACATAGCTTTGTATTCTAGTTTACAGACGTGTCGGTGCTATGTGGACTGCAGACCAGCGGTTTAAATCGATCTAGTCAACAATCTTTTTATAACATAGCACATTCTGAGGAAACCCGATTGGCTAGTATGGGGCGATAAATAGAGTTTTCCGGCGAAATGCACTGATTTATTCTGGAAATGTCTCAAGAAGGGAAGAGGTACCTGAGGTTGGTAGACTCCGAGTCGGATTCCAGCCATACTCTGCCTACATACCAGCTACTACACCCACCCTGGTTTATTTAGGTACCAAGTCTTTTAATTACATCCAGAGCGTTACGCCTATCTGGGAGAAACGTGCCTAACAGTGTCATAGGATGCATGGGAGCACACATAAGGCTGAGCATATCAACAGGCGAGTGATAGCACATGATCCTCACCTCTTTATTACTTCAGACATGTAGTTAAAAGAGAAAAGAAGCCAATGGGATAGTAAGACTATACCAGCATGAGTTTCCTGCAATGCTAATGGTAAATAGATTGGAGGAAGTTACCATGGGGAAACAAATCGGGAGTTATCTATATTCTCATGTACTCACCGGAAATGGTGGCACCATGTCATGTCTCTATTCCTTACATTTGCTGATCCTACTGGATAGCTCTTCATCAAAACAAAAGTCATATCTAGCCTTTCTGAGACATCAGGCTTCAAACATGTCAGCGATCAAGACATTCGATTCCTTCCCTCGAACTAGTGCCTTGTGATACAATAAGACGTAACCAACCAGATACATAACTAGGCATATATTGGATTGGCTAAAGAGACATGAGATATGCTGTAGCCGGAAGGAAAGAGCGGTAGAGGAAGCCCAAACCGAAACGGAGGTTGAAATCTACATCTACGTGTCCCCATAGGACATGAGCACTAGAATAGATAATTATTAGCTACACCCAGTTGTTATTTGTGTCATGAAGCCCTGCAGCACTTCGATGATCGACACCTCAGGCATAGCTTAATGGCTTTAGAACTTTGTTGAACTTTCGAAGCAAGGTTAACAAATACCTTGTGTTCACATTTTGACAGGGATTCCTCACATCTCAATGATTCGTGGCTCGTCTGAAAGAGAGATGTGCTTCCTTGTCCTAGCAATCATGACTCGATGCTTCGGTCACAGGATCCCTACTGCTTTAGGGAGAGAATCCTGCACTTGCTAGTGGCACGAACTCTTTCTCGATTAAAGCCAGCGATTTCAACGTCTAGGATACAGGATCGGGTCGATTGATCGTGCGTTGGCATCTCTCTTTGTACACTGTATTGTGGAAAAAACTAACAAGTCGACCACATACGTTTCATCTAAGTTTGCATCAAAGCTTTCTATATCTCCTAGTACGAAGCAAGTAAAAGAAGACGATGAACGGATGTTTCAGGTTTTGTACGTACCCCTCTTCATTCTATCCGTACATAAATCTAAGATATGATGTTTAGTTTATAGTGCATGCCGAGACCGGAGTTAATAAACCTGCGCTATGTTTCAGCACTAGGGGGTTTCTATTGTGGGGTACAACCCCCTTTGAAGATTTCAAAGCACATTTTTCAGAATCTGATGATAGTTATCTGATTCCTGGGTATGGGATTGGACTAGGGTCGTCGTTATAACCTGCGGGTGACTTGATCCGTGCCTAAATCCAGAGCCATGGCCGATGATGATGTAGTTGAAAGAAACTATTAAACCTCTATCTGAGATATCATTGGATAATCAGCAGGGAATCATATTGACTCGGGGTTGACCGACCACATTGATTGGAGGTCCCGGTGGTATTGAATTTACCATCTTGGAATCGATCGTAGGAGATTTAAAACTAAGATGATAAAAACTCATCGGTATGATTATGCAGGGCATACTCCTACCTCAAATTATTAAGAGATAGACTAGTAGGGAACATCCTTTCGGGTAACATATACATACTTACCCGCCATCTTGGTACTGATGATCCACTTCAACCCGAGACCATCTCAAGAATATCGTGAACACATCACATATTGAATATCATATGTACTATAAATGTTGTGCGTCGAGATGAAACTACATGTATGGTGGTAAAGATGTATTGGGGCGGAAAAGGCGGGGCACGTGCCTATGTAGTTGTGTTTTGCGTGGTAGGGGGCCGGGAGAGAGGAAGGGTCTAAGAGGACACGTAAGGGCATTACGTGAATCTTGCGTATATGCTGTTAAGTCCGGGACTGCTTTAGTGAGCCATCATACGGATCTGCGATTTAGTGCATTCAAGCAACTCTAGACGCAGGATGAGATTACTAGATACAGATGACAAATGCAAATTCGCTTCTTTCTCGTGATCAAATATAATCAAGACAATAGTTCAAAATCATTTATAGATTGATCATCTATGTACTCCATACCGGACAAGCAACCAGTTTAATCCGAGTGGTTTATAATTTAGGCAGATCTCAAAAGATCTGCAAGTAAAATCCTTTTAACGTACGTACTTCTGATGATACTATCAAGTGCAGTTATACTATGAAAGTGTTCATTATTCTGAGATATTTCGGTATACATACGTAGCTAGTTTTAATCAAGGAGCATTAAAAATTAAATACATGTACTTCACAAAGTTAGAAATTGTATCAAATTTAACCATGTACTGGATGTACCTAATTATAACATGTATTTAAGTAATGCATGTATATAGAATCTCTGGCTAAGGCCTTCCGAGGCTATACTTCGATCTCTAATTCGTTTTCTTATCTATCATAGACTTTGGTGCTACTATAATGAGCTTGTCGGCGTTATAAGAGTACATGAATGAAATTATGCCAATCGTTCATACCCCCGGAAAGTGAGTACGTACTCTTATAGTTGTCAAACATGAATTATATCTAGATCCACGAACTCCAATGAACAATTAAACCTGATCGAGTCCGATCCGCGCGCAAAGTAACAATAACAAACCAAATACCTTTTACTCGCGCATCATCATAATCTAAAATTACATGAAAATCATAGAAAGCTTTGCTAAACAAACCCTTAGTACCACAGGCAACATGCGGATGTTGGAAATAATATTAGGCCACATGCTAGTAACTAATGTAGATGGACAATAGACTTTGAAATTTCAACGTTTCTCCAGGCGGTTGGTAGCTACATCCTTCTCAGTACTCAAACGAGACTTGAAGACATGATTCAAAGTGATAGTGTTGCCCGGGGTACTGATGATGAATACCATAGCCATATTTTGGCCGGCTAGGGGTGATACATGGGATATCACTCGACCTCTATCCAAGATCAGTTTCGTTTGGTCTATTATTGAATTTACTTACTGATTAACATTTGATCTTTTTTGATGGATTCTACCTAATACCTGGGAAGTATTCTGAACATACGAGAGAACATCCAAGTTAACAGTGGAGAGATGAAGTGTCCGCGTAAAGCCTTTGTAGACTAACTCATACCATAAATAAGACTGAACTTCTTCAATATTTGCTAATATTCACACGTACATTGATTTCCATCCTAGCTTTCTCCATGCCATATTTCGAGGGAAACCAAACATCGACGTCTGATAAGTACCGGTGCGCCCATAATCCAGTCATTCACAAATACCTGTATAATTAATGGGCCCGACCATCGTAGAGTAAAACTGTAGCTTCCTTAGATAGAGTACATACACCGTTTCTGTACGTAGTAGCAAGCTGCATCATTGTACTAGTTAGGGGCCTCTCAGAAGCGGGGAGTATGAAGGCGCGCATATATGTAGAGATTTCCTCTAGGCGGTGGTTGACTTGCTATGTACCTCATGACCTCAAGGCCCATCCCTCGCCAAGAGGATGTACGCCACGAACACGCATGACTCAATCACGAAAGATCACTCGCCAGGTTTACAAATTGCGCCAAAGTGTTGTTGTCTCCCGCTCCCCAGGGACTGTCAACTCTCTAGATTTACTAAGCACTACAAGTCCAGAATACCTCCACAGGAAACTACAAAGAGTGCTGCCCCCGGCCCGGTATTACAAGAGGTGTGGGAGTGGCAGCACCACAGAACAAATTAACCCGCGACAGCACCCCCTCTCTCTCGCTATCAGCCCTAAAATCAACCAGTATCAATGCTTGAAGTAACCTACCCCATATATCTGCACAACCACCTCGCCGTCCGCCCATCTCAAGACCCAGCCAGGGCAGCGTCACAACCCATCACTCGGTCAAACACACTGATGAAGTCAATTTATCCAGCAATGCCCCGTATCCGGTATCTCATGGGGCCACTATGTAGATATGTGCCGTGATAGCAGTATATCAGAAGGCTAGCAGGAGAAGGGAAAGATAGGCACAGAGAAGTGTTTACTTCTCCAATGGGTACGGTAGGGTTCGGCCTCCTGCAGGTCCCGAAACCTAGGGTAGCCGGGGTGTTCCCGTCTTGAAGTGCTTATTGTGTAGGAGGGAATGATAGATAGATTGGCCTTACTTAACTGCAACGTTCATCTACCTATTGCTCTCCACTTAGAAACCGTGGAACTTGATATAATGCAGCAACCCTACTTCTAGCTACACAAAGCCATGATACCGGCAGATACCCAACTCTAAAGCGATGTATGTAGATAATCCTTACATTAGACCCAATAAAGATCATGATATAGCACAGACACAGGCAGAACACAAACTTTTACTATAACATCACAATCATCTCACATCAGGGTATATACATGCAACATTGCCCATTTACCAGTTTATCCATCCAGTACACAATAACATTATTTGCCTTCACCCCGCACACGCACACGCGCATATATAAAGCAAAAAAAAAAAAGCAAAAAAGCAAAAAAGGGCATGTCTAACCCCCCCAAGCCTTCTAAGTCCACAACAATTACACACACACACACAAACACATAACTACGCCCCCTCAATCCTCGCCGTCGCATCATTAACCACCTTCCTCCAGTCCGTCCTGAGCACAATCGTTGTCTGAATAATCGCCACAAATATCAGTGCAACCGCAACGCCGCTCCACAGCCCATACAGCTCCCACTTAAACACGAACGCCGTGACGATCGATATGGGGATGGCCAAGAAGTAGTACGCAACAATGCTGATATAGCTGCCGATGTGCTGTCTTCCCTGTCCGCGCAGAATCCCGCCGCCCATGGACGCAATTGCATCAAAGCCCTGAAACAGCGCCGTGACCGGCATCACGCTCACCACGTATGCAATGACCTCGGGATCCTGTGTGAGCAGGAGGACAAACCAGCTGCGCGCGGAGATCATGAACAGGAGGTTGACCATGCCGAGGAAGATGGCTGCGATAAAGCCGGCGTATGCAGCGGTTTTAGCGCTATCTTCAAGGGTGGCACCGAGAAGGTTGGCGACGCGCGTGGAGGAGGCGATTGAGAGGGCAAATGGGAGCTGGAAAGCAATGCTCGTTGCGGTGACGAGGACGGATTGAGCGGCGAGGTGGGCGGTGTCAAAGTAGGACGCGAGGAGGGTGAGCAGCTCGAAGGCAATAAACTCAGCTTCAACGATAACAAAACCCGGGAGAGATAGCTTGATCATTGGCCACCAGTTGTGGAAGGCCTTGCGGGTGAAGCCGCCCCAGCAGTCGTAGCCATCGACGAAGCGGACATAGAGAAAAAGGAGGAGGGGCATCAGCCAGTCGGTGATTACCACGGCGGTCGGAGCACCAGAGAAGCCGAAGCCATATTTGGGGTGCTATATAGGATGTTAGTGGAACATCAGACGAAAGGTCGAGGGGGGGGTTTCAGCATACCCAGACGAGAATATAGTTCAGAATTGCGTTGAATGGAGCACAGAACAAGAGCACATAGGTCGAGGCAGTAAAGTTACCTTGTGCCTGTACGAACCTCTTTCCCGCCTCAAAAGAAGCGTATCCTGGGCTGTGATACAGGTTAGTCTCTTTATAATACTCACAGAAGGCGGGGATGACTCACGCTCCAATTGTGAGAATTCTCAAATATCTTCCGGCCAGCACGGCCAGCTCAGGCTCCGGAATTATGGCGGTGAGAATCTGCTCGGAGAATAGCCAGATGATGATAACAGGCACTGTTATACACATAAGAAAACAAATCATTCTCTGCAAATGCAGGCCAATGAGAGTCTTATTTCCTGATCCGTATGCCTGTGCGCATAGTGTGTCCAACGACGTACTCAATCCTAAACACTGCATCAGCTATCACTCGCACAATTTTTTTTCCGTTTGTACAACCCAATTGGCCATACCTTGATACACCGCATATCCTGTGATATTCGCCGTCATTGTGGCCAACAACACCGCCGCCAGCTCATCCTTGCCCAGATTGCCTGCTGAAAACAACGACGCGAACGTCAAGCTGTATTGCAATAAAAATGTCACATACAATGGAGCTGTATATTTAACAAGCACAATAAGCTCCCTCTTGTACGTCGTGTGCACCATGCCATTCGCAACGGCCTCATCCCACTTTGGCACCTCACCACGTTCCTCGCACGCCACCGACGCCGGCCGCGACTCTAACGTGCCATAGTCGGAGGTTACAATATGGTTATCCTTCAACAAGCTCTGCTCTTCGGCCACCATGTCTGCGATCTCGGCCCTGGTCAGGAAGCCTGACTCAGTTGGTATCGAGGAACCCGGCACGAAGGCGGGACGAGCGTTTCCAAACGTGAACGAGGGGCGGCGGTAGCTTCCTACGAGCGAACGGCGGCAGGAATCAGATTGGCGGGAGAGGAGGGGCGTTGTGTCGTCGTCTGCGGTGATGGGAATGACAAGGTGGTTATGGTCGGTATGGTCGTGATCGTCGACTATAACGGCGCTGCTGCTGTCATCATTGTCCAGGTGGGAGGGAGAGCCTCTGTAGCGACTCCAGAGGGCGGACAGGCCGGATTGGTGTGGTGAGGGGGTTGTAGTAGTGTTGTTATTACTATGGGAGGTCATGAAATGAGGGCGGCGCGGTGATCAGTCACCGCTACTACGTATGTATGCGTGTCTTTTTTTCTCGGGAGCTGTTTCTGAAATGGGTATTATATTACGGATTCCTACTGCTCATGGAGTCAGAATAGTGATAGATATCGATATCAATGCCGGATGATTCTGGGTGCGTGTGTGTGTGTGTGTGTGTGTGCGTGTGTGTGTGAGGGAGTGGGTGGATAATATAGGGTGTAGATAGGGTAGGCAATGATGATGAAGGGAAGACGCAGGAGAAGATCAAGATACCCACCCCCGAAGCACCGGACCAACAGAGCGGCCGGAGGGTGTGCAAACGGCATTTACATCCATTCTGGGGAGGGAAGTCATTACCTGCGTAGAGTTAAAAGCGGGAGGTGCAAATAGCCACAAAGCCAATAGGAACGACGAGGACCTCCGGGTGTGCAGCAATAATGAGAGGAAGTGCTGCTTGCTCTCTCCCCTGGGAATGAGTGATGCAGGTTGGATGTATGAGTATGTAGGGAGAGATAGAGAGCCCTGCAGTGCAATGCGAGTTTTCTGACAATTACAAAAAGGAAAAAAAAAAACCTTTCACGCTCGTATCATAGCCTAGAGTAGGAAAAGTAAGGCTATTATCGGGAGAGCTAGAGCACCCTACCTAGAGTACTCCAAGCTACAAAAATACTCTCTCTCTGAGCAGTCTGCAAGCCAGCCACTGACAGGACCCTGCAGCATAAAGGGAAGAAAAGAAGAAGGCCTAAGTACTCTAGACCACACATGACCGTGGGGGACGGAAGGGGACAAAAGGGTCTTAATTCCCCGGTGGGGGAGATCTAGAACCGTCAACCCAGATAAGCAATTGAGGACCCTGACATCTGAGGTTGCGATAGCCAGACATCTGTAGATAGAGTATCCCCATCATGGACCCCCCAAATATACCCCATTTCTCACTCCCAGAGATCTCACAAAATGTCTCGTCTCGGTAGTGAGCAAGTAAGTCTTCCTTGTCTGTACTTACTCTATCTCATCTGATCTCGCATTCCCCCCTCATCAAAAACCCCCATAATCCATGAACCCCATCCCCCATCACGGACTGCATCCCGACCCGTGGCAATGCATGAAACAATCCGATCTGGAGGGGAAAACAAACCGAAAAAAACAAAACGCAGATCAGTGGCAGTATGCGGCTACACCTTCCGGCGGAACCCCGCACCCCTGCCAGTCCCCGTAATAAGCGAGAATGCACATCCCGGCAGCAGGGAAGGGAGGGAAGGGAAGAGAGCTCTTGAAGCTTTCTCCCACAACTCCGGCCCCAACCCACCATCCCCGCAAACAACCTCTCCTGTGTTGCTGTGCGCGAGTGACGAATCAACGGGGCTCAATTGCTTGAGTAGAGTACAGTACAGTTCAGCACTAACAACGAAACTAACCTCCTCCCGCCATGTCGAACTGCCTCCCCCCAGTCAACATCGACGAGTAAGCCCTCTACCCCTCCCTCACCTCAATGGCTACATATAGTAGCTACATGAGCTACATATCGTACTCCAGCTAACCCCCCCCACCACCAGTCTCGACCCCAACAGCCCCATCATCCTCTCCTCCCCCTTCATCTCCCCCCTCCTCTTCACCAACGACGCCAGCGATGCGCGCGACCACTGCGCCAACGAGCGCAACTTCCTCTCGTGGCTCCGCCTGTCCGTCTACCTCTGCGTCGTCTCCATCGCCATCGTCATCTCCTTCCACTTCAAGCGCGAGCCCACGCAGCTCGAGCGCAGCATGAGCATGCCCCTCGGAATCATCTTCTGGGCTCTTAGCCTCGCCTGCCTGTTTGCGGGCCTGGCAAACTACCTCAAGACCATACAGCTGTACCGTCGAAAGACGGCGCTGGTGCAGAGTGGTGCGAAGACGCAGGTGGTGAGTGTTTGCCGTTGGTGGTGCTGGTGGTACCGTGTGGTTTGGTGGTACTGATAGTTGGGATAGGTGTTGGGGATTATTACGGTGGTGATTATTGCCACTTGGTATGTTTTTTTTTACTCTTTTATATTATTTTACTAGTATTCTCCTTCAACAGTCACTAATTGAATCACCAGTCTCCTCTTCCTCACCACAAACGCCAAAACGCGCTGAAGGCACAGAGAGATACCTAGAGCATCCATCATCCACCCGCCCGCCCACCCACCCGCCCTCCCACTCACCTGTACGAGTAACGTAACGTCCCATCCTCTCTTATATCCCGCCCCCTTCCCTTAAGCTTGTGTTTGAGTCAATTACCGTTATGTAGTTATGACACGGCAGCCAAGTCAAGTCCAATCAAAAAAAGTATGTACCTGCCTTTCCTTATCAAAAAAGTAAAAAGAAGGAAAAAAAAGAAAAAAAAACAATTTGAAGCAGTTGTATCCGATCTTGGTTCCACAGTTTGTTGTTTAACATTGAGCACTTACACTTTGTACGCAATATCTGATGTTTAGCTTTTGAGCACTTGTACGCAATATCTGATTGAGCACTTTCACTTATACGCAATATATCTATATATACGAATGTTTAAAATTGAGTACTTGCACGTAATGATGTCTGATAACAACTATTGATAGCCAATGGCCTTTTTTTCTCTCTCTAAATCTGCACATGCGGTGTTGCACATCTAGTGTGAAGTAGTTTATATATGTACCTGTAACAATGCCGCCGGCCCCGCCCCCCCCCCCCCCAATCCATCGCAACTTGATCTCCAATACGCTCCCGGTATGCTCACTACACCCAATAACCACTAAAAACAAAGTAAAACAAAATAACAAAAGAATAAAAAAAAGATATCATTACCACCTAAAAAGTCTACCCCTAATCTATCCCCCTCCCCCCAAAAGACCTAAACCATAATCCTCCTCAACCCCTCCGTCCCACCCAACAGCCTCACCCCCGTCACCGGACAGCACCCCTTCCCGCTCCCCGGCTCCTCCTCGCCCTCCTGCACCCACCGAAAGATGCACGGATAGCAAAACACATACCCCGTCTGCACCGCCGTCGGATTCGTCAGCTCATTCTCGCATATCGCACAGATGCGACTATCCTCCTGCAGCTTGACCAACTTCCTCCCCTGCCGCTCCCTACCGCCGTCACCCTCACTGTCATCGTCGTCGTCGTCGTCGGCGGGCGGCGGCGGCGGCGGGATGGTCCACGGCGGCGGCAGCTCGATGGACGCGGCCGTTTTTGCGGACAGCTGGCGCGCAAAGTCGGAGGCGTGCCACCACTCGAGGAACTTGAGGAAGAAGATGCTGGTCGGGAGCAGGATCTTGAGGGAGTCGAGGAGGCGCGGGAGGATGAGGCGGGAGAGCGCGGTGGGGGAGAGGAGGGTGCGCGGGGTGAGGGAGGGGGCGGCGCCGGGGCGGGAGGTGGGGCGGGAGGCGGCTTCGAATGCGCGCTGTGGAGGTGGGGGTTAGTAAAAGTGATTGATCATTAGGTAGGTAGGTTTGTTGCTTGCTGAAGGGGGGAGTAAGGGGGGAGGGGGAGAAACGTACGTGGTCGGCCTCGTTGAGGCGGCGCATGCGGATGTTGACGAGGAAGTGGAAGGGCGTGTGGTAGTGGGACTTGTCGAAGAGGTAGGCGAGGTTGAAGGCGAGCGTGGAGAGGTAGTAGGCGGCGTTGATGGTGGGGTAGATCTTGCGCAGGAGCTTTTTGAGGTAGTAGAGGAGCTTTTCGCGGGCGGTGGCCTGTGGGGAGGGGGGGGGGGGGGAGTGTCAGTGATTGGTATGTGGGAATTGTGGTAGACTGCTCAATGGAGATAGTAGTAGGGTACTCGAGAGATAGTAATTAAGCCATCTTAGAAGAATAGTAGTAATTAACTATTACTCAAGAGACAATAATTGAGCTATCTCAAAAGCATGGTAGTGACCATCACTTCAAGAGGTGTATGGTAGTGAGCCACTCAAGAGACAGTAGTAAGCTGCTCCAGTGGGTTGGACTACTCAAGGGAGATGATAGTGAGCCACTCAAGAGACAGTAGTAAGCTGCTCCAGTGGGTTGGACTACTCAAGGGAAATGATAGAAATGACCACAACTCACATTCTCCGCCGGCTCGTCATTGCGATAATTCGAGCCAAACAAATTCGCCGCCGCACCGCCAGCATGGATCTCATACGCGTCGTCCAGCTTCCTCTTCAAATACGGCACCCCAACCTATTCCACTCCCAACAATCAGCACAAACCCTCACATCACACTCCCCCCCCTCTCCCCGCAGCACAAAACAAAACTCACAATCAGAAACAAACTCCTCCACACATCGCCCCTCCTTAACCTCGTACTCGCAGCCGCCACATCCGGCACCGCCCTCGCGGCGCGCGGCAGGTCCTTGGCCAGCACGCGCTCGCGCTTGATGCCGTAAAAGTTCTCGGTGAAGCTGCCGCCCCAGCGCGTGAGGTAGTGGCGCTCGACGAGCAGCATGAAGAGCGCGTAGACCTCGTCATAGCGGTTGAAGATGTGGATGAGGTAGCGCGGGTGGCGCTGCGTGAACACGGCGAGCACGTAGCGGACCGAGGGCTCGAGCAGGTCGCGCAGCTGCGACTCGGAGAGCAGCTCGAAGAGCGAGGGCTTGGACGAGTCGAGGCCCGACGACACGTTGGACATGAACTCCATGGTGAGAGCTCTTGCGGGGGGGGGGGGGGTGTTGTTGTGTGTATGGGGGTGTGTGGTGGTGGTGGTGGTGGTGGGTGGGTTGGTGGTGAGGATTGAGCGGGTCCCTCGGGGGTGGGCAAGGGGGAGGGAGGGAGGGAGTGTTTCGATAGAGCTGCTGCTATCACGGTCGGTGTCTGTCTGCTCTGCCGAGGTGTTGTTGAGAGCGAGCGAGGTTGCCGTTGCAGGGGTGCGCCGTCACTCTGCGCCGTCACTCTGCGCGTGTAACGGGCCAATGGGAGAGAGGCATTGAAGAGGATACTCACAGGCCAATCGAGGCCGTGGACTTGGAGATATATCTTCTTTGTTCAAGCAATTGTTCAAGGGATCGAGTCCTCGGGCTCAATTGGGGCTGTTTGTTCACTTGAGTTAAGAATTGCGTGTTTGAGAGAGGGATATTTGATTCCCGAGCCTACAAATCAATTGCATATGCTTTCATATGAGTATGAAGTTGGCCAAACCTCAGCATCTTAGGCCTCCCAATTGAGCCATGCATGTCGATTATTACTATCATTGCTACTGCTACTGTGTACGGAAAACACTCACTCACTCACTCGCTCGCTCATTCCTTCCCCGTCCCTTTGATGCTTTCCCTCGCCGTGCCGTGCTCGCAGCAACCCTGCCCCGGCCCACCGACTGCACTTGCGGGCTATCTACGCAACACTTTCTCTCCTCTGCATCCTTCCTTCCCTCACCACACAACGATCGCCCCGCACACACTCACTCACTCACCCACATATACGCACACCCCGCGATGCCCCCCTCCCTGCTGCACGCCTGCCCCGCCACACCCACGCTCCTCCTCGACATCCCCAGCACGCTCTCCGCCCCGCCGGGCCTCGTCCCGCGCAGCACCCACAAGCCCCTCGCCACACCGCACGCCCTCACCGACCCCAAGCAGCCCACGCCCTTCACGCAATCGCTCTCCGCCCTGCACGCCCGCCTCCTGCCCACGCTCACCGCCGCGCTCACCGACCTGCACACGTCCTACACCGGGCCCTACCACCACCCGCGCAGCACCGACTCACCACCTCCACCAGGGTCCGAACTCGACTTCCACGCCTGCACCCTTCTCCAGTCCCCGCTCCCCTTCTCCTCCTCCACCTCCACCGACGAAGCCATCACCCTCACCGCGCCCACAACCCTCTCCGACATCTCCGACATCCACGGCACCCCCGTCACCAACGCCTCCGCCTCCTGGCTCACACTAACCCTCACCTACCCCTCCCCACCCAAACTCTTCCACCTCCCCCCACACTCCACCTTCCTCCTCTCGCGCTTCCAGTCCTCCACCGCCACATTCAGCAGCTACGCCGCCGCAGTGGGCCGCTTCGATTTCACGCTCCTCGACCCGCCATGGCCGAACCGCTCCGCGGCGCGCAGCGCCGCATACGCTACGCTGTCGCGCTTCAACATTCATGAGCTGCTGCAACTGCCATTGGGGGCGGCGCTGGCGCCGGGGGCGTTGGTGGGCGTGTGGATCACGAATAAGCCAAGGTACCGCGCGTTTGTGGTGGAAAAGTTGTTTGTGAGGTGGGGGGTGGAGGAGGCGGGGGAGTGGGTGTGGGTGAAGGTTACGGCGGAGGGGGAGCCGGTGGTGGCGCTGGAGGCGGCGATGAGGAAGCCGTATGAGGTGCTTGTGTTTGGGAGGAAGCCTGGTGGTGGGAGGGGTGGGGGTGTGGGGAGAGGGGGAGGGCGGGGAAGAGGGTTAAGCTGGGGGTGGAGGAGGCGGGGGTGGGAGTGGGAAGGGTGCCGGGGAGGACGGTGGTGGCGGTGCCGGATTTGCATTCGAGGAAGCCGGGGGTTAAAGGTGCGTTACTACATAGCTCTACTTTGGTGGTTTTTTCTTACTTTCTTTCTTTCTTTTCTTTTGCGCCGTTTTTGTTTGGAATCATTGCGCTGTACCGGTACTCACCTGGCAGCACAGAGCTCGTGGAGCCGTATCTACCGGAGAACTACAGGGCCTGTGAGATCTTCGGACGAAACCTCACCGAGGGATGGTTTACCTGGGGCGACGAGGCGATCAAGTTCAACTGGGATGGCCACTGGAAACCGGAGGCCGAGAATATCACTACTACTGCTGCTGCTACGGCTACTGCTGCTGATGCTGCTGCTGTGAATGGGAACGGGAACGGGAATGGGAATGGGGACGAGATTAGGGACGATGAGATGACTGACGAGTGATCTCTCTACTTTGTGACTCCCACAGGCAGCGCAGCGCTCTCAGAACAAACAAACGTCGTTGTAATACGGCGACAGAAAAGAAAAAAAAAAAAAAAAGGGAATATTTTATACTACTAATACGTAATTAATTGTGTGGAGGAATGTCTGGTTCATACCGACTCGACTGGGCATGCACTACATTATTTTTGTGTATGGGCAAGCTAGGCGGAGAAAAAAATGCGCTACGGTACTTACATTGTAGTTTGTTTATTAATGCTTTTTAATTGTATCTGTAGTTTTTTTGGCTCCTTTACCCGCGCGCAGGGAAGGAAATGAGGCCCGGGGTTACTTAGTTAATAATACTTAATTGGGGGGGGGGAGGAGGCTTTTCGTGTAAAACTCATTCGGTGGGGTACGTAAATACATACATAATAATACTTAATGAGAAGAAGCTTCTTTCATGCAAAACTCATTTTCACAGGATTTCATGGAAGCTGATTCGGTGGGTACCTACCTAATAATAATAGAGTACTTAATGAGATGGAAGTTTTCATGTAAAAACTCATTTGCACAGGAAGGGTACGGGCTGATTCAATGAATGAAAATACCCCCAATTGGTAAATGCATAAAGTACATGTGGGTGTGTTTCTGGTATTCGGGGCCGGGGTGTTTGGTCAACCACCACTAGATGGACAAAATTTGCCAACGAATAGTAAGGTATCTAAAGAAGGTATTCAAGCGCTCAGAATGTCTCTAAGTTGTGATGTGGTATCTGGGGCCAGGAAAATGTGAAAATTCTAAAAGCATGGAAGATAAGATCATTTTACATATAGATCTACTTCTGAACTACATAATTAAACCACACTGTCCGTGGGATGACTTTGAGTGGTTGTTTGGGGGCGGTTATAAAGTTGGCTTGAGCTTTGATGGGGTTTTCCTCGACAACGGTTGATAACGCCTAATTACATATACCAAACACCTCCGAATACCAGAAACAATGTACGGTCCAGGGTGCCGGAAAGTGATTTGACAACCCAAATACCTATATTTTGGCACAACGCAGCACCCTCCCTAAATTCAGATTTCGAGTGTAGGACGTCTCTTCAATGCCTAAGAATTCATTAATTGGTGTTATTTGAACATGAAATAACCGTTCTTCAAGCAAGAAGTCGCTGTTACTAGCTAAAAGCAGTATTAAAAAAAAAACCCAAAAGTATCGATGACAGACCTTTCCTATTTTTATTTTCATCATGAAAGGAATCCGGGGACTTATAATGACCTCAAGGTAGACTTGATTCTCTCACGGTTCAGATATCACAAAATGTGCATCATTTTCCGACACCCTGGGTACAATAATGTATGTAGGTACCGTGATCATTGACCCCCTCCTCCGTCGTCTCATCCGGCCGAACCAGTCTCTTTTCACCCATCAACGGAGACAAACACTCCAATAGGATTTTTCCCCCACCAATCATTTCCTGCCACAACTTTTTGTGGAGGGGGTGGTCGGTGACGCTTATATACACTGGTCCTCTGCGGAGTACAAATGATCCGAGTAGAGTAGAGGAACTTCTAGGTAGGCGCTACCGAAAGTTCATCTGTAAAATAAAGAATATATGGGGTGATGATATTGTTTTTAATATCCACTGGAATCTGTAGCCTGCATGTAGGTGCTCTATGCCTTTTCCCCCGGTACTAATCAGGCTTGGGTGCCGATAACTTGTGTGCCTTGTGGGGCACACATCTGCACACCACCAAAGGGCACATCACCCGGCGGGTCACGCCCCACTATCTCCTGTGCATTGGGGTTTCAACCTCTTATCTCTAGTGTTTTTTTTTTTTTGTGAGATGTTTAATCAGACGGAGGTCCAGACGACATTGCAAGGCAGTATCCTAATTCTCCAGATCGAAGCCTTCCCTCTTAGCTAGCTTAACCTTGGACTCAGCCTCGGGCAAGACACACGTGAGAAAGCTAGCCAGACCAGACACCCACGATCCCGCACGAAGAAACACAAAGACCCACTAAAAAGCTCTTTGGGGGGGGGGGGGGGGTTGAGGGTGGTTTTACGTTATATCATATTAAAGCCCACATGAGATCGTGTGGTTTCATAGCTGTAGAGAGGATCTACCAGGAAATCAAGCCTTTGATAGCGGGGGGTTTTCCTCCAATCCTAGAGAGCTCTGACTCTACACTCAGTGTAAATCGTGACAACCGTAGTGAAATTCGATGGCGTGCCGGTGTATCATGTAGCGTTGTATTCTACATGAGCGGGAACTACCCCCCCTCCCCCTTTTTCATGTACCTACTGCCGCCTAGCGAGAAACATATCGGGCAGCTAGCTTGGTGATTCCTACAGGGCACGGTGGTTATCGGTAGGCTGCGAGCTTGAAGTGAACTTTGCGGGGCCCATGAGAAATGTCAGCGCATGCATATATTGCCTTGCAGCTAGGCTACGGTGATGATGGTCAATGTGTTGGTGAATCGATGAGGAAGGGGAAGGTGAAGTGGAAAAAAGATCAAAATTGAACTCTGAATCTAAACAATCATTTGTTTATACGTTAGCAAAAACCTTAATTCAGCAAGCGAAGAACTAAGCAGAAAAATGCGTTGGGAAAGTTCACCGAGATCGTGGACCGTCACAATGGTCGTTATAGTGAATGCTACTTAATTTTCCGCCTAGGTTTGAGGGAAATCTCTAGCATTGTTCAAGCCTTTGGGAGCCTTGATAGTCGAGCAAAAGCGGGGTCCGGAGAAATTCCTTTTTGACCAATAAAATTCTCTTCCCCGCTGGAATGATGGTTGTGCATTGTGCTATGTAAACCATTCGAGTGATTACTTATGATCCACGTTATGCGAAGAAACCCTAGCCCTTGAACGACCATGAAGCTGCGGCTCTTGGGTCTCAAGAGGATAGAGTAGAAAATCGTATATGTAACTTTATTGTGCAATGAAAATCACATGTCTCAGAGGTTAGAAAAGAGAAAAAAAGAAACCGGACTTTTACTGAGTACCCAGTGCCGTGCATGGTGGGATCGAGTACCGCAAAAACTCACGAACTTTGCTAGCGGATCTGACCAAAAACTAACTTGTAGAGGAAATATCTGAAGCTGATCTCTGCCTTTCAGCCAATCATCAATGAAGAAATCCCTGCACGGAGATAATCAAGTTGGCGAGTTTCTGCGGTACTCAAAAACACCTGCTAGCAACCGGCCTCTCAAACCATGATGTCAAACCAAAGTCCCACCTTCCTCAAGGGCGTCAAGAGCGTCCTCGTAAGCCCCAGAATCGCTTTCTTCCTCTGTATCCTCCTTGTCCTTCTTCTCCTCGTCCTTAGGCTTTTCAACACGCATCTCTCTCTGAAGATTGTTCTGGGAAAGCTTCAGCAGCTTTCCCAGCTCATCCTCCGCTTTCATCCAGAATTTGACAGCAGTCTTGAGGGACTTGGAAGTGTTTACGAGTTCCCCAGCAAGCTTGAGATTCTCTTCACCCAGTCTTAGGTTCTCAGCACGAAGTGCTGTGATCTCTGCCTCTTGGAGGTTGGTGGTCAATTGTGTGTTTCCCTAAATGATAGTACTCGTAAGCTGCTGCGAGGTAGATTTTTTCTTTTCTTTTTCTTTTTGAACTTATTACTTGCATCGCATGGTGTGTCTGGGCGGCTCTCTGCAACCGTGACGTATGGGAGCTCGAGCGATCCTATGCTTCTCTGTCGACGGGTGTGTGCTTTTGGCGGTGCCATAGGCTGATTGATCTGTGGATCACTCATTCCTTTTTTTCTTCTTTTCTTCTTCCGCGGGGTTACCAGCAGTAAGTTCGAGATGTAGTAGTAGATGCTTCGAGAGCCGATACTTCAATGAGGGGCCAGATGTCAAGATCTCGCCTACTGATGCTACGTATTTGCTACTTTACTAAGCATTGCCTACAAATTATAGTTTCTATGCGTGACAGTATACTAGTCGAAGGTTAAAGGGTCTCTGCGTAAAAGACTCCAGCTACAAGTTCTGATTCTGACCGCAAAACAGGGCTGGCTCTGTTTGCGTAGTTAAAGACTTTGAACTTAATGAAAAAAAACATGTGGCCTTTAAAGCTGGTTGACGAACACATACATCTAATATTCTCTTGTTTTGAATACTATGTATGTATGTTTCATGTATATGGCCAACTACAGTCTGAACTGGAATTCTTGGAGAAAGGCTGAAACCGCAGCTTGATCAAAGAAAAGATGAATTAGGATCAATGTAAAGCTGTAAGGTTACTTTGAAGGCCAGACGCATCGAATTGAAGAGGTTCCTTAGGCCTCAATATACGAGCTTGCCGTAAAATCGCCTTTAAAAGGTTATTAGATCAATCCTGATTGATCTTGCTGGGTTGGCCCAACATTTCAACTAAATTTCGAGGCGATAAACTGATAGGCCTGTAAACTGCCAGGTTTTAGTTGAGGTGGTGGTCAACGGCTGCTACTAAGGAGCATATGAGTGCTCAACACTCGCTCAACTTTGAGGGGCCAAATTTTGGCCTTCCCGTGCAGGCACTGAGGAATTTACCATGGCTGCCGAAAAATCCTATTCATGTTATCTACGAAGTCCAAGTATTGCAATTTTTAGTTGTATGTGATCAATAGAATGTCGAGAACTTTGGTTGCAAATCCGTCTTTGGGGGCATTTTCCTTTTAGAAGAGCCTGCAAACCCAAAATGGCCTGATTTTGAAGGATGATGAAGACTCGTATGAATGCTGGTTTAACGTAGAAATATTTCGCTCCATACAAGTATCGGCGTTTTGCAGGCACTTTGACGTGGTCAATGTGAACGCAACATCACTTGAGGAGCGAAAGCCGCTCGCCTTTTATCCCCTTACTCACTGGAAAAAATGAGCATGCTCCAGGAGCAGAGCGATACTGTAGAGATATGCCCAGAGTGCAGAGTTCTGATGTGCGTTGGCCTTTCGGGACGAAACGCCACTCATCGATATATAGTGCCTGTTGTCCAACCAGAATAACCTTCCACTGAGATGGGAATTCAGGCTTTGTTTGAGAATCACTGGTTTTGGTAGTGGAGTGTCCAAGGATTTTGAGTAGTTAGTTTAGGTTTGGCACTGTAGGACCTCGATCAGGAACGATGATGAGGTGGAGGTGATGGAGGTGGAAAAGCGGAGTCGATGGACGTGTCAACAAACACTGTGGGCCATATGCATCACTCCTGCCTGCGAATGAAATTAGCCATGCATTACGGAAACCGACATATTTTACTCACGGCTGCAAATTTATCCCCCGAAAAGCGGATGTTTCTCCTCAGTGAATGAACGGGGGTGTCTTTTGTTGCCTACGAGGAAAAAACAATGTCGCCCCCAATAAATACAGTAGCGCTAGGCCGGGACGCCGGCGCTAACTCGTCGCTAACTCGCGATCACCAACACCAACACTTCTCCGCCTTCTCCCTCTTAACTCTTGGTGTACTCACAACTTACACCTTTCATTCCTCCCCTTCTTAAAAAAAAAGAGTTCTCGGCACCCTTTGACGGTCGCCTATACTCTATCCATTTTTGAACATCCTTTTTATACAAGGCTGTGTTGCGGATAATACACCCACACAACTGTAGTACACACACCAATGCGTCTGTCGCCTTTGGAATCAACACTGAAGCGGTTTCCAACCCCACTTCCTGAAAACAGTCGTTGATAGCTCGATAGAACAACTCCTCGAGAAAAAAAAGCCATTCAGCCCCGAAGAATAATCAATAATTCATAAACGCCTACCAGTTGTCGCTTAAGGGGGGTCACGCAGGAGCTTGGGGTGGAATGGCTCCGCGTGACGATCGTCTTCAATCGGAGAAGGAGGAATCTGGTCGTTTTCAGTCGGCGGACTCTCATCAGCAGGCAAGTGATTTCAGATTAAGACTTCATTTGAGTGAAGCATATTACTTGCCCTTATTTTGCAATGCGCTATCATAATCCATCCGGGAAATGATATACATTTGCGAACACCCAGTAGAGAGGAAAACACAAGTAAAGAAGCGGAATTATGGAGTTGACCAGCACATGATGATCCTCCTGGTAAAAGGTCCGACTGCAACAACAGGACGCTTGGGGTCCCCTCATTCTTTCGAACAGTCATTCAATTGTTAGGCGCTCCCTTTCGAGCCATCTGATTCATCCATCGATCCCATCATTTTTTTGAGCTTTCAACCTTGCTGCTTCATAACCTGCCTCATGAGCTCGTCCTCTTAATCAATTATCATTTGTTACAAGTACAGCTATGCGTTACATCACAATCCGCGTCCATTTCTTAGTCCATGGGCTTGAACGACGGTAGGCATAGACAAATTAGACAAATACCACAATATGGAGCTTCAGCATCCCCCTATATCCATCTATCGGGGCGTTCTGCTCGGGTACTTTCAATGCTAATCGCATTTACTTCTCTTGGGCCACTCAGGAACGTTCGTAAAACTAGGGTCTTCATTGCTCCTTTTTTTGTGGGAGTTTCAGTTTGGTTTGGGTAAATTAAGGCGAAACCCTTGAATTTCTGGGCTTGAGCGCTCTGGTAGTGGAAAAAGGAATCAATGGGCTGAAGCCAATGGCAGTGGAGTACAAATGACTGGAGAGAGAGAGTATTGTACTTGGACAATTGATATTGATTTGAGTTTGAGAGAGGTGTGGTTTTGATGTATGCTGAGGTTTGAAGCTTAAAAGAAATGATGGTGGGTGTTAAGGGTGTTTATTTGAAGGGTTGAGCTTACAGTTGGTGTCTGTGAGATGGTGATGACCTGTGTTCTGGCAGGATGAGGTCCAAAATAACTGAAAAGATCTGATGCATAACACAAGCGTCAATGCTTATCGTTTTCGATAGGCCTTACTGATACTAGGCTTTTGGATAACCTGACGACCAATTAACTAACTGGTTGTTTGAATTGTAGGAGCGTGGTCAGGCGCGTACAAATGAATACCCGGGGCAAAATGGGCATCAGGTATAAACTTTTAAGAATCAGAGATACATTTCTTCTTCAAAGACTAATGCGAAACAGTCACCTCGTCTCGATCCTACCCATGGTAGAGACTTGAGCAGAGCTCAGTCCTCAACAACAGGAATCAAACTTTTTAGATCCAGCTTGGTAGCGCGGAAAAGTGCGCAAAGCTACCAGTCTACTGGACGCCCACGGGGACGTCCTACTAACAAGTTAAGATTGAGAGATAATAGCTTGCCTTCATCTAGGGTTCCCTCAGCAGGTCGGCATCAGGCGGTCACGAGAAGTAATGGAGCGGAAATTGATAGATATACCAACCAAAAAAATGAGGAAGAGACAAGTAATGCCCATTTCAGGAAGGATGATAGAATGAAGAATTCCGGAGATGTACAAATACCTCAAGGTCGAACAGGTCGTCCGGATCCGAAGGAAGATTTAGGCAGCTACAAAAGATCCGGCTTGTCAGTGACTACAGCTAGCTCGGATGCAACAAGAGAATACCGCCCAGCAAACGATGAACCTCCAAAGTCTAGAATGAAACGGTTTGCTTTGCCTAGCTTTGTCTCTCAATTACTCGAACTGATAATTTCAAAAGCACCTCCGAGATCAGCCTAGAATGTCGGCCACAGGACCGTAGTACAGAGATGATTAGGAACCGAACTCTTTCGACAGCATCTCAATTCTCCCCGCCACCAGAGTTGAAATCTAGTAGACCTTCTACAAGTTTAAGATCGAGTGCTTCGGCTCTTCACAGAAATTTTAATCGTCCAGGCCTGGTTACAGTACGTGGTAGATCCGGAGCCGATATCGTCACGTCTATTTCGACTTCCGCGATGTCGATATCTAGCGGCAGTACGGCGCCACATTCTTTTCCTCACTTAGGGCAAAAGAGGGCGCGTACCTTTGAATTCACCTTTTGTCTTAGATGTGGAAAGCCTAGCACCGCAGAGAACGTCCTCATTCGTTGTAGTGAATGTGATACGCCATACCATAGCTTATGTCATCGACCAGATGCTATACCCAAGTAAATTTCTACCTTTCCTCTTTCTTCCGCCTCCAGCGACATAAATAACATAATATTTTATAGTAATAAAATTTGGAAATGCCAGCGCTGCAAAGGCTCCGAACAGTCTAATGCCTCCACCCCAATGGGACAATCATCTAATTCCACTTCCTCGGAAACGTCTGCCTCGTCGGTGACCTCCGCCGCTGCGCTCATCCCCTTGTCCACAGGGCCTTCGTTTAAATCCGATGGGTCCGGGATGAATAGGACCGATCGTCCTCGGAACGAAGATGCGCGTCTGGAGAATTTTCATTCCTATTCAGATGATGACCGCCTGAGGAAACGATTTAAGGGCGATACGTCCACCCAGAATCAGTGGTCCTCAGAGGGTGCTGCCTTGGGTAGGGTATACGGGGATCTTGAGTATGGGGAGTTGGCAAGATCCAAGATTTTTCATGGAAGTCAAACGTTTGCAGTCGTAATCGGTAGCCGTTCTCGGAGCACATCGGCTTCTGCCGATGGCAAGCAGAACAATCATCAGGGGGGTCATCAGGATTTTGGACATGCCGTTGCCGCGAGGATCTCACAAGGAACATCGGAACGTCTTACAAAGCGCACAAGCATCACGAGCCGTTCGTCGCCTCCGCCTGCAGCTCTTACAAGCTATAACGAGGACCTGAGTGTCCTAAAACAGGCCCGCCTTCCATCAGAGATAAAGGATTCACAAGAGATGGATTATGAATTGGTTGATGCCCAAATGAGCTTGGATTCTGCAGATCTCCACTCACCGATGCAGGAGCGTACCATGCATAACTACCAAGTCCATAACAACATGGCCTCCGAGACTCTGGGAAGAACAACACCGTATTGGGGCACACATGAACAAAATGAACCCTTTTCAAGATACGAGAGGCCATCGTCTTATGATAACCCAAGGCCACCCCCTGAAGATAACTCTCCCCAGTATTCTCCAAGCGTAGGAGATCGCGAAAGGAACGAAGCTGAACGTTCTATCAATCGGGAATATCGTGAGGCATCATCTCCACCTTATAGCCCGCCACCTCCTGATGTTGATGTACTTTATGAGGGCCCTGTGAAGGATCTGACACATATGCCCTTGCCTCAAACAACGCAGCAAGAACAACCGAAAAATAGTGATAATTGGTTTTCGTGCGTAATGTGCAACTTTTATATCCAAAATAATGGACAATATAAGAACAATATCTGGTATGCATCTGGTTCTTCGGCACTTGTTTCTACTACTAATATCAGCTGGAATCAGTGGATCTTGTGCCCTAAATCCTGTACCACCGCGTAATTCCCGGGTTATCCAAGAACCACCTCAACCGACGGCTCAAAGAACGGCAAGGCAAGCCCGGCATCAGGCTGGCCAAAAACCCTATCGAAGAAGGGTACGCAAACACCCTAAACATTTTAAACCGACTTCATCTACGGGTTTTCCGAATCATGAAGCGCCCAAGGGTTCGACCCCCGAGGAATTCTCTGTTGTGCCTGCAGCCAGAAAATTCCAGACTTCGAAGGATAGAGTGAATGAGAAGTATCCAATGAATGAGCCTGTGCCAAGCAAACCACGAGCAATAAGTGTACTGCGGAAAAACAAAGATGAAGAGCCTATCAAAAATACTCTAGAACTGCGCGCCTCCTGTGATATCTCTGATAAGGGAGGGAAACCGGAGGCTGTCGCTACTAATGGGAAATCTCGGAGACCGGTTAGGCCTAGCAATTTTACAGGCCCAGCGAGAAAATTCCCTAGCACGCCTATTTCCCACGAGTCTCCGCCTCCGGGAGTGGTGAGCTCCACTGAGCGACCAGTAAGCCGTAACGATAATAATCCTCCGAAAAAGATACCGCCGCGACGGCCTGCAGTAAAAAATGCAGGCGGATCAATTCAATTCACTGACTCCGATGACTCCGATGAGCCTGTGGGTGACAGGGCCACAATTATAATGCTTCAGAAGAAATTAGCAGAGCAGAAAAACTGCACCAAAAACCAGAGGAACAAAGTTATAAGGCTACAGGGAGAGCTTACAGAAGTCAAGGAAGAGCTTACAGAAGCCACGAGGGAGACAAAGAGGGTCCGAGAAGAGTTCAGCGCTAAACTGGCTCAAGCACGCAAAATTAAGAAATCTGATCCCGTACAACTGGATATAAATGACGAAACAAAGGCGTGTGACCTGCTGGTAAAACTTACTACAGGAAAGCTTGCACCTGTACCTCTAAAATTAAAAGATCTCTATAAGGATATCGATTTTACCGCATCTTCCCCTTGGCCTTGTCCTCCCGAGCTGCCCGAGCCAGATCCGAAGAGCTTTCGTAAACCAGGATGGCGGAAAAAGGCTCCCGAATATGACACCAAAAGAATGATGAAGGTCCATCTTCATCGCCAGCTACCCTGCGCTAAAACTCAGCCGCCCAAAATCATACCCGGGTCATTACACGACTTGAGTAATGCACATATGGATAGCCGGAGTAATAGTTTGGATGACGAGTATAGTGAATATTCTCTAGGAGGCCTTGAAACTACTATTGATGAGTTCCTAGGGTTTCCAGAGAATATGGTCCCAGCTGTTAAAGATGGAGTGCTGGGATTTCGGCCCGGTATTATCGTATGCTTTCACCAACTTTGGTTAGGGTTTACAGCTGCTAATATCTGTAGAATCAACGAACCCGACGCCTTGATCGAAACGTCCAGCACTACAAAGTCCGGACCCCTGGAGCTCTTTTGGATAGGATTTGAGCCTGTGGGTGAACAACCGTCGACTTTACCATCCTCCCACCTCACCCGCCAGGTTTTTGTCTCTCTTCACCCACTCTCCTTGTCTGTATAATATATTATTAGGGTTAATTACCCCTATGATTAATGATTTTCGTATATGTCTTGATTTTTTATTCTATCATATCTGGTTAATATTTACTTGGTGTTTCGGAGATGTTAGAGCCTGCTTTTGCTGTAAAGGCGCACTGGTCTGGTTCTTCTTTATGTTTAAAAATGGTTTTCTTTATAACATTCTTTATTTCCTAGCGGAAATGGAGGGGGGGAGTAAGGTTTTACTTTGTTTATATTGGGTTTGATTCAATGAAAAACGGTGTATGGTGGCTATGCATGTGGGTAACCACTTTCTGATATCAGTGGGAGGAATGAGGGACGGAGCGGCCTTACAGTCTGAAATTGACTACATATATTGCATTTCATTACATACTACATGTATCCACTACCTGCCGCAATGATGAATTGATGAAAAAAAAAAAAAACCTGCCGCGATGGAAGTCTGTAGGTATATGTAGTACGGATGTAGATGATACTTGTAACCAAATACAATCACTTTTGAGTTAAGTATGTACATGTAGTTATCTCTTTATAATAGGGGGGCACAATTTTAATTGATCTGGGAGCACTAACTTTTGCGAGTGCGCCTCGGAGTGGAGAAACAATTATCCGAACTCTAAAACTGTGGCGTTGCCGCGTTGGTGCAACCTCGTTGTGAGGCGCAAATTATTCAACATCATTGATTTCCAAGCAACAACAGCATCCAACCATCGCTGCACCATTTGGAATCAGAGCAGAACAGCATCACATCACCCATGGCATCTCTATTCAGATCACCGGTATTCAGGCAGGTAGGGCTTTATTTATAATTCCAAAATTGTTTCGTTGAAACCATGCAAGAATAATTATTGTTTTATAGACTACTGCCCGAGTCCTTCGCACATCATCGCAGCCACTCCAGAGGTTGCAATTCCAGCAAATTCGTCGCCTCTCAGACGAAACGCGCAAGACCATTGATGGAGTACTACAGACTGCCCCTGTAGTCCTGTTCATGAAGGGTACCCCGGAGATGCCGCAATGCGGATTCTCGCGTGCATCTGTGCAGATCCTCGGGCTGCAGGGCGTCGACCCAACAAAGTTTGCGGCAGTCAATGTGTTGGAGAACGATGAAGTCCGACAGGGTTTGTCCCTCTCTCCCTCGCCTCTCCCTCCAGTAATGGTTGGGGATTAACTTTGTCGAGTGATAGGCATCAAGGAATACTCCAACTGGCCCACGATCCCCCAGCTGTATGTGAACAAGGAGTTTATCGGTGGTTGCGATATCCTTGTCTCCATGCACCAGTCCGGCGAGCTTGCGGAGTTGCTGGAGAAGGAGCAGGTTCTTGCTCCCCCGGAAGAGACGCCGGAGGGAGGTGAGAAGGCATGAGGGGCACCTTAAAATATGGTTGGGCTTATAACTTCAAAACGAATGAAATTCTTTCTCCTCTCCCGGGTGAGATTGTTGATGCCTCTGTTCGTGTCTGTTTGTAACTAGCAAGGGTACAAAGGGATGGTTTACAAAATTATGTTTATAAGTGCTATTTTTTTTGTCTCGGCTTCAACGTACATATTCATGCATAGAGGACTGATGAGGGTTTCGCACTTACTTGGTTTATTACATTTGAATAGTATATCTCAAATTTGTTAGGGGATAAAAACAAATTCATGGCACCGCAGGCCGCATATTAGACATTTTTTGAGTCACTGAGGATTCCAGTGGATTTTCGGTTGTCAAGTGGGCTCATATCTAGTTATGGTATTGGGCATTTCTGATTTAATTCAAATCCATTGAGACGGTTGTGGATGTCTCTTGTAGGTGGCATGTGTTGGTCTATGGGGACATGGAGATGAAGTCGCTCACTGCTCGACATATGAACAATTGATTTCAGCAGAAGATACATACATTTTTCGAGTATAATATCAATTTATTGAGGCTAGTACGCCCCCCCGGGGGGGGGGGGGGGGGCGTGCATAATGTATCGAGGTGTACCTGCCTCGGGACGCCCTAATCTGCCTTGGTGCTATGCTCGAAAACTCTAGTTTTCTAGAAGTTGCGGTCCATCGATAATAGATTGAACTTGAGTTTAGTATAGGCAGTGAAACAACTGCCCTCTGATAAGGATGTGTGTTGGAGACTCTGAGAAAATAAGAATATAGAACTTTGAGAGTATGGTGGCCTGAGATTAACGTGTCCCGATGGTTTTAAGAGGTGAAGATGTTTTTGGGCCAGGGTTCTTGTATGAACTCGTCCCACTCCGGGCTTTTTTACGGCAACCGCCCACGCTTGGGAGAATTAGAGGCTACATAAATCTGCTTACATGTTCAACTAGCTAGCACCCGCCTAATTAAACCTATTTGATACTGTCACTACACTGAATATAATTTGGGCTTGGCGCAGTAAAAAGCTAAGGCTCTACTGCCTGTGAATCACTTTTGTACGAGCCCCATGGTGCGGTCGCAGGAAGCGGTGGTGTGTTTTGGTTTGTCTTGATAATTGTAATAGTCCAAGAAGCGTTAGCGCAAAAGGAACCGAGTGCTATCCTATGAAGGAGTCCATGGCAACTTTTGTGAATCGAATTGGTGGTGTTTGTATTGATAGGAGTGAAGTTTTTATCCATTTAATTTATCAATAGCCCATACAGAATAGGTATATAGCCCAGTTAAATCCTTCTAGAGCATGCACATGCTAAGCATCATTCTGTTGAGACACTCTAGTTTCATTCTTCCCACATAAAAACACACAGAAAGTGGCGGTTTGCGTTACCGTTACCGTACCCTCGTACTACGCATGTGGTACCTTACCTTCAACAATTTTTGGTTGCCCGTTTGGGTACCTAGATGACTGCCCAAGAAGTTTCCCTCGGCGCTGAGGGATTTCGGTCTTAGGCTGATGCATCATGAGCATCACCCTACACAAAGTGTCCATTTCAAAACATTCTCACCTCATCCCATCTCAAATCCCCGATTCAAAACCATGGTTGCAGGAAAGGCCAAGAGATCCGCATCACCACCCTGGTATCCTATCCCCGATAAGATAGTTTATCTCCTCGCCCAAATCGAGGCCTTCTACAAGAGTTTCATCCTCGATATGACTCTTCTCAACGACTTTGCTCCTCAAGACTACGACGAGATAACCGCCTGGTATATCGGCCTGCAGGAGAACCGTGGGGGAGCCTTTAAGACCGGCCCAGCTAAACTCATGAATTATCTGTTGGATACGTGCATATATTGTCGTAATGCAGCACTCACCCGCGAATATACCGACGACCCAAAAGACTGGGTCAAAGCGTTCTTCGTAGAGTTTTATACTGCTTACGGAGAGGCGGATGTGCCTATGTGTTATGAAGTGGCGGCGAGGTGGAAGGCGCCTGTGAGGATCAAGAGGGAGGAGGCCTAGGGGGTCTGGTGATCTAGTTGGCTGTTCTACAATTCATATTGTGAGTGTACTCTATGAGAATATGATCCTGAGACGGCTACTAACTTTGCGAGAAAGCTTAGTACTAGTCATACTCGGGATCGGAAGTAACCTACTCAACTACCCTTTAACTAATAATAGGTAAGTGAAAGCTTGTTTCATTAGTATGCAATATATAGCACTCGTGATTAACATTGTGTATTGATGGTAACATTCTGTAGTACAAATTTATCAAACCGGTTAGCGTCAATCAAGTGGGTATACGGTCGAGTGACACCCCATGAGAATTCAAAACTGAATCGCAGGCAATGGGTGTTTAAGTTACAAAATAATTAGGGGGAAGGGTGGAGGGGTGTAGGGATAGTTCAGGCCATGTAGTATTTCATCTTTGATGAAATCAACAGTGTAAAAGATTCTTAGCCACAAGTCAACAGAAATCCCAAAGAAAAAACGAATCCTTCTTTTTATTTTGTGCAATTTTAATACAAAGAATACTCAAAGATAGATGAACACAACACAGCGCCAAACTAAACAAGCCAGAGAGACAGATACCCCGACAGAAAACAGAAATCCAAGTAACCCAATTCGTAAAACCGGAAGTAAAATCGTAAAAATCAATCAGTACCACCTGTAACCCAGAGAATCCCACCGCCCAAGAGAGAAAAAGGAGAGAAAGACAAAAACTTCGTGCTAACCCAGTAAGTGTCAGATACCCAGCCATGGGTAAGTAATCGCTATAGTACGCCATGAAAGGAAAGAAAAAAGAAGCCCATCGACATATAAATCCATCCCAGTACTAGAAACCAAGAGCTGTAGCCCGAACACAAACAAATAATTCACTTTTGTTCTTCCGACATATACTCTTCCTCCTGAACCACATCAAGCCCCCTCATTCCTGGCGGTTTGTTCCTACAAGCCCCTCTCGAGCCACCCCTCCCGCCATTGCCCCAACTATATCCTCTACCCGAACCATCGTATTCCCTCCCTGAATATTTACACCGCCTCCCACGTGATCCGCTATATCCACTCCAGGAATTGCTTCTAGGGCCTCTGTACACCCTATCGATAGGTGACAACCTCGACATGGATGTTGTTTTCGTACTACCCAACGGCGGTCTTCGCAACGGTGGCACTGGCCCTGTTAGGTGACCCGCAAATAGCTGCTCCATATGTGGCGAAGTGGGCACGCTCAAAGACAATATATGTGCTCCCCCAGATCCTTCTTCTTTCGAAAAAGTGCTATATCCATGGCCTCCCCTGCTCTCATGAAAAAGAGGAGAGCGGTCGGTGTCTTTAGGACCTGCCCGCCTCCAGGCTTTATAGGTGTATTCAGGCTCACACCGTCTGTTGGCACGGCCACGCCAATTGGTGACAGAGAGGGATCCTAGGATGGAGTGGCGGCGGGAATCACGAGAGATGTCTGATTTGGTGCGGGGGGAATTTCGGCGACGACGGTACCATTCTAGTAGAATCGGATGTTAGATTGGAATTAGAAAGGATTTTATGTGGAGAGGCTATTGGTGGTACGAGTACAAAGGGGTACAGGTACAAGACACAAAGAAATGTTAATAAAGCAGTGTGATTTTTAAACAGGCACAACAGAACGAAACAATACTGTGAGTGAAGTGGTGCTACTCCTCAAAAACAAAATGCTCAACGAGAAATGAACTCTCACACCTTTCAAAGGAGCAACTTTCTTAGCTCTCCAGGGTCTTCTTTCCTCTTGCTCAGAAGCGTATATCAATTCGTTCGCGGCAGCACACCATATACATCCGGCAACAATTGTAAATATTACGGCAACGAGCCCAAATACAATTATGACAATGAATATTCCACTCCGCGGAGGCCCTGTTCCCCCTCCTATTGGCCGCCCTATTTCACCCGGGGGGTCAATTACATCTTCGTATTCGGGATGCCTATGGATGCCCTGAAGCCCGATGTGTTGGAGAATTGTATGCAGTAGTTCAGATGGCGCCGAAGTTAAATTAGGAATTGGCGCCATTGTAGCTGCAGTGGTTGCAGCACGAGCATGTGGTACCCTAATGTATCGTGTGATTTTTGTATGAGAAGGAAGAAGGGATGAAGAGGAAAGGGAAAGAAGAGGAGAAGAAAGAGTTGAAAAAGACTACTAGTAGAGAGGGGGGCAGTGTGCTCTATCTATGGGGATGCAAGGATAAGCAAGTGAAGAAAGATGGGCGAGGTGGTGGTGGTGTGTGCTGGGGCTGGATCTATGTATGCTGGATTGCGGGGATACCTGAATCTGAAACTACTGTGACTGATCGTCTCGGTGCCTCAGCGACGACCAGCCAAACCTGTTGGAAAGTTGGTAAAAGTACCAAACCCTGGTCTCGCTTACCCTTAGATGGTGCCGAACTATCACCAAATAGTTCGATGCGTGACGATATTGCCCCACAATACGCAATCTATTTAATGATGCGGAAGCATGCGAGAGATCGTGATTTGGTAAAGAAGGCAGGCTGATGCTCAAATAGAAGGAGCATGAGGGGTATTCATCACCACCTCTGCAAATCCAGAAGTAAAACCTCGCAGGAAACGGAGTACCTGCCTCCTGAAGGCTTCGCCGTACTCTAGATAAGAGAAACCAACTTGTGAATCAGTCCGTAAGACAGAAACCAGCGGTCACATAAACAGAAAATGCAGGTCCTGAGTATTCACAGCTGAGTTTCTAACTTCCAATCCTATGGCTTCTAGCCCGCGGCCGACATACTCTACCTGCTCTAGTTAGAGCAGAATATCCAATTTGGCTGAAAATAGGTCCCCAATCTACTGCATCTACCCGGCTCCCAGACCCAAGCATCACCAACTGAACCGACTTAAACCGCCCTGAGGGGACTCCGCCATCTTAGTCCCCGTCTGAATTGTAATTCTGATTTGGCACCTGATGATACCATGAAGGATAGAACAGCCAGATAGATAAAGGGAAAGGATTCAAGTGATTGATCAACCCTGCTTTTACTTCTGATAGCTGATGAAACAGCAAATCAGCCGTACTTCCGATGCAGGGAAAACGAGGAACCTATGATGATGGAAGAAGGTCCAGTCAGTCGGGGAATTTTAGACTTTGGGCGTGCCCGAATCAGTCATCGTGACTGTTCTTTCTGTGTGGAGCACGCGACACCTCATGTCGAGAGGAAAAAAGCTCTCTTAAGAGAATAGCGAGTTTCTAAAGACTACCAGTTGTATGAAACTCCGCAAAATTAACTCAATGCAATATGTGATAACGCTCAATTTATTAATGTAGTATTTCTTGCAGCAGGAAACAGTAGACTGTTGTCAAGAATCAATTCGACTGCAAACAGGGTTAGGGTGGCTGGTGGTGTGTGTTTATTGCGTTATCATTACACCTTTGTGTGTGTCTGGCCGTTTTGAAAATAACCTCTGAGTTCACGCCAAGAGTAAGAACACGTGCTGCATGTTACTCGAGTAAGTGTAAACATTAGAATCGATGCTATGTTTCCTAGTCCACAGTCTCTCGAATCAACCCAAACAGATCCGAAGCACTAACTCTACAACAATGGCAATAAGGTCAGCATATTCAATTCCGAACTGCGGACTAGCTTGCCAAAGCTTTAAAGGCTGATAGAGTGCCTTTAGATATCTGATTCTCCTCTCACGACAAGGCAAAGTGGTTTGCGTTCCTTTCATCCCATGGTATCATAGATAAAGCACATGTAGCTCTGAAGCTACCTAGGAGCTAATCATTAGCTTGTAGCGTTTGTCGAAATGGTTCATCACAGTATCACAAAAAGAAAAAACCAAGGTCCTCCGTGATGTAGCACAGCTCGTCCTAGCAAGACGTACCAAGATGTGCAACTTTCTCGAATACAAAGGTGCCCCTCAATATTGTCCGTTCTCCCCGCATAGCTGACAATATCAAGTAGATGCTAAGGTGGTATACCGCCGATATGCATCACTCTTCTTTGTAACCGGGATCGACAGCACGGACAACGAGCTCATCACATTAGAGATCGTACACCGTTACGTGGAACAGATGGATAAATATTATGGGAACGTGTGTGAGCTGGACATCATATTCAATTTCCAGAAGGCATATTTTATCCTGGATGAGCTTTTGATTGGGGGAGAGATACAGGAGAGCTCTAAAAGGACCGTCTTGATGTGTATATCGCAGCAGGATGCGATTGAGGACTCAGAGGCGCATCACGAAGGGTTGGTAAGAATGGGATTTCAATGATAGGGCCTTTGCTTTTTTTAAAAAGTATCCTTCCGCTCATGACTTTGCTTTTTTTATTCTTATTTTATTTTTTTTGAGTGGGGCTGGGTAGCTATGTAAATACCTACATACATGCACCATGTAATGGGGTTTTTTCGAAAGTGGTATGATGTGATACCCAGCGGGCACAAGAATATTTGCTGCGAGGAAGGATCAAGACGACAAATATGAGTTCACATAGTGAATAACCCTTGAAAACGTAATGGTTTAAACTTGTCATTACGAAAGAAAAAAATCGCGTTATTGTATGATATAATACAAGCATTGGTTTTACGCCTTCACGCCTTCTGATAATTCTGGACGCAACACATAAACTATTGTCTTTGGTATGTGACCTTGACGATCTTGTCCTCCAAGACCATCCCACCCATCCCTTCCTTTGCACCAATCGCCCCTTCCAACTGCTCAAATTCCACAAATGCAATTCCTTTCCTTCCCGGTACCATACGCACTTCTTTGAACCCATCGAAGCGCCCAAATAGGGAAGTGAGCATAGTCTCGTCTGTGTCGTCGGGTAGGTTCTGTAAGAACAATGTAGTATTGGGTGGGAGATATTCGTCTGGGATTTGCGGGGCTGCAGCAGGAGCAGTAGACTTGAGTCCACCACCGGCCTTCTTCGCAGTGGCCTTTGGTGCGTCTGCGGCTTGCGAAGCGGCTCCGGCGCCGGCTGTAGGTCGGCGCTGGGACTCAATAGCTGCAAGAGCTTGCTTACGTTCTGTTTTATATTAGGTTATCTCGATAAACATAACCTAAATATAAGAAAGCTGGGGTAAGTACCTTTCTCTGCCAGCCTTCGTCTTTTGTGCGCTTCGAATTCGGCGCTATCCTCTCCAGCATCTCGCTTCACGGTCGCATCACTACGGGTCTTCGCAAACGCAAGAACCATGGGCTTATCAAATAGAGGGAACGCCTGGACCTCCTTGATGGCTTGCTCGGCGGCTTGTGGAGAGTCAAACACCACAAAAGCTTGTCCCTTGGCCTTCAGATTCTTTTTTGCGACAAGGTCGACGATGTTCCCATATTGGGAGAAGATGGTAGTAAGGGATTGCTTAAGGAGAGGGATCTTGATAGATTCTTCGAGGTTACGGATCTACAGGGATATGTTAGTTGGTTTCTAGAAGCTCGGGGGAGGTTGTGAGGAACGAGCTACATAAACTCTAGATAAGGTGTTAACGTTGTTACAGATCAAGCATGGGGAAGAAGGGGTGTATTACGTGCAGGACGGAGTACCAGCAGATGCTGTCGCAGCGGGTGGTGAATTAGAAGCCATGGCTGAGGTTATTTGTGGGGACGTTCTGAATTGAAGATCTCGAGAGGTATGGGTGGTCCGAACTTGTGTGCACCAGCCAGGTAAGTCTTGTGTCTTGGCATTTCGACTTCACTCGAGCTTCGGTTATTATTGCCAAGACCCTAGTTACCCTCTCGAATTGTTCCCCTGCGGCTCAAACCTAACGTCATTTACCGAACCCTTGTGGCCCACCAACCGCAACTTCCCGGAGCTGATTTCCAATGTCACAATTCAATAAGCTCGTACCGCCGCCCAATTTCTGCCAGGTCGAGGAGGGGCTGTTTAGAAGTGGCCAACCAACATCCATTAATCTATCTTTCTTATCGGAGTTGAAGTTGAAGACCATTGTCTGGCTTGGTGGGTTTCCTGCGCGCTCCGTTAACCTGATGTTTGTGTTCTCATTGAAATATACCGCACTATACCCTTGTTGATAAGAATAATTAAACTTATTCTCGTATGGATATTATTTACCTCTGGTATTCCTCCTGTGTGGATTCTTACCTCACGTATCTGTAGCCGTCGAAGAACCGGATGAAACGCTCCTGGGATGGCTAGACGATAACAATCTCACTCTGTACCACCTTGGCCTCCAGGAGGGCGGTGCGCCATGGGATGCAATCACTGTCGAGTCCATCACCGATGCCTTAGAGGTACCGATAGGAGCTCTCTCGCCTCATGCCCACCGCCAATAGCTGACGTAGTTACATAGCACATCATCAACCCTTCAAACTTCCCTATCCTCGTATCCTGCTCAATGGGTAGACATAGAACTGGTACCGTAATAGGTTGTCTTCGTCGTTTGCAAGGGTACAACTCTTCTTTCTTGCCATAAACTCCCACATTCTGCTAACCTGGCGGTGAAGTTGGAACCTATCAAGCACCCTCGAAGAGTACAGACGTTTCACTGGAAACAGACGCAACAGATTGGAGAATGAGCTTCGGATAGAGTATTTTGATACTGCGTTGGTGAAGCTTCCGCAGAAGGAAGTGCGTCCTAGCTGGTTGTGGCTAGATTGACTACACTCATAGGTTTTAATCTTCTCTTCTGTGTTTATTTTCGGTTGAGTACAATGAGACGAATGGCGTTATCTTTGTTGGGTGGTCTTTAGATTGGTAAGGATATATACCTCCTACTTTTTTATGTCATTTCCTTTTCTCCGTTCATCTCTTATTTTCGTGGAAACCCTCGAAAACCACAAGCTAGTTGATATGCTCTGTCATCTTATTGCGTTACCGCTCGAGCGTAGTTAAGCTGGCATGTAATCTAGCGAGGAATTCCAAGTAGTGAGACTATGCCCGCCATCCCAAGGTTTTATCCTAGTTTATTTATCTTGTCCGTTCTTTGAGGGGACATCGAGTGACATTCCATGACGCAAACCCGCTGTTTAGTTTATTTATTCTCATACAACTAGACCAATCCGTATATGCCTATCGCCATTATTTTTCACTACAGAACCGAATATCGACTTGGTGATTTGTCCCGAAACAGACCTTGGCCGAATAATAACTCTCTTGGTGAGTACATGTATGTAGGTACATACTATAATTACCACAAGATTTGGTTTCCGGTTCCCCAACAAAGCTGCCCCCCCCCTAATCATCAGGTCCAGGCAGCCATTTACGAGTACAGACAGCTAGAACGCGGTGCCTATCAACTAGACGTATACTACCACTACTGCTTACCAGCTCTTCCTGGATCAATGATGAGCACGATCGAGACAAGACGAGACATAGTGCACTATGTCTCGTCTTGTCTTGTCTTGTCCCGTTCCATCATAGTCTTAGAAGTCTCGAGTATAGGAGCTGTGGTTGTTTTATCCTCGTTACTTATTTTCTCTTTTTTGTTTCCCGTCTTTAGAAATACACATCTGGAACCACTCTTATTTTAAAGGAAATAGGATGTGATTCATCATCCTATGATTATATTTTGTTTTTATATTATATGTAAAGAGTCTGGGGCAGAGCCAAACGTTTGGATTCAGGCCAATCTGTAGCCTCCATTGACGAATTTGCTTCTTGCCCTACCCTTTTATATTCTAGTAGATACAATTTCACCTTGTACTTTTAAGAAAAGGCCTATGGCCGGGCAGGGATACATGTAGTTCCAGAAGCAGGGATGGTTCCAGAAGCATGAAGGCTCTCTTTTGCTTGTTTTATCCCCTGGGTAAGAAGCTCGCCTGGTCTAAAGATTGGAACTCTTCGTTAGTTTGATTACTCGCCTTCCAGTAGCGATTCCTGGGACTAAAAAGAGCCTATTAAAGATTAATCGAGCCTATGAACAAATGCTCATTGAAGACTTACTACTTGATCTATGTGTGGCCTTCTAAGTATAGACAGACAACTACGAAACCACCCAAGAAACCAGAGTCTAGCTTTCTCATACCAGAAACCTGTTTCTTTGTTCACCGGCGATGCGGTTAACGAGTCAGTCGATTTTTGGTTACAGCTTTATAATTTTGACCGTTGGAATACGCCCCAAACAACACATATGGCCAGTAACTATACCAGTATCCTAAAAACTTGAATAGCATTCTGCGAGTCAAGGGACGAACAAAAGGAAGACTGAATACATATTGTATGAGTAACCTTCCTTGAAACTATATGTTAACATACCCTCCCCGGCCAAGGATGGACGACTTAAGAAGCCGTACAATCTCCGCCCAAAGAATGTCGCTATAATAGCATTGTTAGTCTAGAAACCTGTCTGTTAGTTTTTGATTACAGATTAGTGACTCTAATCTCTGGGATTCGTAGGCTAATAACTCAACCAGTAGTTGTAGATAGTAACTGTAACCGTGTCCAAAAACGAGCCTGTTGATGATTAACTAGTAGAGATGATGAACGAAATATAATACTTACCGTATGATCCATACATACCCTCTCCGGGCCTTCCAATATCCACCCAGAGAAAGCAGCTGTCTATTAGTTTGACAACGAGAACCGTTGTTTTTCAATTACAAGCTACAAATTAAACTGTTAGAACATGCGCAAACAGACACAGCTAATAGCCGTATCCGCATCCTAAAAACTAGCCCAGTATCTACAAATCATAGTCGAGAAAAGAAAAAACAAAAACGTACCGTAAATCAAACCATCCCCAAATTCTCTACATACCCCTATAGACACCCTCCCGAGGCAAAGACAGATGACCTAATAAGCCGCCCAATCTCATACCCAGGGAAACCATCGTTCAGCGCTATCAGGCTAGTAACCTGTCCTTTGGTTTATCAACGAGAGAGAATTGTTGGTTTTCAATAACAAGCTAATAACTTGAACCGTTGGAATACGCGGGCTAATAACCCAAACAGCAGACGCAGCTAGTAACTGTGTCTGTGTCCCGAAAAATGGCCTGATATCTATAAATCGTGAGATTGTGTGTCTGTTGAGGTCAGCAGAGCAAACAGAAAAGAAGAAGGAGATGGTACTTGAAGATAGGTGGTAAAAACAGAGTGGGCACAAGGAGGAAAGAGCAGACTCACTGTTATGTTTATTGATGTTGTTGATGTTGTTTATTGTTGAGCTTGATGAAAATACCGACGGCGAAAAAATCCATCTTTGACGGCGATAGGTTATCGAAGACAGTGAGTCGAATTCAAAGATGACGAGGTTCCCAAGACAAAGGCTGTGATGTCGCCGAAGGTTGTGGTGTTGCCAAAACATTTGTGTGTGCGAGATGAAGAGTGGTAAAGAGTGGGGCGGGGTGTAGATAAAGAGCCACCTTTGAGGGTTAGGGGTGTGTGGGGGTGAGTGATGTATGGTGATGTGTGATGCGGGGTGTTGATGCGTGTTGCTGATGCGGGTTACCCGCTTGTCGGCTAGGTGTGGTGTGTGTGATTGGGGTGTTTTTTGTTTGCGGGTGGGGCCCGGGGGCGGTCATGCCCTGCCGTAGGTTGAGTCATATGATATCACTCGGCTATTTTCACCTGGCCTTTCTCGCTGGCGGCCCCACCACAACTTTTGAACGCAACACTAACACGTTAGCGCGAGCTCGAAAACTTTGAATGATCAACATTGGAATTTAATAATAATAGACACTAGGAATAAACTTTAAGTATACAAAGCAATCTCCTCTCTACATGACTGGATATACGATAACGAGAGGGAGAGGGGTGGGTATACACAAGGCTTCAACATAAAACGAGATCTCGATCAAGAGCTCTCAACAACGAAAAAAATCAGCATATACTTATACAGCTCTCTTCCTGCCTCACATAGTCTCCGCTCCGATTATAAAAAAACGACAAAACGCCAATTCCAAATAATATCCATGCCGTCATATGCAGCATGATCCCGCGCGGTCTACCTACCTCCCTCTGTCTCTCTCTAGATCTACCTAAACCTGACCGATACTGGGCCTCCTCTCGTCCCTGCTCCTCCTGAACTTGCCGCCGAGCGGCACCCATCCGTCCTTGCCGACCCAATAGCTCCTCCCAACCTTGACCAGCGCCCTCCCAAGCTGCCCCTTCCACCCCTCACCATTATTCCTTCCCTCGAACGGCGCCTCTCCCGGCGTGGCGCTCTCCATCACAACGCTCCTGGCAAACGCCGCCACAATCACTACGAAATACGCCCTCACGACCCACAGGATCGCGATGATAAGGACGCACGTGGGGCTCTCAGGCTGCAGCATCCCAGCACCGAGATAAGGCTGTTGCGCGGCACCGTCAACATTCATGCCGACGGCGACGGCCTCCTGGCCATTCTGGACGATCTCAACATTGGTGACATTGTAGACCGGCGAGGTGAAGCCGGCGGTCTCATCGATTGTCTTGGCGGCGGAGCTGAGAGGATGCTTGGCGGAGAGGACAAGGAACCAGGAGATGCCGAAGACGACGGTGTAGAGCGCGTTAATCAGGGAGTCGAAGAGGTAGAGGTAGGCGAAGCTGAGTGCCGCCAGGGGGTCGCGGTGATGCAGCTTTGGCGTCAGGATGACGAGCAGTACCGCAAGGAGGATTGAGTATATGTACATGGAGAGCTGGAGGCCGGAGATGGCGGCGCCTGGAGAGAGGAGCGGGTCAGTAACTAGGGAGTGGGAAGCGTCGGGGGTGGGCGGCGGTTAGAACCCACCAGTAAAGATGGCGAGGATGCCATATAGTCCCGAGACCTTGTTGAGAAGGGCGCTCATGAGGATCAGCTCGGCGCCATTTTGGAGGTCGAAGAGACCGAGGAAATGCTAAGGAGAAATGTTAACTTTTGTGGCGTGACAGGTCCGACCGGTGGTTCGAGGGGGGGTGCACATACTGTTGGGCGGGGCATCCGCAGAAAGCGGAGAGAGAAAGTCATGATATTATGGCTGCAATATTTGGGGGTTGTTGACAATTTTATAGGTGTGTTAGTATGTGCCTGATATGATGTATGACAGGTGATGGTTGATGATGGATGATGGATGATGGATGATGATGATGGATGGATGATGCGTGTGGGTTGCCTGCCAGTGGTTGTTGTTGCAAGAAGCAGGGAAGAAAGTTATGTAGGCAAGCAAGCAAGTAAGTAAGCAGGCAAGCTCCCTTTCTCTGCCTCCCTCCTCGCAGTGCCCACATGTACTCGCCCTCTCCCATGATCCATCCCTCCCGTCCATCCGCCTCTCTCCTTTACTCGGTCCGGACCCGGGAACACGCATTCCGATTTCCGATTCCAGGGATTTTAAAGCTCCGATGTGGGACAACCAACTACTTGGAGAGACGATCACCATACGAGTTGAGAAATATATCCCGGCGCGCTTGTTGCCGGGCTTTCTTGGAATCTACCATATTTAATTGTCGAGTCTATCTGCAGCTATGCGAGAAAGAGAGAGTCTCTTTGATGGATGGGCCTATGGATTGCGATATTAATATAAGATACTCGAGTCTGGAATCCCCTTTCTATAAACACCACACACACATAGATCATGTAGCTACCCTTCTCCCAGTGTTCTCCCTCCCTTCCTCTATCTATCTGCAGGAGCCCTTATCCAGGAACATTCCATCATCCATTCCATCATCATTCATGACATGTCGCGTGCACTGTCAGTCAGTTCAGCCAAACCCACTGACGCCGAGGCCCGTGTCAAATGCCTCACTCGGTATCGTTCACTCACTAGCTCTCACTCACTAACTCTCACTCACTAACTCTCACTAATTCACTTTAACTCACTCACAGACATATTCCAGGGCCAGGCACTAACAGCTGACAGCGTAGCACAGCAGCGGCAGACAGGCGCAGACCAACACCAACAGCAGCACTGGTAAAACAATTGAATTAAAAACGTAAAACAAAAACCGAAAAAGAAAGAAAAAAAAGGAAAAATAATAGAAACCCGCAATTGTCTATGTAACTAGTTAGAGCAAAGCAAAGCAAAGCAAGCAAGCACCACCGTCCTTCTACAATTGATCTATCCCCGCCAACTTTAACGCCTCTGATCTCCCCTTCCGGTACAAAAACGATATAAACGATAGTTTAAAAACCTCCCTGAGTGTTTGCAAGTCGACAAACAATAACAAAAAATGAAAAGAATAGAATAATAAAAAAAAATAGGAATAATTGTGTTAGTTGGGGTGCCATTCTATGCCATTAATACCTACCGGCGCCGGCCCCCTTACTTCCCTACGGTAGAGGAGCCCCTCCTAAAGTAGAGAGAGAAAGAGACCCCCAAAGAAACCCCCAAACCAAACCAAACCCTACAAATCCATAAACACCGCCACCAGCACTCCATCTCCCTTCCTGATCAACACCTTACTACACCACCACCGCTACAATCAGCACTCCCATTCATTCCATTTCTCTCCGCCAGGCAACATGAACATACCTATCCTTATACACCACGGCGCCCACACCGTCCGCATCCAGCCCATCGCGCGACGCAACCGCCAGATACGTCGCGTCGTCCTCCGTCGCCTTTCCGGACGCTGCACTCTGCGGTCAGTAACACAACCATCCAAGGGGGTGAGCGGACCAGTCATCTGATGTGCGTACCTCCGAGGCAGATGCCGGTTGAAGCTTCGACGAGGAGGGCGCCATTGACATTCGGGGTGTCCATGCTAGTTTTCCCGCGTCAGTACCGCGGAAGATGGGACGAAGAGAATATAGAGAGGTCTACACTTGGGAGAGCCAGCGGGAGATGGCTGTGGGATCCATGGCCGGGAACTGAGGTAGGGACGGTATGTTGGGCTATTTAGTTTGTTGATCCGGGGGTAGGCAGGTAGGTAGGTATTGAGTGCAATAAGCTGCTAATTCACTGTGATAATCCTAACCGTGAAAGCAGCAATCGAAGGTTTGCAGATGTAGATGTAGAGAAGCTTAAGGCGGGCGGAAGTCAGGTAGGTATGTACTGTACTTTACTGTGTCTTGTAGGAATCGGATGAGTGGGTCGCGCGTGGGTACTATCTTAAGTAGCAGTTCCTAGGACCGGTTTTGAGTTTAGCTGGTACGTTATTATTATTAAGGACCCGATACTCAAGTTGCTCGTTCCTGGCTGGTTGGGAAGTCGAGGTCGAGAACAAGCAAGGAGCACCCCCGACAACAAGACTCGAGGGTGGAAGGGAAGAAAAAATGAAACATCGAATTTAAGGACAAGCTCTATCAGTCAATCGATTCATCCCAAGTTCTACTACTGCTACCTACTGCTACTATCCAGGCAGGACCAGGACCAGGAATAACTTCAATCGAAGCGCAAAGAACAAAAGAAAGAAAAATCTTCAAGATGGCAGCTAGTTTAGCTGTCGGACGTGTTCAAACAGGCCACCCACGCACGCACATCTCACACACACACAACTATTATTATAATTTTTTCCTATCATATCGGCATAGCGTTATGCAGGCTACATACATTAACAACACCAGTTCCTACTTGTTTGCTGGTTTGCTGGTTTGCTGGTCGACCAGATCTCTTACAATCCTTTGATCAAGACGCGTGCAGATACTATTCTGGTGATAAACGTCACTGCGCAGTACAGACAGATAAGTAGACATTTTGGCCTCGTGTCTGTGTGCATTGCATTGTGCATCTGGGAATAGGCAACTCTACATATGTATTCCTACTGAAAACAGAGAAGAGTACATAACAGCAGAGTCTTCCCATCAATATCAATGGCTACAATTATCTCCATCCTACATATCGGACCGGCCGGTGTTTGGCTCGGCCGCCACGCAGAAGGGAGAGGGGGGGGGAGGGGGATCCAACTCTTGATCTTCAGGTTCTGAAACCAATTGCTTCACCTCCTCAAGCCCGATATGCATGCGGAGATTAATCTCCGCATGTGAAAACGCGAGTGACGACTCGAAAAGAGAAAGAAGAAAAAATGCCCACTCCATTGATCCACTGTCTTCTGCAATCTGCATGCAGTCATTCAATTGAGCCTCAATTCAATCCCTTGGCAGCACCCTCCAGTGCTCACCCATCCCGAAACTCACGCTTCAAGCTCGAAGAACATTCCAACACCCTCCAACTTAGTACCCTTCACTCACAGCGCAGGAAGGCAAACATGCCACGAAAACTGCCCTGGGCGACTTCGATTCTAAAACCGCCGACCTCCCGCAGCTCACCCCCGAACAAGCGCCGAAGAACCTCTGTACCCACCACCTCCTCCTCCTCCCCAGCACCAGCTCGCAAACCCATACCACCCACCACCACCACTACTGCTACTGATAAGGACGGGGATAGCGATAAGGATGCAGACCTCTCAATACCCGTGTACATGCTGCCCAGCGACGAGCGCTACATCATGGTCGAGGACGAGTTCCTCTCTGTCGCGCAGACATACACGCGCTCGCTGCACCGCGCAGAGTACGAACGTCTGCAGCGGCTCGCCAAGACGACACACGCACGGCGCATCACGGAGATCCAGCGCCCTGTTGCGGGCGTGCAGCGGATGAGTAAAGCTGCGGTGCTGAAAAAGGACGACAGCGACAGCGACAGCGATGAGGACGTGGTGGTCCATAATGTCTGGGGTAAGAGTAGTCTGGGACTACTCATGTGTCGGCCGAAAGACGAGGAGAAGGACTTGTCCGTGAGTTGGAAGGTCGGTGCTGGGGCGAGGCCGGCGGCAAAGGTGCCCAGGGCGGCTAAGGGGAAGCCGTTGGAGAGGCCGGGGGTGAAGCGGGAGAGGCCGGTGGTTAAGAGGGAGCCTGTGGGGAGATTACAGTCCGTGAAGGAGTCTACGCTCCCTGTACCGTGTTCCTGCGCTTCTACCGCGTCTGAAGAGACCTCAGATGACGACGACGACCTAGATGCCCCTGTTGTCCGTAAAAACCAGGCCCAGACCCAGAACCAGACCAAAGCCTCAGCCACCTCCCTCCGATCCTCTCCCCCTTCGTTCCCCTCGTCCCTGTCATCTATGCCGTCATTCTCACAGCCACAGTCCTCGCAGCCAGGGCCTTATCTACGCCCTTCGCAGATCAAGAGGGAGATACCTGATTTCGACTTCGGCTTCGAAGCAGTGAACCAGCGGAGCGCGGCATATCGTGGCCGGGCCATGGCAAGAAGACAGGCGGAGAGCTTGGCTCATAAGAGGTAGCGTTTTTTTATCTTATGCTTTTCTTTTATTTATTCATGGTATGGAGTCTTTCCCCTCGGAATTGTCTTTTATAGGATGGTGTTATTATAGGTATGGCGTTTAGTAAACTTTGGGACTTTTGTTTTTGCTTTTGGGAGCTTCGGGCCGGTTTCTTCTCCTTCTTCTTCTTTCTAGTTAGGTGTTTTAGCGTGAGGTGAAATTGAGAATGCTTTCGGCCTGAGTTGTGGCTGTCATGTAGTAAGTGATGGACTTTGGATAGAGGTTTGAGACGCAACCGTTAGAGCTAGAGCTACTTAAATATAACATCCGGTTTGAACCCTGCCTCACCGATCTGAATTCCAATAAAACAAGAAGGATTTACCAACCATAGATTGCACGTGAAAAGACCCTTTTGTATATGTGGTCCCATGGGTCCTTGTGTGGACTGGGTGGTCGGAACATAAGATATCACTCGTCTTTGACTGGTCTTGTGCTGATTCTTTATCTATCCGCCGGTATTAATGCAGTTGGGCGATTTAAATCTATCTAAATCAGTAGAAGTCACAGAAAAGATTCAAGAGTTGTACGTATTCGCAGCTCGGGGTGGGGGTGGGGATTCCGGTGCTGTGGATGAAGGCCAGATATTATTGGTCAAATCAATATCAAAATACATGTTCCAAAAGAGACACAATAAAAATCCAATTAACTACTATTCGCTGTGGAATAAGAGGGTAATTGGTGAAACAAAGCGGTGCCTGGCATCGAGTGAGATACTGTGATCTGGGCGGTTTTTTTTTTTTTTTTTTAATTCATTAATTGCATGTGATCTGGGCATTACATCTCTATCCCTACGCAAGAGAACGCTCCTGACGGTTTGTAGCTCTTCAGGCCTGTACCAATGACTTTGATTATGTTGATCATGAAAACTCGAGTACAGCCGCATTTGAAAAGTATTGGCCCCTCCGAGCCAAACTCACGAGGCAGTCCTTTCTACTTTTCAATTTTCATATTCGAGACAGTTGCCAGAGCTGCAACGTCTCTATTACAGTCATACCTATCAATAAGTTGAGTATGCGCGAGTGCCATGGTTGTGGTGGCTACAATTCATGAACGACTCAACATAGTAGGGTGCCAGTACTTTTCGAATGCGGTTGTACGTATGTGTCGTTGGACTGGCGAAACACTCATAGGTTATCACTCGGTATGATGATGAGCGGGCACCCGGTATGGTGTTTGTTAATGAGGGGAGGGGAGTAGAAGTGATAAAGATAAGGAGATATAATTGACTTAGGATATTTGATCGTCCCGGTGTGGGATCTTGCTTGAGTGGGGATGTTACTACAGCAGCGCCGTTAGCGCTCCGGCTCTTCAAAAATGACCGGCCATATTCCCACCCGTAAAGGCTTGGTCACATGTAGCTCTCAAAGTACGGATTTCGGCTTGGCTGTACAGCCCAAAAGGCTCTATGCCATAATCAATATAGAAGCCGTGCCTAACGTAGAAAAAAGATCTCCTCAAGTTGGCTATGGTCTATACATATATATAAAAAAAAGATAATAGCGCGATTACCGCGTACAAAAACGATGTCTGCTACCAGTGAAGGAGCAAAATATCCAGTCCCCAGACCTAAATGCAAAAACGCCTTAAATTCCACCGTTACCAAAACAGACCTAAGCACCCTGAAAGTTGGTCAGTCGATGCTTCTCTGTTGCTGATACGACAGGCAAAGAGTACTCACCAAAAACACCTATATAGAGAACCCTGATATGCAGAAAGCTTACGTTCCCAACTCAAAAAGCCATTGACAAATCGTATTGAATAATGGCGTCCCAATGGAGTTCTCTTTCGAGATTACTCCAGAGAGATATCCAAGAAATAAAGACAAAGTGATGTCAATGGCCATATTCTTATTGAGCCAGAAGGGGAGACGTTCAGTCCACGCTGCGATGGTACGCTTAGGGGTGTAGATGAAGGCCTCAAAGGGCGGTTCGAGGTATACACGAATGACAATACGGAGGTTTTCGAATGGCATGGTTTTGAGTTTGGGAGAGATTGCCAGCTGCAGGGAGAAGGCGAAGAATTAGACGCGTGAGTGCGCCGGCTCGTACGATAGATAGTAGAAATAACTATGCGCGTGAGAGATAAACAAAAGAGTGCCAAAAAACCTGCTGCGATTATTTGATGAATCTTCGAGTTTAGGTTTCAGCAGTATTTTTCACGGAGAGTTTTGATGGAACAAAAAGAAGCGAAGTGCAACATTTCAGATGAGGGTTTGAATCAACAGGCCTTTTTATGCGAGTAACAGGGACTATTCAACCTAAAAGGTGCTTGATCCCTTTCAGAATAGTAGCATTAGTTGTCGTTGTAGTGATGGCGTAGACGGCTCTGCTTTGAAGTTATATCCACATTTGGTGATGACATGCATATGATGGACACCTTGTCTTGTGAGTGAGATAGCCTGCATCTCGAACAGCGCAAACAGTAGGAATAAATCACAGCCCACAAAAGACCACCAAAGCATCTATTTTGAAATTGGAGGTTCAGTAATTTATTGGAGAGGTAACATCATAACGTTACAAGTCACAGGCGATCACTCGCGGGATGCAAAGTTTTTTCGTGGTGATTTAACTAATTGAAGTTAGTACTGACATGACTGAAATGTGTACTCGTCATGATGAGGGCAAGAATAAAATTTACAGTCTATGGAAAGTACAACGTATATTCTGTTCTCCCATCCCCTCTCCCTCTTCCTCTTATTTATCTCCTTTTTCTTTTTATCAAGAGTGGGGTTTCCATAAAGCTACTAATATTTCTAATCCCTGGCCAGCCACGAGCGCCAAGAAGTCAATGATTTCCCGAGCAACAAATTCTGGCCCCGGACCCAAAGGTCAAAAAGCTGGTTGCAAATTTGGAGGGTCTAGAAATGGAAATCAGAGAAAATAAAAATAAAAGGTCTATTTCGATAAAAGCCCTTATCTGGATCTTTTGGACCGTCACAGATTGAGATTGTGGGAGACGCACAGTGGGGAATTTCGTGCGACAGGAATGTTGCGTGAGAGAGCAAGAACAACAACGGACCTTAATCCAGCAATTAACAAACCCGAGCCAGCCATCACCAGAGCCAGTAATTAAAGACGCACTAGAGCTAGCTAGAATCACCGTCAGCAGAAGCTAACCATGGTATGTAGACTCCTCAATCGTACTATATAGCAGAAAATCAATCTGTGGGTTCCTTATCTGACACTCAACAGCCGTTCCAAAAGAAAGTCAAGTCCAATGCCTACTTCTCGCGGTACCAGACCAAATACCGCCGTAGACAGCAGGGTAAAACCGACTACTACGCCCGTAAGCGCTTAATCACCCAGGCCAAGAACAAGTACAATGCCCCCAAGTACCGCTTGGTTGTACGCTTCACCAACCGCGATGTATGTCCCCTCTCTCACAGTCAGTGCAACTCACTCCAGCCCAGGTTCGTTTCTGTGCCAGCTTGCTTGCTTGCTCGCATGAATCCACAGGAGCGATAAAGTCCCAGAAAAAAAAGACAGAAAGGCAAAAAACAAAAAGCCCGGTGCCTCAATCATTCGCAGAAATTCTAGAATATAGTCAGCAGAAATGCTCAATTCTACGAATGAAGCACAAGAAAGATTTCATCTGTGAATGGAGGTGGGCTAATTGTAACTTGCCCTCCTTGGCCTCACTTCCCCTAACTCCAGATCATCTGCCAAATCGTCTCCGCCACGCTTCTCGGCGATGTTGTCCTGGCCTCCGCCTACAGCCACGAGCTGAAGCGCTACGGCATCAAACACGGCCTCTCAAACTGGGGTGCCGCATACTCCACCGGCCTCCTCCTTGCGCGCCGCACCCTCGTCAAGCTCGGCCTCGATGAGTCCTTTGAGGGTGTGACCGAGATCGACGGTGAGTACAAGGTTACTGAGGAGTGCGAGCACGACGGAGAAACTAGACGCCCGTTTAAGGCGCACCTCGACGTCGGTCTTCATAGAACCTCGACCGGAGCTAGAATCTTTGGCGCGATGAAGGGCGCCAGTGATGGCGGTTTGTATATCCCACATAGCGAGAGCAGGTTCCCTGGTTTCGATATCGAGACCAAGGAGCTAGATGCCGAGCTGTTGAGGAAGTGAGTTTCTCCCTGTAACACTATAGTCATGATATCTGAGGGCTAGGGTTCTAATATGACCAATGTAGGTACATCTTTTCTGGCCACGTTGCGGAGTACATGGAGACTCTAGCCGACGACGATGAAGAGCGCTATAAGTCCCAGTTCGGCCAGTACATCGAGAGCGGAATCGAAGGTCAGTCGACTATTCCCCTTCTTTATTTTTACACACATTAACATGAAAAACAGCCGACGGCCTCGAAGAGGTCTACGAGAATGCGCATGAGAAAATCCGTGCCGACCCAAACATGGCTGACCCTGATTGTGACAAGAAGGGCAAAGAGCACTGGAAGGCCGAGAGCGAGAAGTTCAGGCTCAAGAAGAAGACCCGTGAACAGAGGCGCGAGGCTGTTATGGAAAAGATCGCAGAGGCAAAGGCTGCCTAAGCTTACATAGTTCTTTTGTTACATTCATTTTCTTTAGGGATCTAAATCAAAAAAAAAAAAAAAAAAAAAACTCTGGGATTACTGGTTTGAGTCTATGTGTCCGAGTGATTGGCTGTGTAGCGGCACTACATGGTGGTTGTGTAATTAATAATAAATGTGAAACTATTCTCATCACCTATGACTACTTTACGACACAAATTATAGCAAAGATCGAGATTTCTGTGGTGAGGAAGATCTAATATTTTAATCATCCCCCCTTGTCGACTCTGCCTTTGATACACGCCCCAGACATATAGTCATCATCCAGATATCAAACATTGAAAATATAAAACACTTATCCATGGCTTGAAAGGAAAAAAGAAAAAGATGAGATAAAAACAGATGCAACGCAGTTATAAACAAATATGATTTTAAGAAACACATAATAGAACAAATATTCGCTACAAATCACCAGTCTACTCTTCGTCGGCATCTTCCTCAGCAACCTATTAAACCTATTAGCATCATCTCATCAAAACGGACCAGAAATAGGACTAGGAACTTACATCATCGTGGAATGTCTTTCCCTCTGTAGTAGGCTTAATCATTCCAATCCTAATACAGAAGTCACCAAACCTCTCACCGTCCTCCTTTTCCAGAGCATATCGCTTGAACAGCGGCTTCAAGATCTCAAGAATCTCCTCCTCCTTGATGGAGCTCCTGTAAAGCTTGTTGAGTCTTTGTCCGTGGTAACCACCACCAAGGTACATGTTGTACGCTCCATAGGCCTTTCCGACGAAGGCAACCTCGGCCAGCCATGGTCGAGCGCAACCGTTGGGGCAACCAGTCATCCTCATGACGATCGAGTCATGGCGGAGACCGCTTTCCTCAAGAACGCCCTCGAGCTTGCTGATAAGGACAGGCAAGTATCTTTCACTCTCTGCCATGGCAAGACCACAGGTGGGGAAAGCAACACAGGCAGATGAAGACAGCCTCAGTCCAGAGAACTGGTAGTTGTCAAGCTTGTACTTCGCCATTAGGTCCTTCATCGCTGGCAAGTCCGCATCATCGACGTTGCTGAGGATGAGGTGCTGGTTACCAGTAAGGCGGAATTCACCTTTGTGGACCTTTGCAATCTCACGGAGACCGGTCTTCATGGGGAACTCAGGGGTATCCTCAATACGTCCGTTCTCGATGAAGAAGGTAAAATGGTTCTTGCCAGTCTCGTCCTTTTGCCACCCGAAGGTGTCCACGTTGGACTCGAAGTGGAAAGGTTTAGCCTCCCCAAATTTCCAGCCAAGGAGCTCCTCAACCTTGCTACGGTAGACATCGACGCCCATGTCATCGACAGTGTACTTTAGGCGGGCGTGCTTGCGGTTCTTACGGTCGCCATTGTCACGCTGGACAAGCATAATCTTCTCGCAGACAGTGTGGATACGCTCGATATCGGCGAAACCAAGCATGCTGCCGGTTCGGGGGTATGTCTTCTTGTTGTTGTGAGTGACACCCATACCACCACCGATCAAGACGTTGAAACCAGCAAGTTTGCCGTCCTCGCCCTTGATAGCAATCAAACCGATATCGTGTGCGTAGACATCGGTGTCGTTGTTTGGAGGCACGGCAATGGTAATCTTGAACTTCCTGGGAAGGTAAGTTGGGCCGTACAAAGGCTCGTGGTCAACAATGGCGTCACCGGCAACCTGGACCTTCTTGTCGTTCTCGTCCTGAAGCCAAATCTCGTGGTAGGCGGTTGTGGCGGGGAGGAGGTGGTCACTGATACGCTTGGAGGCAGCGTGGACCTCGCTGTGGAAGGCGCTGTTTGTAGGGAGAGAGCTGCACATGACGTTACGGTTGACATCTCCACAGGCGGCAAGGGTGGTCATGAGGGCCTTGTTGATGTCCTGCATGGAAGACCTCAAGTTCCTCTTGAGAACACCGTGGAACTAGTTGATGTTAGCGGTTGGGGTAGTAATGATTTTGGGGTATTTTTGTCTACAAACCTGGAATGTCTGTCTGGTAGTCAACTTCATGGTAGTGTTACCCCACTGGTTGCTGATATCGTCCATCTGAATCCACTGCCTAGGAGTTGAGACACCACTGGGCAGTCTGCATCGGATCATGAAAGAGTAAGCAGGCTCCAAACCCTGGGCCTTGCGCTCGTCTCTCAGATCCCTATCATCCTGCATGTAAGTACCGTGGAACTTGGTAAGCTGCTGGTCGCTGGCAGAAATCTGACCAGTGCTCTCGTCTTTCAAGCCCTCTGCGATGGTACCACGGAGGAAGTTTGAGGCAATCTTGATATCCTCGTTAGTGATCGGAGCAGGTTCATCCGGAAGCCCGTCAACTTTGTCAACACCAAGGGCAGTCCAGATCTTAGGCTCCCATTCCGAGTAGGCGGTCTGATAACCATCGGGGTCCTGGTCATTACCAAGACCAATATCAGCAATCTTCTTGGCACCGAGGTCGGTGATCCTCTTGTCGAGGTCCTTTCCAGGTTTGTTGTAGTAGTGCTTGTCCTCCTTGCGAGGCCAGTAGTGGCTGTCACCAAGACCGAAAACCGAGTAGTTGACACCAGCCAAGTCCAAGTCGGTCGAGTTCTTCACGGCGATCCAGAAAGCATGACCGTTCTGAGGGAATTCACCCTGACCGGCTGTGGAAGTGATGAAAACAACGTTTTCCTCGTTGGATAGATCTTCAAGAGGGTACTCCTCCATGGACATCACCAAGGTCTTGAGACCTCTAGCCTTACCACGTCTGGCCAACCTCTTAGCAAGGTTCTCCGCGTTACCACCATCAGATGCGAAGAGGACGGTCAATGGGGGTCCAGAAAGACCCTCAAGAAGCTTATTGTACGCATCTTTAGCCTTACGCTTCTGCTGGTGCCTTACCTCAGTTCCGTAAGAGCTAGCAACGTTGGCAGCGAACTGAGGATTTCTCTTGGCAAGCTGAGACAAGTGGTTATCACGCTTCAAGAATTCTTTCAACTCATTCTTGATCCTCTCGGAGTCAAGGTTGAAGTTCACGCCACCCTTCTGCTCGCCCTGGGGGTCCCAGCGGTACAATGGCCAGTATCCAAGATCGACTGCCTTCTTGGTCTCCTGCAAGACTGCGAGAGGGGAGTCATCTTCTTTGTTGTAGGGAAGGTATGCAACTACGACTGAAGGTCCCTCAAACTTGTCGGCATCAATCATTGCGTGCAATACCTGAGTGTAAGAGCTGTAGACAGCAACGGAAGCAACATATGAGTTTCCAAAGTTCATGGCGTACAGACCAATGTCCTTCTTTCTTCGTGAAGCATCAGCAGCGGCGTGCTCGGAGTATGGCTGGGAGTCGATAACAAGCATGTTGATGTTGATGCCAGAAGCAATGACATGGTGAACACCGGAGTTACCGAGATCATAGGCCCAGGCATCAGATCCTACGAGCCAGTGTGACTGCTTGTAAAAGAGAGCCTTATCGGCCAAAAGCTCGAGAGCAACCTTGGAACCATCAGCCTCCAACTTCTCAACGATGCCATCTGCCAAGCTAGCGCTCTTTTCTGGGTCCTCTGCAACCAAAAGCCACTTTGAAAGCGCTTCGCCAGGAGCAGCAGTAGAGAATCCGCTAGACTTGGCCAACTCCTCAACTCTCTTGACGAAAGACTGGCGCTTCTCGATTCTGGCCAAAAGAGAACCGTAACCGTATTCGGGGCTAGCGGCAATGGTTGCTGAGATTCCGGCATGAGGTTTGTCGAGGGAGTTGGCAACGTGCAACCGCTTGCCAAACAACTGATCAAGAATTTTCATGTATGCAGTTTCAACCGCCGGTTGCTCGACCTTGCACTCCGCCAACTCAGGGCCCTCCGCCAAACCGACAAACAAGTTCTGTACTGGTGCCTCTGCCTTCAAGTTCTGAACAATTCCGCGTACTGCCTGGTTAACAGTCTCGGAGTTAATGAAGCCCAATTGGTGCCCAACAACAACAGGCGCACCCTTGGCGGCTGGCCCAGCGCGGAGACATGTAAGCAAATCCAAAAACAGAGGACCCCATCGAGTAGTCTTCTTCTTGATTTGCTCCAAAACAGCAATTTTGTTGATTGACTTGGGAAGGCTGTCGGCCAATCTGGTGCCGAACCATGGACGGTAAAGTCTTGAGAAGATCACACCAACCCTTGAGTAATCCTCCTCAGATGACAATGCCTCGACGGTGGACTGGAAAAGCTTGGTGGTTGAGCCGAAAACGAAAAGCGCAATGTTTGCGTTCTTGGGACCTTGGTACTCGAAAACGTTGTATGAACGGCCGGTAACCTGGTTGATGATCTCAAAAATGCCTGAAACGTGTTTGTAGATGTCGTCGGAGGTAACGGCGCGAGAGCTGATGGCCTCTTCTAGGGATGAAGCTGAGAGAGAAGGCTCGGTACTCTTGTCACCAATGGTGCTTGTACCGTTGCTGTTTGCGGTGGTCGATATTTCGCTCGCAGGACTGGCGATGCCGCTGGCAACGGTGCTTGCGCCATTGGAAGCTACTGGTGGCTTTGTCTGCTTTGTCTGCGCTACTACACCATCATCTGCGTACAAGCTGCTTGAGTCAATTGACTGAGACTGGAAAGTTCTTGCAGCAGTCTTGTCCAAAACCTTGTCCATCAAAGCCTGGTCTTCAATCGTAACTGGGTCCTCCGCTCCTGATGAGGCAAAGAAATGAACAACTGCCTTTCCGGTCTTAATCGCAAGAGCATGGGCTGTTACAGCCATGTCCTGGGCCTCCTGGATTGACTCTGACTGGAGCAGGACTAATCCGGTCTGCCTAATCGCTGTGATACCGGAGTAGTCCGGGAATTCCGCGGGCTGCATTGAAACATGAATAACGACGGGGTAGTTGATTAATTTGTATAGGTGAGGTATTGATGAAAGCAAGATGTCTGAAGTTGTTGTAACAGAGACGAGCTTGCCTGATCGAACAGGCTGGAATACTGAAAGTAAAGGATCCGCATTTTGACGAATGATGTGGACCTCCGGGGCTGGCGCCAGAGCGCCCTTTGCTCCAGTTGAAGAGAGGGTCTCAAGCTGTGAAGAATATGCTGAAGCAGTCCCTAGAGACGACTGAACAGAAACAACAACATCGCTAGAAAGGTATGCGATTCTCGCGACTACAATTATAATCGCAACGTCAGTAACCACGAATCATTGTTGAGAGAAAGGGAAAAAAGTTAACACGACGTACCTGCCTCCTCCGGAGTGTTCAAAGTTCCAACCGAAGTCATTTTCGAGGATAATACACAAGATACAAACTCGAAAAATGGCGGGCTTCCTACGAAGAAGAAGAAGAAGATGAATAAAAAAGCTGTATCGTCAACACTATTTTTCTGTGTACCTCCGACCGAAACAGGTGGGGGGGGAAGAATCATTCAGTTTATCTAAGCTTTGATTGGCCTGACAGCGCCAAGCGATGGCGTGATAGGCAAATTTTCTGGGGTTGTTAAAGCTTTGTTAACTACCGTAACCCGATTCAATTGCTTTTTTTTTTCACAGGGATTCTTTTTTATGCTCATCACAACAGTTGGGGATGAATTGCGTGAGTATCAAGCTCATGTAATTTGAATCACGGGCATATAAAATGCAAGGATTACACTAAGAAACCACCGGCTTATTCACACCGCAAAACAGCCATATCCGGTCTAAATAACCCGAAAGCGAGTTTTAACGGTTGAATTCCTGCCTTGATTAGATAACTCTACATACTCAAATTAGTTCATAATCCCTAAAATGAGTAGGTGTAGGGTTAGGGATTATACAGACCTAATTACAGTGTCCTTCCGTAGTTGTACCTTTGCACTTACCCCCACCTCTAACCATTCTGTTACGTAGGATTTCAAATCCCGCCGAAATACCCGCGAACATCCAGACCCTCAAATCTCGTAATCAACAAAAGCATGTACCTACATCATGAAGTGTATGGTTGATCGATACGAAGATAAAAAAAATGAAAATTCCTTGTGTTCCCAGGATAGACTCATTGGAAATCAAGCATTTGGTGCATGGACAGGGGTTAGGGTTACAGGCAGGGTTCCCCAATCGATTTTTGGCTCTGAAACTCCAGTGCCGCGTACCTACAAATTATCTATGTCTAATTTTGGAGCCTGTTAGTTAGTAAAGTTGACATCTCCAGCTCGTCACCTGTATGTAGTTAGCATAACATCGAGTTTCAACTCTTCTAATATGAAACTATCAAAAAGAAGGTCATAGAGCAGTTAACACTCTGTAACTTAGCATGAGCACAAGGTCAATGATGCTCATGGCAATAAATTAAAGATACAAATATATGAAAACGCCCATGAGTTTGAAACCTGATCAATAATCATCAAGTTGATAAGTTGGCTCGAGGTTTATGCCCCTTCATAGTGCATACATGCAGCTTTATCCTCGCATAAAGCTGAGAGAGGACAAGTGTCTGGCATAATCTAGAGTTTAGAAGTTCTGGTCTCACCAAAATTCCATTCTATAAACGACCGCGTTGATAGCTCTAGTACCAATTGGGAGAAATATTAGTGGGAGTTGTATGTATTCGTATATTCTCATCGTAGCATTACCATGGCTGAGATCAAGGCTATATAGATATACATGTATGTCGGCTACTTTCCAGATAGAAGTGATAAAGGCGGTTATTATGTTGGTTGGCCGTGTCTGTACCTCATATAGTAGTGTAAGTTGGCTTGAGGCTTGGTGCTGTAATATACTCTGCCATGGCGTAAAGTTCGCACTGCGCAACTTACCCGGCAAAATAACGAACCTACAAATACCTCTCTCCACCACTAATTGCAACTTCATTCGCTTAAATCCAGCTACTGTACCTGGATCATGTCTAATACCCCTGGTTTTGGGGGCTTAGGTGGTACCTCCTCCATGGTTGTATTCATCAAATCAACAGAATCTCAGCATATGGACACAAGATTGCAACTCACTTTAAATAAAGTCTTGTGACGAGTGATATCTCATGAAACACCTAGTATAGCCATTGGACTTTGATTACGGATACCTGCGCCTAAAAATGGGTTGCGATCTATCCGGTGCGGGTACGTTAATGCGGGGTTGTTTTGAAGCTAATGATAAATTATACCAGATAGGTGCCTAGATTGCGGTGTAGGGCCCAATATCTATCATAAGGATTCCGCACACTACACGACAGTTCCTAGCGGGCGCATCTACGAGGGCTACACTTCCCGAGAATAAAGATCGTGGAATCTCTGCTTTGGACTTCGTTTGGGTGGAGAAGAAGGATAGAGTACTTGCAAGAGTGATGGTCTATGACTCGGTCTCGGGATCTATTAAGTCGTCCTCCTCGGGATTACGTAAAATTAGTGCAGTGTCATAATTATGTAGTTCATCGAGACAGATGCTTAGTCTTCAGCCTCTACACCAGTTATCGCCCTAAGCTTTAACCTGGAGCTCCAGCAACAGTCACATACACATCCACTTCGGCGGGGGCCTCCCTAAAACTCCAGAGTCATCCATTGATTAGCAAGCCTTGATCTCAACTCAGGTAAAACCATGAAGCTATCTAGAACTCACGATTTAGGGTGCATTTAGAGAACCATCAAAACGGCATCTTCTTAGCCTAAACTCTGTTTCAACCGTAACTCCATTTTTGAAAGGATTCTTCTCCTTTGGCGTGGGGGCTTCAGATATACAAAAAAACCCTCTGTTTTCCTCCCCAAAACAAGTTTTTAAAAAGGAATTGCAGCTCTAGCCTGATTCATTTCAAGGCGAGCTTGGTTTAGGGCATTGTTCGGGTGTTTTGGAGCAGTTTGAAACGGAGTTATTGAGGCCTAAAACTAAGTTCTAGCAATAATCTCATTCTGAAAAAGGGAATTGCACCATTTTACGCCTAGAAATCACCTTAATCCTTGAAATGGAGTTTTCAACTTTAACACTCCAGCTCGTTGATAAAAATCCTACCTCACAACTCATGGTAGGCACAATACTCATTATATGGCCATCAAAATCACAGTAATCCTAAAAGGTGAATCACCTTAAAACTCCAGTTTAAAACATGGGTGTCCTTTCTAACGAAGCTCTAGCAAAGGGGCGCTCTCTATAGGGAATTGCTCCCAAACACGCTCTTACTTACTATCCTTCGACAAGAATGACCAGCGCAGGTTTCCTAAGTTGCGATAGTCTTCTGTATTCTACCTACACTTCTATACAAATACTTCTCCTGGTACTAGATCCTTTAGATTGTCAAATACCAACCACCGAGAAAAGAGTCGGCACAGTTTGGCAACGGTTTAAGTGCGAGGATATCAGACATTGGGCCGCTCCTTATCATTGAGGGGTCTCTCTAGGCAGCTTTATACCAATTCCACGGGGCGCGGGCTTAGGCATACACAAGGGTACTAATAATAAAACAGCCTTGTCACATGCACGTAACGTTCTCAACTAACACTAGTGAATCTAGTTAATTATTTAAATAGATTTGCCCATCTGGGTGCCTGAAACCCCGCCGCATAGCGCTACAAACGAGAAATGGGCATCTTTAGGTCGGGAAGAATTGCATAGGACTCGAGCTATCTTTGGATAATCAATCCTGTCTAATTATCACTATAACCGTATTGAATTTTGATATAAAGGTCTAGAGGGCATGGTGATTTTTTCACAAATAGTTCTCATGATATACAGAGAAAACCATAGAGAGCTGTTCAACCTCTCGGGTCCGGAATAATAACCCCATATCTGTCTGCACCGTATCATAGTGGCCCAAGCTACATAGCTTTCCAAGACAGACCTCGAAAGTTAGTAGAGCCAAAAACAATACAGTTTATAACAAGGTGTCTTTAGAAGTGAAAATGGACGTTTTCTTCTTATAATTACTAATTACCGTTGGTCCATGGTAAGAAAAACTCGAACCTTCCAACGGCTCCTGCTACACGAATGTACGTAGTAACTGATGTATGAAGCTCAAGATGGTTTTTATTCGTTTTATGATACAGGCTATTATGGTTGATATGTCGGGCATAGGTGGCCAGGACGCGGGGTAAACCTACGCCCGGCGGGCATACGATTGATTACCTTAGTAATCAGTTCACTATAATGTTCACCGGGACACCATTCGTCGTGCGTATATATAGCAGCTCCGGAACTTCCCAAACTTTCAATTGAGGCCTTTGAAGCGGAGAATACATACTACCACCTGGAAAAAGGGAATAGTAGTCGGCTACCCCTCGTCTGTGTTTTAAGTCCGGGGTCTCTAGGTGGGAATCCCCCATTTATGTAAAATAGAAAGATAATTAACCCGGCTGTGGCGTGGAAAATAACTTGCTTTCCCCTCTTATAGCCAAGATTCTTGATGTTGCTAACTATTTTCAATCAGTCATTTAAGACCTATGTACTTAGATACACAAACTACTTGGCCACCTCTAAAGCGTCATCACCCCTTGTATCGTCCTAGGAGGCGGGGCCATTTAGGATTGCGAACAAAGCAGCAAACATCACACGCATCGGGGATCGCCCAGCCCGAAATACTCTCCAAGTCGAGTTCAAAAATAAACCGAAAGAAAGGATATATCTGGGATAGTACAGACACACACACACACTCACGTATCAGGGCTCAATCACAAATTTTCCGGAAATAAAATCACGTTATCTAAACGTATCATCGCCACTACCCGCCTCCCCGTCCTTCAAGAAATCTTTAGAGGGAAGCCAAAATAAATCTATACAGAGCTTACTAGACTGGGTGATGCTCTGGATCTGTGCGGGACCGAGAAAAGCGGAGGTAGAAACGCAAGCAATTTCCTTCATTCCCTCATGATTTGCGAGATCGTGCCCGTTATGGATATAAAGCCAATTGCACCATCATAATTACACATTCAATTACTCACATGTGGCGTGAAACTTAAAGATAAAAGGAGCTGCTTTCCATACGGTGATACTTTCATTTGTCCAATTTTATGGAAAGAAACTAGCATGCGATTGTGTCGAATTTTCTCATGCTTAGCCCTCACTGCAGGTGCTTTAGCAGACAGGTCCCCGTATCCACCGGGATCAGGACCTATATCTGGTCACCAAAAAGCGCCAACTGATAACTCAGACAATAGTCTTCCTCTCGATCTTGGTTCTTCTCCTTTGGTAATCATTGAACAAGACGGGTACGATGATTACAGTGAACCAAGGAAGGACGTTTACATCTCCCCAAAGCCGCTTCTTGTACCTCAAGACAAGCTTCCAAAGCCCTATTCTGATAGGGTCGAAATCGAGAACATCGAGATTATCGAAAAAGATGGTTTTGAGAGGGGAAATATCGAGGAGGTCGATATTGAGGTCGTAGATATTGGGGGTTTCTCTCCCGAATATAGGATGTACCCTCCCCCTCCTCCGCATCCACACTTTGCTCACCCTGAGTACGAAGAGTTTAACGCTCCTCCTCCTCCTCCTCCTCCTCATTTTTTTCCTCATCCCGAAGAGTTTCAAGGAACTCCTCCTCCTTTCCCTCCTTACGGTCCCCCTCCTCCAGAATTTTATGGATTACCTCCACCACCTGACTTTTATGAGGAACAACCATATATCATGGGCCCCCCACCTATTCCCATGATGATGAGTCCTCCCCTACCTCAAATTCCGCCGAAGAAGGCAGAAAAGTCGAAGGGAGGAAATGTTTACGATAAAAACTCCAACGTGGGCAACAATGTGAAGGAGGCCTCGGCAGTCAACAAGGCAAAAGGAAATAACTTTGCTATTCCCGGCCAATCTACCGCCGCTCTTGACAGTTCAAATCTCAACCAAGATTTTGCAGTAGCAAAGTCTGTGGAGAAGAATATCAACATCGATGTGAACGCCGCCGAAGGGGGCACGGAGTCTCCCCAGACTCAGATACAGACCCAGTTCCCCGGCGGAGAGGTTGGTCCTCTTCAGCAAGGACAGACTTTTCTACCAGGCGGTGTTATGCCTATTGGTATGACTGATATCGTATTCCCAGATATCATCATCACAAACGCCAACGACATCAACAACGCCAACGAGAATCAGAATCAGGTTGCCGCAAACAACGAGAATGCCAATAACAATCCCAATGCTCTCGGAAATGAAAACTCGGCCGCAAGCTTCCAGGAGTTCTCTGAGCAGAATTACGCAGAAAATAACTTTCATTTTAATGAGGAGAAGAACTTCTTTTACATTAACGCTATTGGTGAGAGCGTTCCTGTGCAGGTTGAGGTTCCAGTAGAGGTTCCTGTAACGAAGGTTATTCCCATTACGGAGACAATCCAGGTTAGGTTCCTCAATTTTCCTGCTTTGAATTCATTCTGACAACTTACAACGCTTAGATAGGTCCCAGAGGTTATAACACCTTGTGTGACCTGCCCTCCTCAGACCGAATATATTCCGTATACTCAAGTTGTTTCATATGAGACCGTCGTTGAGCAGATTCAACTCCCTGGCCAGACTATCATTGAGCAGATCCAGCTTCCAGGAGAGACTGTTATCGAGAAGATTCAACTCCCAGGAAAGACGGTCTATGAACAGCTCCCTGGCGAGACTGTCATTGAGCAGATCGTCCTCCCAGGAGAAACAATCTTCCAGATTGTCGAGGTGCCCGTTCCGGTCACTGTTCAAGTGACAAAGACTCTTCCGGCTAAAACCATTATTGAAAAAGAAAGTGTAATTATCGAAAACGAAATTCTAGTCACGATTCCTGCCAAGACCATCATTCAACAGGAAAGTGTTGTCGTTACAAATGGGGTGCTTGTTACACAGGCCCCCAGGACAATCCTCGAAGAAATTTACGTTTCAGAGCAAATCAGGGTCCCTTACACTGTCACCCAGCAAGAACAAATCTATGTTTCGGAGCAGATTCGCGTTCCCGTCACCGTCGTTCAACAGGAGCAAATCTACGTTTCTGAGCAGGTTAAAGTGCCAGTAACAGTGACTGTTAATGAACAGGTTTACGTCTCCGAGCAGGTTAGGGTGCCCGTCACTATCACTCAACAGGAGCAGATCTATGTCTCTGAGCAAGTCAGAGTGCCGGTCACGATCAAGGAAGAGGAACTTATTTATATCAGCCAGCAAGTAGAGGTCACCAAGTTTGTCACCGTTCCTGGAATCGCCACTCCCGTCCCTACCACTGTTACTGAGGAAGTCGTTCTCCCTGCTCAAGTCATCACCACTTTCCTACCTGGTGTTCCCACTCCAGTCGTTCAAACCGTCCAAGTTACCGAGGCTGTAACTGTTCGAGAGAAGGAAGAGGTCTATATCTCCGAGCAGGTTCGCGTGCCAGTTACTGGCAAGGAGGAGGACATTATATATGTTACTCAGAATGTTATCGTCACCGAGGTTGTCTCAGTCGCTGGTATCGCGACTCCAGTCCTCACCACGGTTACTGAGGAGGTCGTCGTTCCAGCGCAGGTCATCACTACATACCTTCCTGGCGTGGCTACCCCTGTCGTCCAGACCGTTCAGGTTGTTGATGAGGTCCAGGTTCCTGTTCCTGTCACAGTTAAGGAGCAGGTCTACGTCTCGGAGCAAGTACCAGTTACCGTATCAGTAGAGGAATTAGTTTATATCACCAAAGAAAACATCGTCACCGAATTTGTTTCCCAACCAGGCTTCGCCACTCCAGTCCCCACTACTATCTATGAAGAAATTCGGGTTCCAGCTGAAGTTATCCAGGGGGTTATTACTACATATCTCCCTGGAGTCGAAACACCAGTTCTCCAAACAGTTTTTATTACTCAGGATATCGAGTTTCCTGCCGCACCCCCAGCCACTGTTGTCATCACCGAGAATAATGTTGTCCAGACCTTCGTCACCTCACCACCAATCGTCATCACTGAAGCTCCCTTGTTTGTCACATTACCAGCAGAGACAGTGGTTGTTCCTGGAGAGGTTTACACAACCGCTGTTTGTGAAGAATGCCCTATTATAACTGTCACAGCGCCTGCGGAAACTTTCGTACAGCCTCCGGTAGTCGTCACCCAGCCAGGCCAGGCGGTTACAATTCCTGGAGCAATTCAGGTTATTACAGAAATTCAGGAGGTTCCAGTTGGATATCCTATCGCTGGACCCACCGTTCAACTTCCCGGTGAAGTTGTCCAGGTCCCTGGCCCTGCTATCCAAGTCCCCGGCCCTACCGTTGAGCTTCCTGGTGAAGTTGTCCAGGTACCCGGTCCTGCTATCCAAGTCCCCGGCCCTACCGTTCAGCTTCCTGGTGAAGTTGTTCAGGTCCCCGGCCCGACTGTTCAGCTTCCTGGTCAAGTCACCGAGGTTGGATATCCCGTCCCAGGCCCTACCGTCCGACTTCCCGGTGAAGTTGTTCAGGTCCCTGGCCCTGCTATCCAAGTCCCCGGCCCTACCGTTCAGCTTCCTGGTGAAGTTGTTCAGGTCCCCGGCCCGACTGTTCAGCTTCCTGGTCAAGTCACCGAGGTTGGATATCCCGTCCCAGGCCCTACCGTCCGACTTCCCGGTGAAGTTGTTCAGGTCCCTGGCCCTGCTATCCAAGTCCCCGGCCCTACCGTTCAGCTTCCTGGTGAGGTTGTCCAGGTACCCGGTCCTGCTATCCAAGTCCCCGGCCCTACCGTTCAGCTTCCTGGTGAAGTTGTTCAGGTCCCCGGCCCGACTGTTCAGCTTCCTGGTCAAGTCACCGAGGTTGGATATCCCGTCCCAGGCCCTACCGTCCGACTTCCTGGTGAAGTTGACCAGGTCCCTGGCCCTGCTATCCAGGTCCCTGGCCCTACCGTTCAGCTTCCTGGTGAGGTTGTTCAGGTACCCGGTCCTGCTGTCCAAGTCCCTGGTCCTATTGTCCAAGTCCCAGGTCCTTCTGTACAGGTACCTGGCCCAGCCTTCCAGCTTCCTGGTGAAGTTATTCGGGTCCCCGGAGGTGCCGGCAATTCTACTGAAAACAATGGTATGTTCATGAATCCTCCCATAGGTCAATGATAAATTTCTAATTAGTTAGTTTTAACCCCTTCGCCTGCGCTGGTACCTTCTCCACAACAGCCTGGCCCTGTCGCCCAAGCACCACAACCACCATTCGAACTCTCGGGCCCTACACCTTTCGTCAAGCCTCAAGTTGAAGGACAATTCTGTACCGACTGCTTCAACACTGAGAATGAATATGAGTTTGATGTGGAGCTACCCTCTTCCTCCGAGGCTGCCCCTGAGGCACCTTCGCAAGGAACTTCTCAATCACCTCCTGGTTCTCAGGCTTCTGGCCCATCTTTGGGAGCGGCTGGATCTTCTGGTTCGCTAGTTTCTTTACCCGCCTCAGGCTCAGAGTCTGCACCACCGGTAGGAGCTGGTTCTGCCCCAGCTTCTGGCTCTGCTCCAGCATCTGGATCCGCCCCAGCTTCCGGCTCCGTTCCCGCGTTAGGCTCCGTCCCAGTATCTGGCTCGGCCCCAGCTTCTGGATCTGCCCCAGGATCTGGCTCCGCCCCAGGATCTGGCTCCGCCCCAGGATCTGGCTCCGCCCCAGTGTCAGGTTCCGCCCCAGTATCTGGCCCTGCTTCAGGATCCGGATTCACACAAGGGTCAGGATCTTCTCCGTCATCAGGATCTTCGGGATCCGCACCCGCCGTACCAGTTACTCCCGGCCCAGGATCTCCAGGCTCAGGTTCCGCGCCTGCCTCTGGCTCCGCGCCTGGTGCTGGTTCTGGTTCTGGCTCCGTACCCGTCTCTGGCCCCGCACCTGGTTCTAGTTCCGCAGCTGGTTCTGGTCCCGCACCTACTTCTGGTTCCGCACCTGGCTCTGGCTCCGCGCCTAGTGCTGGTTCTGGCTCTGGCTCCGTACCCGTCTCTGGCCCCGCACCTGGTGCTGGTTCTGGTTCTGGCTCCGTACCCGTCTCTGGCCCCGCACCTGGCTCTGGTTCCGCAGCTGGTTCTGGTCCCGCACCTGCTTCTGGTTCCGCACCTGGCTCTGGCTCCGCGCCTAGTGCTGGTTCTGGTTCTGGCCCCGCACCTGGTTCTAGTTCCGCAGCTGGTTCTGGTCCCGCACCTGCTTCTGGTTCCGCACCTGGCTCTGGCTCCGCGCCTGGCTCTGGCTCCGCGCCTGGCTCTGGCTCCGCGCCTGGCTCTGGCTCCGCGCCTGGTGCTGGTTCTGGTTCTGGCTCCGTACCCGTCTCTGGCCCCGCACCTGGTTCTGGTTCCGCAGCTGGTTCTGGTTCCGCACCTGCTTCTGGTTCCGCACCTGGCTCTGGCTCCGCGCCTGGTGCTGGTTCTGGCTCTGGCTCCGTACCCGTCTCTGGCCCCGCACCTGCTTCTGGTTCCGCAGCTGGTTCTGGCCCCGCAGCTGGTTCTGGTTCCGCACCTGGCTCAGGCTCTGTATCTGCCTCAGGACCCGCTCCAGCAGCCGCTGCTCAAGGAGGACAAGCTCCACCATCTCCTGAGGAGCCCGAGCAGTTCGAGGGTGCGGCCTCCCGCACTCGTACCGGCGTCTTTGCCATCGCTATCGCACTCGGTAGTATGGCAATCGTGCTGTAAGGCCTTTTAAATACCAAAAAGCGATTACGGGTGACGGATTAACGGATTAACGGATTAACGAAACTACGTACGTACGTACTTATGATTGAACGAACAAATACAAGGACGCCGAACTTCCTTTTTTCTTCCTTTGACCTTTTATCCCCTTTAGCTCTTTCATGGATTTTTTTCATTCTACGTTGCGTACCATGTATGCAGCTGGGAAAGAGGACAGGACGTGAAAGAAGGAGTCTAAGAGGGTGCGGGTAGGTAGTTGCAACATTTTTTATTGTAGCTAGACTGAAGCAAAAAGAAAATAAAAGAGTTTTTTTTTTTTTTTTGAAAAACCAGATCGTACCCTCCAGGGGTCCCTACATAGAGACATTGTTTTAGCATACAAGTAAGCATACTCGATATAGCTGCTTACATGTATGTAAATGCCTTTAGGACAGGCCCGCGAGAGTACTACACACGTGCTCGAAAGAAATCCTACTTCAATGCCCCATAGTTCTATCTACCGTATATATATATAGCAGAATGGCTAGGTCCCACCTCCACCCAGGAAGCTTCGCCTCCTCCTTGGATTAATCTACATACATCCATACACAAGTGGCGAACCTTGCTAGAAGAATATCGCCCATGGATCATGAACCGTGCAGCGGTCACTACATCTTATGCTGTGGAGTTAGTTACAATTGATTGATTCGCCAGATAGGTGTAGTGTCGTAATTAATTGTTAATACCCGCGGGGGTAACGCTCCGGGTGTAGTACCAGTAGAGTAGTGCAGTGTAGTGGCAAGCTTTAATGGATGCCAAGACCCGAGTGATATTATATGAACCGTGCTAGGTGGTGGCAGATTCATGGGGTGTCACTCGGTGCAGGGGCAGCGCTGGTGTCAATGATCGCGGTTGTGATACTGTGGCGGGGTGAGTGAGAAGGTGGGGAAGCGGACAAGCAGGGAAGTAGGAAGTGAGATTAAACAAGAGGAAATATCTACATCTAAAATCTATATACAAAGCTGCCTATCTACCTACCCTACCTATCTATGAAGTAGCTGCTTGTGCTTGTGCCTGTGCCTGTGCACCGGCCCTCCTGATGACCCTCTCACACTTCTCCCGCAAGACTCTCCACTCGCCCTTCTCACTCCTCTTCTCCGCCTTCTTCCCTTCCGCCCCTCTTCCACCTCCCCCTCCCCTTTAACCTCCTCCTCTTTAACCTCCTCTTTAACCCCCTCCGCCAAATCCACCAACGCCACCAACCCCCTCGCCATCCCCACCCCCACCCCAACAGCCGGCACCTCCCTCCCCATCCCCGCCACCAACCCCCTCCCCGCCAAAACCCCCTCCTTCTGCACACCCCCATCACTACCAGCCCCACAACCAGCCTATACAACCCCTCATCCCGCCTCACGCCCAACAGCCCCACCCTCACCCACGCATTCCAGAACGCACGCCACGCCCCGCACATGGCATACACACACAGCAGCATCTCGTGCCACTCGCGCAGTGTGTACCCGTGCCCGCCGGCCCGCACCTCCGCGGCGAGCGCGTGCACACGTGGGTCCAGCCGGTACCGGCACATGCGCAGCTTCTCGGCGCGCTTGCGGATGGCGTGCGTGGGCGTCGCGATGCCCGGGTCGCACACGGTGAGTGCCAGGGCGTGCACGAGTGGGAGTGCGGGGGGCGCGAGCGCGCGCAGACGGCAGAGGGCGTATTCGGGCGCGGTGGGGTCGGCGGTGGGGTGGTGGGTGCGTAGGTGTGCGGTTAGTGTGTCGAGGAGGGTTAGGTCTGCGTTGTTGCCGCTGCCGTGTGGGCGTAGTGTGGTGGGGGAGGAGGAGAGGGCGCGGAGGGCGAGGTAGTATTGTTCTTGCGAGGGCGGGGTGGTGAGGGTGGTGAGGAAGTCGATGATGCACTGCGCGGGGTAGGATGACGGCGCGATGCGGTGCGCCTCGATGAGGAGTTCCAGGCGCAGCTGGTTCGCGCTGGGGGATGGGGCGGAGGGGAGGTGGGCGTGGAAGGTGCGCAGGAAGTCGGTTGACGATGTGTCGGCGGGCCCGGAGCCTAGGAGGGGGCAGTCGGCGGTGCCTTTCCAGCCCGGATACTGCGTGCGGAGCTGGTTGATGTGGGCGCGGAGGATGAGGGCGGAGACGGCGGTGTGTGTGTTGGGCGTGTAGGAGGCGGGTAGCTGCTTGGTGAGGTGCCAGGGCTTGCCTTGGGCGACGGAGCGGGGGACTTCGATGCCTTTGAAGGCGATGTCGTCGATGAGGTAGGCGGAGCGCGGGTTGGACGGGTCGGTGGGCGTGAGCGCGGAGAGTTGGAGGTGGCGCGCGGCGGAGGTGGTGAAGAGGCGGCGCGCGGCGGGGGCGGAGGTGGAGGTGTGCAGGGCCCGGGTGTGCGGGGGGCGGGCGGGGGCGCTGGTGTAGTCGGCGCCGGTGGAGAGCCCGGCACCCAGGCGGATGAGCGGGACGCGGGGGTTATATCTAACCTCTGCATTCCCGCCCATCTCTTCTTCCTCCTCCTCTAATTGCCTCTTCTTCTGCTCGTTATACGCCTCCTCCGCCTCCGTCGCCCTCGGGCTCCTCGTGATTGCCCCCACGCCCAAATACCCCCCCCACAGTCCCTCGAGATCAATCTCGTCCCTGCGATGGCTCGTAAACAGCTGCACCACCAGCCCCTGGTCGCCCGCATTCACACATATCCAGCCCACGCCCTCCTCCTGCCCCGTCTGCGTGTTGACCAGCTTCCCCTTCTTCTTGAGCCGGCGGTTCTTGATCTTGAGCTCGCCGCGGCCCAGCAGGCCGTCGGCGTCCGGGCGCATCTTCCACTCGGACCGCAGCCAGCGGCAGAGTTTGTCGGCGGAGGTGTGCAGGTGGCGCTCGGACCGCGCGTTGCCGAGCACCATGATGGTGTCGGGCCCGATGGCGGGCGGCGGGTCCATGGTGCGCAGGTCCATGATGGCGAGGTCGCCGATGCCGAGCTCGGTGCTGAGGTGCGCGAGGAGCGGTGAGAGGGCTGTTGGCGGCGCGGGCGGGAGCGCGGGGAGGGCCTGGTGCGAGGCGAAGGGGTGGCTGGCGGGGCGGGGGGTCTCGACGCGGAGGAACCAGGGGACGGCGTCGGGGGCGGGGGCTTGCGGGCTGGATGCTGCGGGCGCTGGGGCTGTGTCGTCCTCGTCCGCTAATATCTCTTCAGCTGCGGTGCTGGTGGTAGGCTCGTCTTCACGTCTCTGCTCCTTCCGCACGGTCCGGCGCTCGATGGTTATAGTGTCGACCACGGACTCTGCGACGGTCTCGGTCTCGGATAGCTCTGCGACGGTCTCGGTCTCGAATAGCTCTGTGACGGTCTCGGTCACCGACTCAAACACCCCCTCGATAAACTCATCCGGCGGCGGCGGTGGTGCAGGTCTCACCGCCGAGTGCTGGAGCCCCCGTGCTGTCCCGAGTACCCCCGAGTATCTAAATCTCGCAGTGGCAGCAGCATTCGCGGAGGTGAGTGCCCGTGCCGGGACAGGTAGTCGCACGCTCGCGCCGCAGGCCGAGAAGAGCGTGTTGAGCAGGGTGACGGGGCAGGTGTTGCAGCGTGTGATGCGCCGTGCTGCGAGCATGTCTGCGGTGATATTGGTGTTTTGGTGGTGGTGGTGGTGGTGGTGGTGGTATTGTGGATGTGGAGAGCGTCCACAATTTGCTATTATCTTCGGCCCCGGCGGAGGAGGAGTTTTCGAGGTTTGGCGGCACCCGGCGACAGGGATTGGGGGGGGGGGGGGCTGCCAAGAGATACAGACAAGGGGACGAGGGTGTGGTGGCGTGGAGACAGACCCTGGCGGTGGCTGGTGGGGGGAGAAAGAGCTATCGACACAACCCCGGCTGCCGGGGGCACCTCTGTCCTGCAGATTCTTCTCCCATCCATCCATGGACCCTGAGTGGATCCCTCCCCATCTGTACCATCCATAGCCTACATCATGTAGCCCGAAGATCTGACCCAACTCGCTAGCCTGTGGAACATCTCTAATAAGAACCCCACGAGTCTCCCGCTTTGTTCCTGTTCTGCAGCTCTCATTTCTCAGTCCCTCGCTGCTGTGCTGTGCTGTGCTGTGCTGTTTCTGCGCTGTCTGTCGCTGCTGTGTGATTGTGAGCTTTTTCCACTCGCTGTATAATTCGTGGCCTTGATTCTGCACTCTCTTGCTCTCTCTCTCGCTGATCAGAGCTCTCTCTCGTGGCTATTTAACCTGAACCCACCTTCACTTGAAGAAAACTAGTATTCCCCTTCCCTTCCCTTCCCTCACTATCACCACTACCCCAATCCCCCCAATCCCCCAAACCCCACCCCCCACAATGTCCTCCCCCACCCCCGAAGACCTCCTCCGCCAATTCAAGTTCTCCTTCCTCATCAACCAAGGTACGCCGCACCCCTACCTCGGCCCCACCTCCTCCTCCCCCGCGCACTAACACCCCCCGCAGACACACGCACAAAGTCCGTCAACCTCCTCGGCACCATCGCCTCCGCCCCCGCCATCCTCATCGCCGAAAAGACCGCATTCGACATCTCCGCCTTCAACCTCTCGCACTTCCCCGCGCCCGCGCTCCTCCCCGCCGTCGCGCTCGTCGAGAAGAACGACATCTACCACTGGTTCCTCGCCTCCACTGCCTCTGGAGTGCGGACTGCGGATGCGCTGGCGCAGGGCGGCGCGGACGTCAAGATTACGATGATCTGGCCGGCGACGGAGGCGCATGTGCGCAAGTACTCCAAGCAGAATGTGCGCATGGTGGAGGAGACGGCTGAGGTGTATCGCCGCTGTGTGTGGCCGTATGTGCAGGCGAAGCGGGAGGGCGGGAGGCTGGGGTGGGTGTATAATATTCTGGAGGGAAAGGCGGAGGCGGAGAGTGTCATTGTGAGGGATGACGATCCGGTGGAGGGGTTTATACTGTTGCCGGATTTGTAAGTGTCTCTCTCTGCTGTCTATCTTGTGGCTTGTGGGGGGGTGAGTGCTAATTGTGGGTTGTAGGAAGTGGGACCGCAAGACAATGGCAAGCCTGTACACCATGGCGCTCGTCCAGCGCCGCGACATCACGTCGCTGCGCGACCTCAAGAAGCGCGACGTGCCATGGCTAAAGCGCCTGCAGGCTAACATCATCAAGGGCGTCTGCGCAAAGTATCCCAGCGTCGAGCCCGACCAGCTCAAGCTTTACATCCACTGTACTCCCCCCTCTCTCCTCCCTCGAGATTACAATCACTAACAAGCAAAAAACAGATCAACCCTCCTACTACCACTTCCACATCCACGCCGTGTCTGTGACACACGACGGCGGGATGGGGCAGGCGGCGGGCCGCGCGCTGCTGCTCGGGAATGTGATTAGTCAGTTGGAGTGGATGGGCGGCGGCGAGGAGGCCGGGTTTGCGGATGTCACGCTGACGTACTTTGTCGGTGAGGAGAGCGAGCTGTGGCAGGGTGTGTTTGAGGGATTGAGGGAAAAGAGGAACTGTGAGGAGGCAGCTGCAGTGGAGGATGGGGTTGTGGGGGATGGCATGGCTGCTTAGATACCGCGCGCTGACTTGACTACTAGCTGTGATGCTACTCTTCTTCTTTTTTCTCACTCGGCCTTTTATGTACGCTTAGTTCTTATGCTGCGCTTGCTCTTGGGATTGTAGAGGTTTTTTGGTGGTTGGGTTAGGTCTCTTGGGGGTGGGTTCTTATGGAGTTCTTTTTACTTTTACTATACTTTCGTTTCTGTATTGTGGGTTGTGGGTTGTGGGTCTGTGTTACGTGGGACGGGAATATATACACTCTTTAATTTTGGTCTATTTACGGTTTTGTGTTGGGGTGCGAGTGATGGCTTGTGAGTGAGAACGTGGGTGTGATGGGTGAGTGATACATGATGAGCCACGGGTGATGAGAGTCGTGATATGTGAGTGATACTTGGTGAGCAGCTTTGGATGTTATTTGCTCTGGTGGTTTTGCGTTCAGCGGGGGTGTGGGGGGAGATGTTAATTTGAGGAGAGGGGAGGGGAGGGAGGCAAGGTGACCGAAGTTGGGTAAAGGCGCCTAACATAGCCTATCGACGGTCAGGGGATTCGGAAATACTATCTACCATAGATATATAGCGTGTAGTTACCTCCCTCATGCCATAGTGGGGCGATATGGAGGAAGAGATGGACCGGTCCGTGTACTCGGGGTAGTAGAAATATATGACCATATACCCCCCGTAGCTAGCGGGCGAGTCGAAAGTACTGGAATGAAAGAATTGATGAATCAATCTATCAATCAATCACTTACATGTAAATGAATGAACGAGTGAATGAATGAGTGAGTGAGTGAATGAACGAGTGAACGAATGAATGAGTGAATGAATGAATGATACATGCTCCTTTACAGAGAGAGAGAGAGAGAAAGAAGGAAATAAAGAGAGGACACAGTATTTTAAAGTACATAGACAAGACAGGATGGGATACATGTAGGTGGGGTGCTGGAAGGTGTTATTTTGGCAGCTTTTTTTTTTTTCTTCCCGCTTTCTGGCGGCGGGCGGGATGGTGGGGGTGGGTGACGGGACGGGTTGAAAGTACACCTCTTCTTGGTCTTCTCTCTCAACCGTCTCTTGTCCATCTACTCTCCTCCATCCATCCACCTGCCATCTATTTCATCCATCCATCCACCATCCACCCACCCACCCATCAAGATATTAAAGCACAGACCAAAAAGGTACACTGGTAAGATTCAAGACAGCCCACATCAACCAATAGCAGCGAATCTTCTGCTGGTATTAGTAGGCACTGCCCATTTTAGGGGTGTCATTTGCAATAATGATTAGATAGATAGATTGATGGATGTAAGTAAGTCATCATCAAGCTTTGAGGAGTGTAATGATGATAATTGGATGGACGAATGGAAGTAAGTCATCTATTCCCTTGATTCAATATTAGAGTCTGGTGGTTTCCATAGGTTCCCTGGCAATGTGAGATTATCAAACAACTATCCTACATGTGGGTTGAGAGGCTTCCGATTAAGTTTACTCCGAGTATATCGTATCATTTCCTGTGCAGCAGGGGTGATTGTTTGGCTCCGTCTGTACGTGTGTGGATGAATTTTTTGGCTACCAATTACTCTGTTTCTCTTGCTCAGCGAGATCCCTACTGAGCGAGATTTACATGCAAATATTCCTTGGCTGCAGACTCGGTGGCCAGTGTTTACGTGGTAGAGGACCCCAAGTCTCGGTCAGTAGGGGGTCTCGCCGAGCAGGGAAACGGAGTATGTACCTTCACAGAGCTCCTAGAGAGAGAAAAAAAGGCAAGTGACATCCCCTCCAGTAGTTGGGAGAAACCATTGGGCATCTGTAGGGCTAACACTACATTCATGCAGGTACCGTTATGTTATGGGATGTGTTTCAATGGCCAGGGAGAAACAACGCGACCTCGGGAATCTGATTTCAGCGGTTGCCAAGCGATTTGACTTCGAGAAAGAACTACAGTCATCTGTGGGCCCCAAGGCTGAGACGCAGTGATTAAAACATTGGTGGGAAGGATGTGCGAGAGTACATGCGATCGATTGTTTGAGAGAAGATATATATCCCGACACCTGGCCGAAGACGAAGCTCCTCAGTCTCGTGATTTCTATACTGGGACTCGGGTTTCCCTGCGCACCCTCCAACCCTGAGTGTGCGATATTTCGGCTCCATCCGTATAAACGGTACTTCGGTCATTGGTCTCCAGAATCAACGGCTATATTGTGCAGTCGCCAATCAACCTCTCCAAGGAATTCTAATAAAGGCCATCAAGACGTCAACAGGCTACGCTAAATTTGTAAAATTACAAAGGCCTCGAATGGGCTTTGAAGAACGCTGGCGCCATCATCAAAAACCCCCCTTACTTGATTGAATTGTTATTTGGGGCCACAAGCGCTAATGACAGCCAAGCGGCTAATTATTCGGTCGGGGCCTACCGCCAACGTGGCTTCCATTCCCGACCAGAGGATAGGTTCGGAATATTTTGTGAGGTGTCAGTGTGTACCGACCGGCACGGTAATCATGAGATCTCCCTCCGTACATGCAGGATAACCGAGTGATATTCCATGCATGGATAGCATGCAACCGCAAATAATCATCTTTAAAAGGTTACCAATGGACCACCTACACCACCCAAAAAAATACAAGTACTACGTAGGTGCTTAATATATATATATAGGAAATCCCGGCCTGCTGGTTAAACTCAATTTCCTCCTCCATTAGCAGTGTCTCAGCACTGCTTGGAAGCGGCGTGAGAGAGAAATAGCTAGGGTCCTCTCGGGAATCGGAATTGAATTGGACCTCATTGAAACCCGTGCGCTCCTTCGGGGGCACTCTATCTATCACAGGCAAAAAAGGGAACATATTTTGCGGCTGAAAAGCAAAGAGGAAGGTGGATTAAGGGGAGAGGGGGATAAATATTAAATGAATAAAAAAAAAAGCTTCGCTTGTGGCCCAGGGGAGGAGGAAGATCAGTGTAGTACGGTCCGGGTGCACTGCCACGATTGATCTGGTGGATCCGGATCTCTATCACATCAACGCAATTTATCGGGGAGGAGGAGGACATGCAGTTGAGTTGCAGAGACATGACATTGACGGGTGTCAATCCAGAACTCGAGGTTATGCTTATTTTTCGTTGGTCTGGGCCATTGCTCGGGGTAGGCGGGGAGATTTGTTTTTTGTTTGTAATTGCACCACCCCCCCCACCCCCCTTCTCTCCCTCCCCTCCTAGATCCTATGTCCAAAGAGGGGGGTTTCCGTGGAGGCGGGTTGGTGTGTTTTCTGCGCAGGTTTCGGAGAAACAGCACGGAGTCGGACTAGAAGAGGCATCATGTACTCGAGCTAGGTACTGCACAGGAAGCATTGGTCATCTACTCTCGCAGATCGACAAACACCCTGTTTTTTATGATTTGCGGTAGTGTTGTTATTGACGCCCCTAAGAGAGAATTGTGGTTAATATATCGCCGTCACCGCGTTTGAATAGAGTCTACAGACAGGCGGACAGATATAGAGAGACAATTGAGACAGGCGCCTCCCTGCCGATAGTTAAGGAAATAGGTATCGCCTCCCTGACATGCAGTTTTTATGATCCTCCACTTTCTCTCTCCACCCCCCAGCATCTGCGGCAATCACACGACTTTCCCGTGCATTTTACCTAGGGTACAGTCAGTACCTAGAGCAGGTACTAGAGCGTCCATTGTTCCCTCTTTCTTTTTTGTTGCCAGCCTCCACAGGAAAAAAAAAAGGCAGAAGGAAAGGTCCGCCCTTGAAGACAAGCAAGACAACCCTCTGGGCATTACTTCATTTCACTTCTCACTCATTCCTTACACACCCTGAGTACCTATCAGCCAGCCAGCTTCGTCCCCCGCCCTACCTCACCTCCAACGCTCCCGCTTCTATCCCCCGTTCGTTACCGAGATATCATCGGCCTACCTAGCTCCGCCCGCCACCTACATAATCGATTCTCGCACCCCCTTCCCCCTTCAACACGTCTCTTTGGAACATCATACACCTAACTGGGAGAGGCGGCTTATTTATTGTGTGACTTTGATTCTTCCGCATATATCCAAGAGGGACCCTTCTCCGTTTCGTTTCGTTCTGTTTCGTCGACGCCATTTTGTTTTGTTCCCTTTTCCCTTTTTTTACCCCCGTCCCTTTTTCCTCCTGTCCCTTTTTCCTCCTTAACTCCGCCAACTTTTGTGATTTCTAGGTCTTCAGTTTCGCGAATTTGCGCGTGTTTATAATTTCTTTTTCTTGTAACTTCTTTCTTCCTTTTCTTCTTGTTGTCTATCGAAGTGCGCATAGGGATAGGGATATCCAAAGAAAGAAAGAAAGGACGGAAGGGAAGCAAGAAAGAAAGCTGCCATCGTCGCATCTGTCGTTGTTGTGTACTACTCCTTACATACCTGCCCACTCACTCGTTCTTCCAGTTCTCTTCCTTTTCAACTAATAGGAAAAGAGAGGGAGAGGGAGAGGAAGAAAACGGAAAGAAAGAAGGAAGAACAGGAAAGAGGCCTACCCGTTCCGAAAACACGAAAAACGGCCCACTATCATCTCTCGCTGCTTAACAACCTACCTTGTCTACATCACACCTAGTATACTCACTCACTCACTCGCAACCAGAACCAGCTAACCTTACACCTAAAACTATCTTGACCTACCACACACCACCACCTACACCGACACCGTTCTCCAAATACCACACACATACACATACACATACATACCACCATACCACAATTATCTATCGACACTAAACTACGTCAAACCTACTGAATTACAACGTCTACCACACCTCCCATCCCCAACAATAAATACACAAATAAGAAAGTAATAATGTCTGCAAACTCCCCCACCCTGGGTCCATCCCACGCAAACCTGCAAGAAGATGCGGCGTCCCCAATAATAGCATCCGAGATACCGGCCGAAGACACCACAGCGACAGCCCCCGAATCACAACAAGCTTCGCGGCCTAGCCATGCGCCAACTGAGACAACGGCTGTGGAAGGGAATCCTGTAACAACAGCAGACGCAACTGTAGCAGCAGAAGAAGCACTGGCAGCTAACCCGGCCGTCGCACCAACTCAACCTCCTCCACCATCCTCCGTTGCCTCCCACCAACCTGCTACCACTGCTACAATAGCTCCTACAGACACCGCCGCCGCTGCTGCTGTTGTCTACACACCATTGAAAGATATGAAGACAGCATCATCGCCCATAGAGCCGACAGTGGCGTCACTTTCAATCACATTACTGCTCATCTCGGGCGTGCGCCATCAATTCGTGATGGACGAAGCGTATCTCACGCGGCACTCGGTCAAGACTGGAAAAGAGGCTCTGAAGGATCCGTTCGAGATGAGCGTATGGCAACTGAAGGAGTGTATATGGAAGGATTGGAAAGAAGGTAAATAATTAACCGACCACCTTCAATACTTTCTTCCTCTCTCACCCGCCCCTATTACGGGAAGCTGATTGTGTGCAGAATGGGATCAAAGACCAGCTAGTGCCATGTTCATAAGGCTTATACATTTCGGCCGCATGTTGGAAGACAAACATCCTCTCAAAGGTACATCCTCATTCTTCCCCGTATAGAGCTTCGTTTTAAACAACTTCTTCCCCCCCCCCCCCCTCCCTTTCCCCCCATCGCCGCTCGGGTGCTGACTGAAGCTATAGACTGCAGGCTCAACCAAGACACCCCGAATGTCGTACATATGACCGTCCGCCCGCCAGAGGTTGGCGACGATGAAATGACGCAACGGAGCGCAAAGGGATTCGGACACAATAGGGAGAATGGCAATAGCAGCAGCTCTCCCTCATGTAGGTGTGTCATATTGTAGGGACGGGGGGCTAGGAAAGGATATGCGGAAAGCGCATGATCCATAGCTCATTGTTTTTTCATATCTGCTCGGACAACTGTGGGGACCTGGACGCCCGCTCTTTACTCTCTCCCTCTTTCTCTCATTCGCTTTCTTTTGTACTATCTTGTCTGGAGCCTGGTATTGATATCTATCCGGCGTCATTGTTGTTTTATGGGAGAGCAGTAGTCACAGTAGTCGGGAGTTGGGAAAGGCAGGGACTGGCGGGGAATTGTGCATATATATCGCTTCCTTTTTTTCTTTTTCAATTTTCCATATGTTTTTTTGCAATGTTTTTATTCTTTTTTTCTTTGTACACGGAGTTTATTTTTTTCTTTTCTTGTCTTGGTAACTAAGGTTAATTGCGGTACGTACGGTTCTAGCTAGTGGGGGTTACTTTATCAATTCTTTTTTGCTCTCTCTTTACTCTCACACACACTCTACTCGTTCAGTTTCTATTTTTCCTTGCATTATGTGCGAAAATAGTTCCATTTCTACATACCCTCATGTTCTCGTATGGCTGCTATACCCCCCTCTTTGTGTCCATTGTGTTTTTTCGTTATCGTCCCGTGGTGTGCAGAGGATGGGATTTTTTTAGTTGGATGGGTTAGACATCTGAAGAGCGAATTCCAAAGGTTTAAAAAAAAAAAAAGATGCGACCGTTTTTTGTGGGGGATGCGCGCGCGAGCAAGGCATGCGTTTTTATGCATGTAGCAAGTGGTAGCGGGGGCGGGAGTGAAGACATGCTCTTCTCCACTTTCTGCAGCACCAGCTTGGCTTGCCTGCTTATGCTGTGGCACTGATGGGGGGGGGGGAGAATTATAGTGCCTGGCTGTAGGCACTTTAGTAGCATGTGTAGTACCTACACTCTATCTCCTTTATGTAGGTACTTTTCCGTATAGTATGTAGGGCACAGATATCGCTATGCGAAACCCAGGGTAAACAAACCAATAAACAAACAGAAAGACGTGTGCCATGCGTTAAGACCCTGCTTCAATCTCACGGATTAATCCTGTTATGGAACTTACCGGGGGGTTGTTGCGTACTGCAGCAAGCAGCAGCAACAGCATGCGATGGTTTGGTCTGGTTTGATTTGGTTTTTGGGGTGATAAGCTTAAGTGATGTGATACTGGGCCTGGCGTGGAAGATAACATGGCATGCTTCCTCCCACGTTGTGATCTGATCATTGCTTTTACTTTTGGCATCATGGGGACAGTTTTTTTCTTGAGATGTGAGGGGAGAGAGGGGGGAGGGGGGGGGGTTGTACGCCGGTCGATAAGGAAACACCAAGCACAATCACCAAGATACCAAGAGCCCTTTTACACATGTATTCTCTTGGGCACGCTATCATCTGACGGCGATTGATGATGATATCAACAAAGTTGTGTTCATTGTTCATTATTTATCCTCCCAGTTTCTCCGCATTTCCCGAATCCTGTTTTTTTTTCCGGTGGCCCCCAAATTGCATTGGGTAATACTGATTAAATGAGACCTAGCTGGGAACAAACCCGGGAGTTCGGCAGTGTATATGTGTAGGCAGAGTGCCCAAATGTAGGCAAGCCAGGGTCGGTCGGCATCGGTGATAGATGAAAGAAGCCGTTATCGAAGCCCTCCGAAAAACACAAAACTTTTATGTCCATCCCAAGTATTATTATTAGTATCACTCTTCATCTTTTACCGAATCAACTATCCCAATGACCAAGTTCACAAACTCGTCAACTTCGGTGTTGTCCTCCCTCAACCGTTTCAACTCTCCTACGCCCGCCTTAGCTGCCCTCTCCTCGTTCCAGGGACGCCGGGTTTGTTCGAACCCTCCTCTGCCACCGCGTCCTCGTCCCCTGCCTCCTCGTCCGCGTGGGACAAAGCTCTGAGGCGGTGGTTCGAGGGTTGCTTTATGGACGCTGAGGAGATGTTGGCGAAGGCTCGGGGACGCTAGCATTTGCTGGACTTCGGGCGATGAGAGTAGTGAGGCAAATTTGTCTGTCCCTGCAGGCTTTGAAGCTGCCTTTGGTTCGTCATTTTGAGCTTTCTCAGCGGCCTTTGGCGCCTCAGACGTAGGTTCGGCAGGTTTGGCCTTCTCGTGTTGGACTTTATGTGGCTTGTAGCAGACGAGGGAGCAACTGAAACCGAGAAATTAGTTTTTTTGGACCGGCGAAAGCGAGGAGACATTGTGGGATCGGGTCGCGTACTAGGGAATCTCGCAGGATGGGCATTTATATTTCGAGGGAGCCTCGTTGCAGATTCCGCAGAGTGCCATGATTTGTCGCGGTGGTTGATCGAGGAAGGGATCTCTTTGCATAGCTGATTAGATATTCGGAAAGGCTAGCCCTAGCCCTACCATAAAGTAAAGGCTTGGCTGAAACACTTTCATGGGATTTGTAGGATCTGTGGTTTTGTAGTAATTGTGAATCCAAGGCAAGCATAATAAGAATACTGATGGAGCAAGGTTTATTGGATAAAGTTATTATAGCCAGGTTTCTGTTGTTTTTTATTGAAACCTTTGTCCCCTACATGTAGTTCAGAGTAGGTATCGTGTCATCTTCACTAACCTGCTTTTCGCATTCTCCGGAGGCCTCCAGTGTCATCTTCTGGGTTAGGGGTCTCATACGGAAGGAGTGGTTTTTAGGACAGTGATAGGTGAAAAACTACATGTAATGGGGGTCTTGGATATTGGAAGCTGCTAGAAGCACTTCTTCTAAAAAAAACTTGGGAGCGAATAAAATATCTAGAAGCCCTGAGTTGTAATCATAAAAGAATAAAATCCAGGTTATGTAGATATCCTTCGATTCCTTAAGATTGTCCCATGATATGTCACATCGTGACATGGTGGCTGGACAAAATGTGGAACCCAAGTCTTCTTTCCCCAACGTTATGATAGGGCAATTGCAATCAGGAAAGTATACTCAACAACTACCTTATGAGATCTGATAATTGGTCTCGATAAAGTGAAGATGCAGCTGGTGCATGTTGCAGATGCGGGTGATAGTGTGGCAGGGCGTGGAATGCCGTGACTGGCACAGCCACAGACAGGGCCGGTCGTTCCCCGTGGTGTGGAACAACAGGCCAACCCCCACCACCAACAGTCGCCTCAAGCATCTTCTCCCTCTCTCTCTCAACAACTCTTCCTCAGCTCTCATCAGATAGCCCTTCAAATACAGTTTTCCCCTGATAATATATCCCCCTTATCTCAGCTATACAGTCATTCAAGTATCGTTCAGTAGATCCCAGTCATCTAAACCCATCTCCGCCGCTTCCAGCAACCCCCTCCACTCCCTCTCCCGTCATGGAATCTCCAGTGCGACGGCGGTATGAGATAGAGGAGCTTAAATCACTACAGCACTCTCCACTCGTAAAAAAACCTGATGGATTACCGCCAATTGAAGAATGGATGGGGTAAGCTTTGTCTCCTTTTTTTTGTTTGCCATCTCTTGTTGTATCTAGAGTCGTGGTGCTAACTAGCTTCACAGGCCTGCCCCCGCAGTTCGACCCCAAACCACACGCACACGCACAGATGGCGATGTTCTTGCTAACAGTACTAACCACGACGATTCTGTCAAAGGGTATTGTTACTTTCGCTCTGGGTGCTTAGCCATATGTTGAAACTAAACTGAATTGCGGCAACTTAGTATTTCGGCAACACGCCGGCCATCTATGTTCGAATCTCGGCACGTGTCACGATCGTCAAGTATGCCTCCTATATGAAGTTGCTATCTATTCTTGTTATTTTGCTGATATCTTATAGTTCCAGAAGACATCCTCGGGCCTCCGAAAATGATGTCGTTTGCGTCATCATCCTCGGCTCGAGCAATATCCGGCAAGTTTGATCAAGATGGACTTCATGCCACCTCAATAGCATCTCCAGTATTTGCGGAAGAACGTGGGGAAAGCCCTCATTTTGAACGGTTCAAGATTGAAAGGGGGGTTCGCTCGGGCGACAAGGACAGAGGGGACAAAGATCGCGGCGGAGATCGTGTCGATATGCGGGGTCCCAACCACATTAAGCGATTTAGAGATGATGGTGAAGGTAGCGGAGAGCGAGGTAGTGGCGGCTGGACAAATGTTTCACGCCAACCGCGCAAGAGCTTTGGTGCCGAGGACGGTGACCGTTTCCGTAGGGGTGTCGAAAGAGAAAAGCGGGAAACTCCGTGGGATAAGGACCGCCCACCAAAATACGATAACTTTGGTAGAGATCGAGATCGTGAACACCGGCCAAAGTTGAAAAGAGATGAATCTAGCTGGTTGCTAGATGACAATCGTGGGGGAGACAGGGATCACTATCGTGAGCGTGACCGCGATCATCATCGTGACAATCACCGCGATAGTCACCGTTACAACAATAGTAGGGCTGAGAAGGACCCTGAATGGATGGATTCTGGGCCAGGTAATGAAGATAGGACAGGAGATTCTAAACCGGCACATTCGATGGAGGAATTTCAACGCTGGAAGGAGAGAATGAAGGCAGGTAATGCACCGCCTGAAGAGAAAAAGAAGGCAGACGTGCCTGCCGAAGAGAACCATCAAACACCACCTCCAAAAGAAGAAGTCGAAGCTAGGCCTACAAAGGGGCACGAAAGTGCAGTTATTGAAGGTATATCAGAAAGTAATCATGCAGAGAGATATCTATTAGAAACTAATACAATAAGTAGAACCGCAAACCGCCCCGGCGGTAGTAGAAAATAACGTGGACAGATTCTTCGGATTCTGGAGCACTCCTGCTACTAAAAGCGCCGAGCAGGATATAATGAACCCTATCAGGCAGGAGCCCAAGAATCCAGTGAAATCTCGTTTTGCTGCAATTTTTGCCCCACAGGACGAGGTTGCTGCGCCTCCGGTAGTTGAAGCCCGCAAGCCTTCTCCAAAATTGCCTACTCCTGCAAATGGATCTACCCCCGAAGACAAAGAAGGTTTCCAGCGTATTCTGAAGATACTCAACGGCGTCAATATCGGAGAGAATACAACCCCGATAGCCGTACAAGCCCCTGTATCAACTCCGCAAATCCAACGCCCTATGCAACGTAGCATATCCCCTATCACGTCAAGCCTTATGTCTCCCCCTCCTGCTCCATCACACCAGCAAAATCAAGGAAATCCTGGGCTTCGAAATGACCCCAATACAGACTTCCTCATGCGCCTTATGCATCAGTCGCATCAGTCACAGCAGCAGCAGCATCAGCAACAGCAGCAGCAGCAACAACAGCAGCAGCAACAACAACAGCATCAACAGCATCAACAGCATCAGCAGCAACAGCAACAACTGCAGCAGCAGCAACAACAACATCAGGCACAGCTCCCTCCATCAATCTCTCCGCTGCACCAGCACTATGGAGGGCCGTCTCAGATGCCTCCGCCGCCTCCAATCTCAACGAGCCCCCATAATTATCATAGAGCAAAGAATAACCCCCTTTCGCCTGTTTTTGATGACCCTGCGATCACCGATTTTAGAAGGCGTGACGCCAGTCCCATCTACCCTAGGGGACCTCCACTCATGGAGCAACATGGCCCTCCGGCCGGCTGGAATCCTCCTCAACAGATGTCGCAGCCGCAAATCCCTCAATCACTTAGGCAAGTGGCCCCACCTCCAGGACTCGCAAGGAACCAGCATCATCAAGGTCCTCCCCCACCTCCACCTTTTCTTGGGCCACCTCTGGGAGTTAATGGGCCCCCAATGCCATTTCAACTTGGCCCAATGCCAAACATACCACCAAATTTCGGCCCGCCTCCCCCGTTCTTTGGTATGAATGGACCTCCTCCTCCACAGATGAATGGGCCACCGCCTCCAGGGTACCATATGCCGTTCCATCACCCTCACCATGAGCCACCCCATGGTCCCCCAATGGGGCTTCACGGTCCACCATTTGGTTTCCCTCACGATGGAGCCAAGAATCCTCCCCATCCTCACGGGCCCGGTAATGCGCGATTTTCTGCTGAATCTATCCACCGCCAGATTCGCTGACAGCCATATGGACCAGGTCTCTAATATCGAATTCTATGGAACAATGTGACCGGTATTACGAATTTACTAGGCTCTCTCTCCTGGGCCTTTACTTTTCATATTGGGGGATACTTTAACATCGTCTTCCTTTCTTCCGTTCTTTCTTGTTTTTGTTCCCTTCGATGCTCGTGTCCGTACTCAAGCTTTTTTCAGCTCCTAAGGCGTCGTGTTCCCCTCACCTTTCCACTATTTCCGTCCCTGCCCTGTAGTCATGTCTTGTTACCATGTAAACATACTTTCTGAATGCTTTGTTTGTCTTGCTGATTTGGTTTGATTTGATCTGATTTGGGTTTGGTGCTGGTTTTGTTACCATATGCTTTGACTTCTGTGTGCTTTATTCCCTTGGGTATAGACGGACGGATGGATAGTTTATATTCTCACTTTCCTTCTCTGTCTCTATCCCACCTTGCTGCTATATTTGGAATTTTGTGACTTGTCTTATACTTACTGGTACTCCTTTCTCACTGTTCTCGTTCCTCGCTATTTTAGTTTCTTAAGGGCTTTCATAGTTACTTTGCATTATTTACTTTTGTTACTTTTTAATGCAGGCACCTTCTCTTCAGAGTTGAAATTAACACCCTTGTTTTTCCTTTTTTCTTTTTGTGTTTGGTCGGATTTTGTGCTTTATCTGCTTATTACTCGGGGACGGTACTTCTCTGCTTTGTGCCCGCCTCTTACATTTATGGCACGGCCTCTACCTCTGTAATGTTGGTATGGAATTACGGGGAACTAGTTTGGCAACGAAAAAGAATTGAAATGTTATGCAATATTGAGTGCCCTTTTATATGAGGGATAACACTCGATCACGGGAAATCACTCGCTTAAATCGAACCCTTGCGGAGACCCCTCCTGAACTGTAGAGCCAATAGCCGCTATAATCCAAACAAACGTGCAATCTTTCTAGCAAGTCAATCTACAGCAGTAGAAAAGACAAGTCAGGAATTAGTTCCGCGCATAATATTATGGTCTCACCCAAAACCTACATGTAGTCCTATACAAAAAACAAGATTAGATTAGATCTTTGATGCCAAGCCCTATATTCGGAGGACATGCATGTAATCTGGCCGGCACGTGACGCAAACCCGCCTTCGATACCCCTCCACCTGCTAGGTTTTGGCTGTCACCAACTTGAGGGCATCATAATCATGCCTAGTACTAAATAGAGATCAACGGCCCTCTCATGTTTTTTTATTGGCCAACTTTAAACCCTCCGAACCCCCCCCGGGCTCTCCGCCTATTTCCTCATTATTTTCTAGTATGATAGCACATAGCACAGCTCTCAGTTCCATCACTCTGTAAAAACCGGATACAAACGAAGGATTGTGTTTTGGGTTTTGGATCTGAGGGCTGTAGACTACATGTAATGCTTGGGTCGAGTAGGTCGAGCAGGGCGGGTGAGTGCCTAAGCGCCAAGACCGCGGCTTTGTGGTATATGGAGACAAGTTTATAAGAAAAAGTTTCACCAAACCAGCCCAACCCTCATCCGGCCCTGACCATGGGGAAGAGGGAGGCCGAGGGTAAGAGAAGCTACTTAGGGAAACTTAACCCTGCCATGACAATCTACCACGACGTACAGCATGACCCACACAGCTAGACATCTGCTTGTATAGAAATGCAAAAAATAGGCTTGAACTCGGATTACCCCCAGCATGGTGCCATCAGAATAATAGCAAGTCTCAACACAACTTAGTACTTCCACGAAATAATTCCCTTCGACTAAATTCCAACGGCGATACTTACAATATCAATCCATTTTCCTGTGGCAGAAGTGAAGGACACATTCTCCAGCCTGGCGACTGGACTTGCCTGTATGACCCGAGAGTTGATCGCTTCATAGATTCTCACTCGAGTAGATATAACGCTAGTCCTAATCGGTAGTAGCTTTTCTCCCCCACGATGTTTCAGCGCTTTTAAACCTGACGGCTATGTAGCTCAGAGGCCTAACCAAAACCCATCTATTTAAATGGAAATAACAGTGAGGTATTAAAACTCTTGACTGAATAGCGCTAGGTCATGAAATATTAACATAAGAAACTTTTTTATCTTCGAGTCTCTCTCATCACAGCTAGGCTTTCTTTATACCCTTACCAAATAAGTTTGATTAAGCCTTGTAGACGCGCGAGGGGATAAGAGGTACAAATCTAGTTAGGCGCAATTCCTTGTCCTGTTCATTCCTGTGGTCTCTATTGTACTTGTTGAGCCTCTATCGAAGCTCGCATACATATAACTAAACGGTTGAGAATCTTAGTTTTTGTGGTTATCCGAGCCCGTTCATGACGGATATACAAGTCGATCAAAATCTTACGTAGCATTTAGAAAGCTTAAATAATTATCCCATATGATAAGTGAACCCAGTACCGCCGTCTGACAGGGTGCACATACCCTTATTCAAAGCACTATATGTATAATGTATCCACGTACTCCCCTTCTTTCCTCTTAACTTCTTCATCTTTCGTTTTCTTGACAGTACCTGAAAATGAGGTATGGTCTATTTTTCTATAGAGGAAAGTCTGTCTGCCCGACAGAAGACGATTACTCACTTGATTTTTGGTATGTTGGGGTGACCGAGACTTCAAGGTATGATAGCCCAGTCCGTTTACAGCAGCAATCGATCAATGAAGCGAGTAATTTGATTTTGATGAAAATTCATTCAACTGGACCAGCTGACTTTGCTAACCCTCGGGCAGCTTTTACAATACAAACTTCGATGATCAAGAGGCCTAGGATAGAATTCTTGATATTCCTTTCCTTTCTCCTATTGCCTCTGCAATACTTGAAATTTACCCTCCCGCCCTTGAGAGAACGACGACCGGTGGTGAGGTATTGGACAAGAGACGATTACTCTCTTGATCTTTATAGGTTGGCGTGGCCAAAAGCTTCATGGTATGTGGTGTAAACAAAAGTTTGATTGCACTGTATTTTTACTAACCGGGCTTCAGAGGCTGCTGCACCCGACGAGAAAGGAGATAAATTCTCCCTGGCCTCTTGCGGGCTGCTTGATTACACCTAACAATTCCTCAGGGTGAATGGAGGCCCCTGCCTTGGGATTTTTTTGTGCCATGGAGGAAAATCAAAACTTTATTAGTGAGATCTCTCCTCAAATATCTTGTATAGTCTTGTGCTGATATATCAACAGGCAACAACACCCTCAAAAGACTAGAGGAGCTTTAGTAAGCCCAGAGCTGTCTGGCAACTCTACGTTAAGCTGCAGGTATGCATCTCTCCCGAATTAAGCAACTTGGCGTGCCCATTTTTTTATTTAGAGTATGTAGCTAACTACTTGGAGTCAGAATTTTATATTATTCTGGGAGTTGGTCTCTTCCTTGAAACTGCTAAAACTCCTCAAAGATCGGGGGCCTAGAGTCTCATGTATGGAGGCTCGGCGGTCCACTAGGGTTAACATTCCTAGGCCCCCACCTTGCGAGCTCAGCAGCTAGTCGGGTTATGCTCCAGCAAAATCAAGAAACCGCAATATTGGGTGCTTTCTGGTTTGCAGCTTCCATCGACCACCAGTTCAACCTTGTAGCTCGCTAAATCGTGGTCTTCGACCATAATTTTCCGCTCATCACATTGTGTGGCCGGCAACAGGGAACAAGAGCCGATTCGGTTCTGTGGGATTCGCCAAAACAAGATCCTTCACAATTCTCCTTCTTTACTATATCTCGCGAATATCCTTTGCTTCTGTGTCCTTGGCGCCTAACCACTAGAAGGCCTTCTCCACTAACTGTCGATAGTTTCCAGCTCGTGGGCGCTTATAAAAGAGAGTTGCCTCAAGAGGATATATGAAACCTCTAGTTCTCTTTGTCTTTAACTAGATAATAAGTTAATATCTCCCCTTCCTTAGCATTATATATAAATATTGACGTATCGTTCGTTCAAGATAATCCAAGAGATATCAGCGAGCATTCTTTGAACCTCGTAGGGAAACTCGTTGAAGTTTCCTTCACACTGAGCTTAATTACCCGGGGATAAAATGATTCTCTTGCAGCTTGTGCTGCAAAGGGTACAAAGTACCGATTCCTTCTCGTTTTTACACCACGCCCCAACACCACCATCATCTCGTTTTTCTGGGGCTCACGCTGGACTCATCGTCTCCGTGGAGTCACCCGAGTATGGGCCATCTCTTCGAAGGGAGAACACCGCTGATTCACTGGGAATGGGTGAGAAATTCGCATACTCAAACATTTGTCGTTTCGTTGCATTTGTTATCTTCTCTCTTTGCGATCATCTGTATTTTTATCCAAAAGGGAATAAAGCTGCAGTCAGCGTTCTTGTGCTGTATTTACGTTCATGTTGGTAAAGGTTGTTCCAAATTATCCATTGCAGCCCGAGAGCTTTTATGTGACTGCCAGTTAGCGATCACGCAAGCTTTCTCTTTATCAGTATAATTTCCAGGGCGTTAAGAGGTGCCGTTAGATATTGTTCGGATCTCTGGTCCGCCAGCTGAAAGCTACAAATAATACTTTCATTCGGTTTGATCATCATCCATGCTGTAGATCGGCAACTCTTTTACTAATTCCCAAGCTGACGATCCAGCAGGTGCAAGGTATTAGTGTCTCCGAATGTGTCTTGGCAAAAATATAAAGTATATGCCAAGACCTAGTCTCATTGGTTGCTCTAACGACACCATTACCAGCTAACCAATCCTAGGTGGCAACTAACCCCACTATCGTGAGTGTATTTAAACCCTCGTGTAGCAAAACCTGTCAGTTTAGCCCTTGAGAGGCCGGTTCGCTTTTACTATCAACAAAGTACATGACCTTCGTACGGGCGACTGTCGAATATAACCCCTGCCCGATGGCTTGAAATTTTCTTGGGGAAAGGGCGATGGAGACCGACCCCGCAGAGCATATCCTTCTAATGAGGCCTCCAATAGACCTTTATGAGACCATATTATGACCCTCCAGCTGGTTCAGGGGAGTCTTGACGATAGTAAATTCAAGTCGGTTTGTAGAATAAGCGCATCAAGGCAATCTTAAAAGAATAAAGGTTTTCCTGAGTGAAATATCTGGGGGTGAGATCAGGCCAGGTATAATCAATCTCCTTAGTTCCCATTTCCCGGAACAAGAAACTCCTATGGGCGGCGCTCTTCTGAAAGGGCTAAAATCTTTAACTCTGTGGGCGGGAACATACCTTAGCCCATGGGGTTTGGCCTGCGGTATTCTCCTGCGGGATAGAAGACTAATTTGGAGTCCTATGATTGGATCTAGCTGGACTAGAATAGTGTTGGATAAGAGAGACACCCTAGGTTACGTTGATCATTTTAAATGGTTGGAATAATGGCTGGGATAGTACTTTGACGATAGCGATCATGAGTGTTGGGTTGGTTGTGGTGAATACAAGCTGTGGGGGTGAGGAGAGGGATTACCCTGGGAGGCGGTAACAGGATAAGCCCTACGGGTGCAGAGTGAGGGCTTTTGTGGTGCCAAACTCGACCGTTGATCATCGAATGTGCTGGAGCCAATGCTGCCGAGAATACCCTTATCACACCGAGAAGCCAAACTCCTACATTTAACATGATAAGACTTTAATGACAATATAGATAGAAAAGATCAAATACCAGTATTTGTATTGTGGAATGCCTGTATGCATAAGCTACATAGGCATTGATCTACTCTCATCTTTTTAAGGAAAACAAGTACATCAAATCGATCGGATCACTAAGGCGTAACTTGCAGCTTGGATGTCTTGATATACGGCGCTGACATGTACTTACTACATGTAAACCATATCTTTTTTTTTTTTGACTAATCTTGTTTTCCTACATGTATTGTGTGTGATTTTGGGATGAAATCCCACTACATGTATATATATGTCTGCGTGTATGTGTGTTCAATAAATGCAGTATGTTATTGATTGAAATACATCTATGTAGCTGACCGCTAGTGAATGATCGGCTACACACATAAAAATAGCATATCGCAGGTAAGAATTAAGGACACGTTCAAAAAAGACTACAGAACCTTTAAATCTCAATACACAAGATACATACATGTGTTTGCATCCTGCTCGTGAGATATAAACTTATACGTACTGTATGTAGTTACAATCCCATGCATGATGTACCTTCCGCACCATAAACAATCAGCCAGATGACTTCGGCGAAGAGACCATGAGATAGAACACAAATTGTTTCTGAATTGTAAGACACTACGACCCGAGGTTTGCATAGCCTAAAGCACCTCTTCGAAGAGTCACTCGTTGTTGTAGCTCTCCGCCTGTGCATGGATATGTGTGGTCTAGTGTGTACCTTGCTGTGGTCCAGTTGGCCTGTGTAACATTCCACCCCCGTTAGACCCGCGCTTGGTTATGCGCCACTTTGCATGCGGCTACACTCCCGGGAAGTTTGCACGTCTTCCTAGAGGAATCGCGACTTCCTCAGCCTAGACAGAACCCCATATCCTCCCGATTTTTCTTCGCGTCAACACGTCCTCTACGGGGAACGTGACTTAAGGCTCCTCTACGCGTCCTCGATCACCCCACCTTGCCCGCCATTTCTGCCTCCTCTCGACGAACATTGAGTGAGTCGTCACGGCCGCGTTTATGACAATCCGAACTCACGGCCGCCGAAGGAACCAGTACGAGTAGCTAGGGATGAGAATACATATTCAGGTTCTGATTTATCGATAAACAAACCTCTTCAAACCTACAAACCTTCCAGTGCTTGTCTACCCCACCCCGGTTCTCGTTTGTGAGGTCAAACTACACGAAACATATCTATAGATCCGCACTTTCGAGACGGGCCTTAATTCACGAATTACGGACCCCAATGAACGGCCTACCACCCGACTTCTATCTCCCTCCCGCACAGGGCAGATCTCAGCTACCCCCCATCGATGTCGATGATGCCCTTCAGTACACACCTCTCTCATCAGTCGTTCCTTTGTCCGCTGGTAATTCATCCATATTTTCCCTCTTGCAGCCCTCGGGGAAGGGAAAACAAGAAAAATAGGAAAAATAAAAACTAACGTCAATATCACAAAAGAAATAATAACCCTGCCGGCACTAACATCCACCGGAGTATCCTCGATTTATCAATCCGAACCAGAACGCCGCCATATTTGCCAAACCTTGGACAACCTTGACAGGGAAGCAGGTCATGATCCGGGATCAAAAGTGGTACGGAAGTACTTGTCGGATATAAGCTCTCATATTTCCACATCTAGCGGTGGGACTGAATTGTGAGTTTTTCTATAGATGCAATTGAGTTGATAGGTGGGCTACTGATGATGTTGTGTGGGGCTATAGTCGTTTCAAGTCACTCGGAAAGGGAGCGAACGAATGGTCTTCGAGAGTATCGGTGGGAGCGCAGGGGGGTATTCTCAAACATGGAAAGATTGGGAAGTTCGGGGAAATGGTGTTGAATAAGAGCAATGTCACTTTCAGATGTAGGCATTCCCAACATGGGGATCATTTCCATTCTAGAAAGAATCGAAATCCAAAAAAGTCCATGATTTCTTCTTCACTGCCATAAAATTGTCTAATACTTGGTGGCAAACTGCTAGATCCAATATCCTCAATAGGTGGTCCGAAACCGGCACAACAAACTCAGACACAACCGCCGAGTCATGACCAAAATCATGCACCGAACTATACCCCGAATTATGATCCAAATTATCCCCAAAATAATTATACCCCGCCGACACAGAATTTTCAAACGCCACACAGTTATAAGAATAAGAACCGGCTTCCTGCGGCGACACCTCAAACCCCTAGTAGTACATCCACTGCGGTACCATCCAACGGGTTCCATAAACCCAGCCCTATACAGCAGAACTTTCACCAAAAGCAGTCTATTCCTGCTCAAAACTATCACCAGCAAGTCCAGACCCCAAATCACATACAACTACCGAAAAAAGAACGACCTATCCAGAAGAGTGAACCTCCCGAGCTCGTCAACGGTGATTATATTCAATCTCCTACAGCGCCTGTAACAACTCAAAGAGCCGAGTTTGTGAAAATACCCCCACCACCACCATCATTCGACCGCTCACAGTACGTGAAACATACCGAAATCGAGAGGAAAGTCCGCAAACCAAAGCCTGTAGGGACAACCAGTACATCAAAGTCAAGAAAACGCAAACGTTCTCATTCCGACGCCGAAGATGAAGAACGGTTGGCTTCTGGTGTGGACCAGAGAGCAAAGGCGGAGAGTTTATTGAAGGGGCTTCAGAGTTTTATGAATTCTATCTTCGAGGCTGAAGACAATCTTTCTCCCGACACCTCAGACCGTGTGGGGGATAAGAACTCGAAAATGTGGATGACGAGTACATTGGGTGGTGAGTCGCCATGTTTATCGACGGCAGTACAAACCAAGCTCGAAAATGCCATACAGAGGGTCATTTCTTTTGCACGATTTGGGGAAATTCCCGTGGATGATTTGACGAGGCTACAGAAGATCTGCGAAAGCTCTTTGAAACTGGCAGAGAACACAGATGTCATGGTGAAGGAGGAGGAAAGCGAACTAGCCACCCAAGAATGGCTAGAAAGGGTAAATATTATTGATAATGGCCTCAAAACTGCTAAAACAGTGCTACGCATCATGGTAGGTGGAAGAGAAGAAAAGCAGATATATTCCGAGGATCTATTAGCCGGAGTTTTATCAGTGCTCAAAAACCTCATTGAGACAACTGTCAATCCCATGATTGAGATGCGTTCAACAGGCGAGAAGCTGGCAATTTTCAAAGTAGCGGCGGCCCACAAGAAAATCCTTGGAGGACTATTACACGAGATTACGAGTGTATTCGCACTACTATCGAAACTGCTTGCGATGGAGGAGGTAACGGAAGGAACTATCACGACAATGGAATTTATCGCAGTCTCGGTTATCTTTATTGAGAATGCATCAAACGAGAAAGATTCAGTGTTTGGTGTTCAAAAGGTTGAAAGGTTCCGGGTTGCAGCAATGGACGTACTGGCAAAAATATTCGCAAGGTATCCAGATCAGAGGACTTTCATCTTTGATGAGATCCTTACAAGTCTCGAAAAGCTCCCTGTTAACCGGCAGAGCGCACGCCAATTCAAACTCGTTGAAGGAAAGAATATCCAACTGGTAAGTGCGCTGATTATGCGCCTTGTACAGACCAGTGGGACCTATCAAGGACGTAAACGAAAACAAGGCTTAGTCACAGATGAGGATGGCGAGGTAATACTAGAGAAAGATGAAGAGGAAATCCAAGAATCTGGAGAAGGAATTGAAGGAATAGATCGAATGAACGCAGTTGACAGGCTACACATGATGTCGAATCCATTGCTTGATTCTGCGCAGAAGAATGCAGCATATGTCGTTAACTTCTTGGTACAGCGGGCGATGAAGTCGACCAAGACAGGGGATCAGCCTTATAGAGTTCTAATGGATATTTTTACAGAAGATTTCATCGCTGTTCTAGGCTCGCCGGAATGGCCAGGCGCAGAGTTGCTACTGCGGTCCATTCTGGGAAGCATGTGTACCATTGTCGATGGGGATAAGCAAACTGCACCCGCCAAGTCTATGGCCTTGGACCTACTAGGCCTTATGGGCAGCGCGATCTGCGATGTCGTCGTTCACCTCCGGGAGAGTCACCGCAATAGAGAAAGCCTGGGTGACTCTGCAGATGGTCACATCGTTGTATTAACTGAAAAGTGCCTAGAGAGCAGTATTGGCGGTACAAATGGTGGCAATGTACCGACTGCTATTGAAGAAGAACTGATTGACTGGGAGGGCCCATTCAGATACGCACTTGAACACCTGTTACAGATGATGTCATCCGATGGTAGCTTGCAGAGCGCTTGTGGTTATTATTTAACTGCCTGGAGCGCACGAATCTGTAACCTTTTTGAGAAGGTTGGAGATGTAGTGGATGAAGATGAGGATGATGACGGAATGCGGGATGAGCTTGTGAGGGTGGCGGGAAATCTGAAAAGGATCACGTTGGACAAGAGCTGGATCGATGATGACTTGTAAATCAATCCTCTTCCTTTGAAGGAACAAAGCTGATATCCGTTATTAGTGATGTGGAGAAGATATCTCAAACGGCCATCAGGCAGGCATATGTGCTAACGGTCTTGCATATGCCTTTCTGCATGAGCTTTGAACATATCCTCAATCGGTTGCTTCGATCAGTCGACGATAATCAGGCCACGACTAGGAGTAAGGGCTTAAAGGCTATTTTACAACTTTTACAGAAGGACCCTGGGATTTTGAAGCGGCCACAAGTCGTTCCATTTATTATCAAAAGGTTAAAGGACCCGTCCCCCTTGGTCAGAGACTCAGCCGTCGACCTCATCGGGAAGTGTATTCAGCTGCAGCCAGATCTTGAAGATCAAGTCTATAAAAGTATACTTGAACGTGCATCCGATGCTGGAGTCGGCGTGAGAAAGAGGGCGATGAAAATTCTCAAAGATATATACTTAAGAAGTAAGAAAGAGGTTGTCAAGGTTGCCATTGCAGAGGCATTAGTGCAGAGAATTAAGGATAATGATACTAGTGTTTCGGTATGTCACATCGTCACTATTAAGAATATGCGCTTATTTTATGTGTAGGAATTGGCAAGGAAGACCTTTGAGGAGATTTGGATAACGCCCTTCTATGGCCACATTGGAGAGGAGGAAACGGAAACTGCGCAGCAAGTTCAATCAGAAATTAGTCCACAGATGAAACTAATCGTCAATGAAAGGGTTTCAGTCATTGTTAAGGTGGTGCAGAAGGAGGTCATGTTGACAGTTTTACATGATGTTATCAAGTCTCTGTTGCATTCAGAAACGAAAAACTGTACTATGAACTTTAGGGTTTGTAAGACAATGGTCGGATCAATGTGTGATGATCTTCTTGACCGGCAAGGCGACTCTGATAAGGTGGGTTACTTAATTTTCTTTCTTGATCGGGGATTTTTACTGATGTATAAATAAATACAGGCCGAGAGACAAAGTACGCTACAAACTTTGACAGTATTTGCTCGGGCAAACCCAAAATTGTTCACTCCCGAACAGCTCATAATGTTACAGCCTTATATTGAGAACTTAACGGCACAGGACGATCTCCATGTCTTCCGGTCTGTCATCGTTATATTTCGATGTGCTTTACCGGTCCTATCAAACCTACATGTGGGATTTTTAGCAACTGTTCAACAGAGCTTGCTGAAGAACCTGTCACGATTGCCTTCACCAGTAGGTCAAAATCTACGTATTACTTTTGAAAAATACCATTGACAGATAGCATTTTAGGAATTGAAAGAAGTAATTTCCTGTCTTTGGACTATCAACGGGGTGTTGAAGAACCCAGAGCGGTTGATTCGAGTGACAATTTCCTGTTTAACAAATATACTCAAGTCGAAAGGAAAGTCGATTGAATCAAAAGCAGAAGCGAGCCGATTGGTCCGGACACTTCATATTCTTGGTTTGTTTGGGAAGAACTGCAACTTCGAGAATGAGACGAAGATGTTTAAGGATGCTTTTCCGCAGTGGAAGGGCCCGTCGGTCTCGGGCTTGATTACAGATACTATCATACCTTTCTGTGAACCATCGATGAATTCTTCTGTCAGAAAAGCTGCGCTGGAAAGCTTATGCCACGTCTGCCAAACTCATGCAGTCCACTTCCTAAAGCCGCAGATTCTGAAGGCATTTGATCAGGTTTTTGACGTTGGTGATAAGGATCTCATGAACCTTGTTCTTTTAGGAATCAAGGGTTTCCTCCAAACTGAGGAGAAACGAAGTGAATTCGGGGCCGTGGAGGCTTCGGGCAAAGAAAAGGATGCCATTGGCGGCAACAACGAAGAAAACGGGAGGTTAGACCAGCTAGCTAATGCAAACCAGAATGATGGCGTAAGCACCAGTTTAGCGCAAAAATACCTCAAGAATATCATCCAAATCTCAATGGCTAGTCAGGATGTGTATGCACTCACAGCAACAGAGGTGATTGGGAGTATTTTGAGGCAGGGATTGGTACATCCTAAGGAGGTTTGTCTTCAAAACATCCAGCTTGATAGACCGAGTGCTAACTGGTGATTACAGTGTGTGCCTGCACTGGTTGCGTTAGAAACTTCGACGAATCCTACAATTCAAGCTATTTCATTTAGGGAACACCGAACGCTACACTCGAAGCACGAGACTATTGTCGAAAGAGGCTACATGGATGGTGTGAAATCCTGCTTTCTTTACCAACGTAACGTTATTGGAGATGGGTCCGGTGCTACAGCGAACCCATTCATGTCGAAAATGAGACCGCTCTACGAGATTGTTAAGACAAGTCGTAAGGTTCGAAAGAAGCTTTTGGGGAACATGACCATGAGCGTCGATTTCGAACCTACAAAGCTGGAACTACCAAATCATCTCGAATACTCAAAATTTGTTATTGAGAACTTGGCGTTCTTTGAATACGGAACTCTAGATGAACTTTACCAAGTCGTGACAACTATGGAACGAGTTGTTGCTGGTACAGGAATGACGGTTGCGCATTCAATAGAGACAGATATCTTTTTCATCAAGATCGACGTTCCAGAAAACGAGAAGAGTGCAATGACAGTCGACCCAGAAAAACTGAAGACTCTTTCTGCGGCTGCGGGGATTCTTTCAATGCTTTGGGAAGCTCGAACGTACCTCCGGAAACTCTATGCACTAAACGATAACAAAAGCCGCGACTACAAAGCGAACAAAGTTAACGCAAAAGACATGAATAAGGCACCAAGTCGCAACACGAATTTTTCGGCTACAGGAGTCTGGCAATCCATTAGAGATACAACGCGAAATCTTGAGACAGATGAAGGGAGGATGAGACAATGCAGGGAATTTGTGGAGACTTTGAGTGTGGATAACGAGTTTAAACTCGCGGCGGAGGGAGAAGATCTAGATGATATTGATGCCGCCGGTGATAGGATAACCCCCGGGGCGGAGAGCGATCATGAAGGTGGTAGTAATGGCGTTCACGATATAATGGGTGCGGTTATACTAGGCGGCCATGCCGGCGGTGTCCCGATGACGCCGAGCTCGAAGGGCAAAAAAAGGAAGGTCCCAGGCAACACTCCAGAGAAGGGTGTTGGGAGAGTGAAGAAGAAGCCCAAGCCGAGATCAAACAAACCCAAAAAGGAGTAATCTGGCGACGGAAAATTGCGGGTCATCAAGAACTTCATTTGGTATTTACGTTTTTCTTTCCTTACATAGTTGCTCATTTAAGTATCTATTTCGCTGCAGCTGGCGTTGGAGCTAAATTTCGTTGTAGATACTACATGTAGATTGGGCTGGACTGAATTGCTCGTTTTTAATTCTTTCTTTTATAGTTTCATGGGAGGGGGAGTTATCTTTGTTTTTCTATTTCTTTTGTCTTATTCTGAAGTAGCCAAATCTTCGATGGGTTGGATTTTCCTTTTCTTCGATTCTACTACTCAGCTAGTTTTTTTTACATGGCATTTCTTTCTACTCCTTTAGTTATGCTTTACTATACCACGACCTCTGCCTCAGATAATGAAATGTAGAATGATGATTATGTCTCAAAAGCACATGTGGTTTACGGTTCGTATACGGGTGTTTGAATGCATTAGGCGATAGATACGTATGTACTCGCGTTTATGAATCTCGTCATTGTTCAGTAATAGACAGCATATATAGTGCTTACAGATAGGGACGAGTCACGATAACGAGGGCAGGTCTACACAAGTATGCAGCTTGTGTTTTGCGCTTTACTCTACCTAGATACATGTAGTCTACTCTACACACTCATACTCCAGAGTACTTGCATTCTCGTACCACCCAACTAACGCCGAAACGTTATTATTGCTATATCGATAAATACATGTATCGATAAAGCTTAAACCCCACCCTCGCATCATCCCTCTCCAGGCGATTCGCGCGCGGCACTCCCAACTCGCACAATGTGTACAGCTTACCCTCAAAAGAACCAGGAGATGCAAGTAACGGAAACAGGGATTATTTGTATGAGAGAACGACGCCACTCCATACAAATTATCCTTGCCCTGAGCAACTGGTTCTTACGCTGGTAAGCGTGTAGAGTAGTGTAGATCCCCCCCGAACCCCGCATCCCCCCCCCCCAACCCAACCAAAAGAGAGGAATCCCAACCCAAGCTAGCATAGCATAGCATACGGCGACCGACCTACTCAATCTCCTAGCTCGTGTTATGCCCTACATAAAGTAAAGCAGATCGTGATCACACGATACCGATATATATCTCGCTTCATTAAGCTTTAATTAAGCCGTATGTGATATATGTTCACTGTGTGTTTACTGATCCACTCGTCTTTAATTATACATTTACTTACCCGCTCATATGTGCATCTAGCGAGATTTTAAAGTAAGGGCCAATGATCTCCCCGCGTTTGTACGACCCATAAAATTCCCAACTCGACCCCTCCATGGAGATTGCAATCCCCCGAACACCCCCGCGCCTGCATGAAGGCTTGGAAAAAAAAGAGTAGCCTGTATACAAGAATGGGGGTAAAGTGGTGGAGGCAAAAAACAAAGCGTCATGTATGGAGAGAGAGAGAGCGCCAGAGAGAGAGCGCCAGAGAGAGAGGGGAGAGCGAGTGAGGCGCATCTGAGCCGATCCTCTGCGATCGATATAAATCGTGGATGAATGGAAAAGGCATACCTACCCGCGCTATCGCATCCGCACCGCCGTACCGAAAAAAAAAAATATACACACACACACCCCTCCTCCCCCGCATCCTCCTCCCATTCCTCCCCCACAGGTGGTTTGGTTTGTTTTTTTGCTAATGGTCGGATTTCGGGGGGAGGCGTTATCTTACATATCTGAACTGGACTGAACCTCAGGCTCGGGGACAGACAAGACACTGTACTGGTCCACACTACTGCCGCTCAACAGTTCGATTCTGCAGGTGAGGAAAGGGTCAGAAAAAGTAATACGTTCCCAGATCCTGCTACCTGCTAAGTGAGGTAGGCTACCTCGTGGGAGACTTTCAAACTCAGTTAATTCTCTAGAGGAACAATCAATGATCACGATTGCATGAGTTACACCGGTACATAACCTGTCCAGGTAGACGGGATTGGTGCTGAATATAAGTGACCCGTCAGGTCGGACCTCCCCCTCTCCCCCCATTAGACGCCGGTTTACAACTTTATAGCGCCACCAAGCGCCTAGGGTGGTGACTTAAGCGGCGTCATTGAACTAGCGGTGAGACTTTGTCCATTGCCTTGTGGGCGTTATTTATGGAAGAGCAGCAGTTGATGTCATCTGCAGTTGAGACACGATATTATGCAGCTATCTGAAGATCTATCAACCCATTCTCCAAACCCAGAAGCAAAAAGGGTGGGACGGTGTTTGATTATTTTGCCCCGTCAACGTTTGGTGTTTGTTGACATGTAGGAAGTAAGGGGCGAAAAGCTGCTGCCTGTCTGTTGTTCACGAATCACAAAAATGAAAATGAACGGATGGCAGAAGCACATCCATCCAAGTACACAATTAGTTTAGCGTGTTCATCCCTACGATACCCACCCGTCCGCTGTCAACCAAAGCAACCTTATCCCCCAGTAGACAAGGTATTTTGGTAGGTGAGCAGCGAGCGCCAGCTAGGTATGTACCTACTCGTAGCTTCATGACGTTTCCGAACACGACTGCTATTGCATACCATGCAAAAAAGCGCCAAATCCATCTTTTTGTATGTCATGCAATATTGGTCGTGTTCGGAAACGCTATGAAGCTACGAGTACACTGCAGCAGCGGGTCCCTCCGCTAGCTGGCCCCTCTAGTTACTCATCTCTTGAGTCTTCCATCGTGACCCTCCCAAACGCACCCCTAACCTCCAGCTTAATCCTTCTCCATCTGATTTAGGGGTGAGCGTGCAAAAGTGATAGGACACTCCCGAAATCCCGAAACACTGACCGACCAACGTTCGGGAGGTCCTCTTATGTAGTTCCCGCCCCAGATTTTCGGTACTGTCGCAGCCAGCTAAGGGTCTGTGTGGTGGTTTTGTTGCTGCTTGACGCTAAAATAATTTTCCCCGTGGCGCTCTTTATTTGGATCGGTGGTTTGTGCGCCCCCGTTCTTGTGCTAGACAGGATAGGGACAGGGATGGACGTGTTTCTGCTAGAAGAGCACTGCTGCCTTGACTTCGGTGCTTTGTCTTATCGGTGTCCTCGGTACTTTTGAAGTATTTGGAAGAAATGTCGTGACGGTGATGAAATTTATCTCTTAGAGCGAGAGAAAACAAGTATGTTAAAGCAGACCAGGCCAGAGGCAGGGGGAATAATGCAAATCCCTTTCATCATTGCCTGAGATCACCCAGAAGCTCAGGGGAAGAAGCCTGAAGCTGTGCTGAGGAGAGAGGTTGATAATTTCCTTCTCCCAGCTGAAATGACGGATAATAACAGATCTGCGGTGTGATTACTACGCCGTTATTCATCACCACAGATCACTCGGACCCATTTCATCCACCCAGCCTAATTAAAAAAAAGCACTACCACCAGTTTGGTAAGTCATGAACGTTCGGGAACATTAATTAGACGGGAGGTCTCATCCAACTCGATCGTGCAGTGCATAAATATATCCATATACATTTAGGAATAATCTTTTTTTTGTTTATGATATCTCCCCGAGACCAAACTTCTGTCAAAAAGGCTTGTGAGTAGTTGGGAATGGGGCCATGGGCATGGCTTTGATATATGAGTAAACCTCATGCAGCAGAATAAAAAAGAATACATGTACCTTAACATGATCCAGTTACACCACCACTGCTCAACATCCATAATATAGGTTGAGAAAAAGAGAGGGGGAAACATATTTCTCTTCCATTTACCCACCAGCAAACAAAAATCCAATCCGCGGAGGAAGAGTGGTAAATAAAGTTGAGGCTCAAAAACAAGCATTTCCTTGGCAGCGCCAGCAAGTAGTGGAGGAACAGCACAGCACACACACAACCATCACCATCAGCTCATCTGCATCTCCATCCCCTGAGAGAGATGTGAGATGAGCTGCTCTTTATGTGGCCTTCGGTTTTCGCCTCTCGCCCCCCTTGTTGCCCCCCCTCCCCACCGCCGCCAACGGCGGTGCAGGAAATTCTGGACCCCAGACGCACGCCCGCGCCCGCCTACTGCGGCAATCGCGAATACATTTTCGCGGTACGATCAGACAAAGTACTAGCGTGGGGAAAGATCCTATGGGGAGAAGGCATTTAGGGGGAAGGAAGGAACGCAGAGGGGAGGGGGGTCCCCCGGGGCTTTCTCCGAGGCCGGTGCCGGCGCCCACTGGTTTTCTTCGTTTGTTTCATCAAATGTAGTTGGTAGACGACCCTTTACTCTATTACATGTAGGCATTCTTTCTTTTTTGTCATTTACAGTTGGATAGAGCATTCATGCAGTTATGTGCCCAGCGGGTACTGTTGTCTGAGACTCAGGTTAAGAGTGCAACAGAGCGCTGTTAACACAGCAATGGGGCACGTGCTTGTCATCCAACCCGCTGCTGCTCTGCTCTGTTGCCCTCTTAACCTGCTACGCACATGGATCTCAGACAACAGAACCGATGGGTGAACGATTTGATCAACCTCCTAGTCAGAGGGAAGACTTCGTAAGCATGTAGGTAAGCTCGGGGACTAAATGCGCAACTCAAGGAACGGACATCGAGCATCTGGTGGGCGAGGGAGGCCGATTAGGAACCACCGAGCCGTTGTCTGATAAAGGGCAATAATGCAACACGATACGATACGATTGATTGAAGCTAGATAGCCCCGCTGTGACTCCTTTTTTCATAAGATACTCGATGCTTCTGCTCTAGCACTCCCGCTACTGTGCAGGGCCGCAAAAAAATAATTATGTCTTTTTTTTTTTTGAGTTGTGATACTTGCGTGTAATTACTACATTAGCCTCAAGTAAAAAGAGCTGAATGGGGGCCGGTCCTGGAAGATTACATGAATTCTCGCTTATTTACCAATGGTGCGGTACATGGGACGGAAATATCCCGGCTTGTCGGGCTGATAGGGCAGGAACTGTAGGTACTAGAAATTTCACACTCAGATTTATTTCCTTTATTACAGTTTCATCTGTCTTCATTCAACGTAAATTTAGGCATTTGAATTTGCCACTTTCTCGGCTGATGAAGTCTGGTGATTCGCTATTTCCTTCCGTGTCAGTAAAGGACGTGTCATTCATTACTGATGATTTCCTGAGCATGAACCCCCACTGACCCCCACCTCTCCTGACTGCCGAGACTCACGGCCCGACCCACTGCGTGACAGTGCGTGTATCAGAATCATTGCATTGCATTGTTATACGTGGGGTACCATTATCAAATGCAAAAACTTCAGAGTATCGGACATTTGGACTTCTTGAGAAGCCGTGATGGTTTTCCCCCACTGAACAGTTGGTATCTAAAATAGGAGATCCTCCCCCCTAACCTAAGCTTGGTGCTAGAGTAACAAGACTGAAGTCTAGCCTTCCGCTTTCTTTTTCTCTGTCGATAAAGTCTTGCACGACTTTGAGAGCCTTCTCACTAAAGACGTCATCATCGCCCAAGAAGCCCCTGTCCAGCGGTCCTTTTCTTCTTCCGTCAAGCTCATAGAGATGATTGCTCTTGGATTTGACAAAGCAGACATAGTGCAGGTCCACATCGGCCTCTGCATCTGGGACAACAGATGATCCCTGGGTAGCTGCGGACTTATGGGCCGATTCGAGTTCCCGAGAATCTTCGAGGACCTTGGCACGATCCAGTGGGGGGAGTGGGAGTGCCTTGGCAAGCAGTCTACCGATGGGGGAGTCGGCCTCTTGATACGTGTTAATCATTACCTCTCCTATGGCCGACGGGAGTGATATGAAATGAAATATGAAGTAACATACCGATCATGTCTCGGGCAGCACCGTTAGAGATTGCATGTAAGACGCCTATCATGCCGCAAGCATTTCGGATCGTCTGTTTGAACCAAACCGGGTCCTCTCCCTCACCTTTGCCGTTGTATTCGGGCCTGCTTTCATCCTCATCGCGCCGAAACTTCTCGTAGCTCTCGGAGACAGGGAAAACCAGAAGTAGAGCAAGGGCTGGTCTCGGTACGAATGCAAGGAGCTCGGGCTCCGAGATGGAGAAGACGTCGTGAAACGCAAGCGTTGGAGTTAACCCCAGATTGTGCACAAGGGTGGTCATCAACTCGGGGTTACATCTGCGGGGGAAAGCGGGTAAAGTCAGTAGCTTTTTAATGAGCGGTCAGTTTGACAGCCGGGAGAGAAGAGAGAGCATACTCTAGCGGAATAAAGGCTTTGCGACCTTTGGGGACATCGACCGAAGGGTCATGAGGATCAACGGCTGCTGTGGGGTCGGACATCATGATGATGACGATGGTGATGGGTGATGGGTGATGGGTGATGCTTCTGCTGGTGCTGGCTGTGATTTGTATCTATGTAGCTGCTGTTGATCTCCTTCCGTTGCGGGTAGCGTCAATATCACACGTAAGTTGAGGTCTCTGGGGTGGTGGTTGGAACACTTTGTGATCACTGTGTAACAGCCAAAGCAACCAAAGCACAAAAGTGATGGGGTTGATGGTGGTTGGCAGCAGCAGTTGGCAGTCAACAGTGAGGGGGGACACAGGTTGCGGGCAGCTGCCATGGGTGTAACTCTGCTATTGCGTAAGAGGCTGAGAGACGGACAAATCCCACACACTCAGTGACCGACGCACGGTTCACGCAGGACTCCGAGATTAACTGAAATGCAGGATATTTCATCGTCGCTTGGCGAGCCAAACAAAGAGCTTCAGGCTCCTCCTCCAGTAATGTTTACATGATCTAGGTTTCCTCAAACCATTTCCATCAGACTGTATCTCTCGATTCATCGTTTCATTCCGTTTGTGTGGTCTCTGCTCCTGCTAGTACATGAAAATGTTTCTCCCTCTCCGCTCGATGCGGCTGCCATTATGTACCCTGAAGTTGGACTGGCTGGGATTCTGGGAATAACAACAAAACCCGCTGCGGGACTGGTCACACCCTACTAAGCGAGAGCACAAGCGAGGAAAGACGAGACGAAACAAAAATGCTAGAGTGACCTCTCTGCAGCCATCATCCATCATCCATCGTAAACTGGCCAATTATGGGACGGCGAGCAGTGCAAGTGACAGTCTGCTCAAGGTGTCACCGCTCTGTGGGTGTGAAGGTAGGGCGTCCTTCCGCTTACTGACCCCAACACGGGCAGCGATCAAGGGTCCCTTGCAAAGCGTTTTTCCAACAGATTGGGTCCTCTTTACGGGAGCGATGGAGGATAACGATCGGCAGAAAGGAACAGCTCATCACGGTTGCGGAGCACTTACAGCCAAACCGCTTCCAATCGCTAGACGTTGAATTCGTTTTTCTCAAATTTTAATTTTATTCTCACCATTCCTTTTGGCAATTATCTGTCGGGATTCTCTTCTTGCGTAACACCTACAACCCATTTGGGAAACAAGAGGACGAACATTCAACATGCTCAGGTTTCCCCCCCACCCACTCTCCCCACGTAAGTCTTTGGCTGAGGGAAAACCGTGGGATCTGTGCTCAGTCACGTCGGTGTAGATTGAATAGCCTTAGTTATGTGACTGAAGTCGACTGCTCCAAAATTGGCGGTAACTGCGCGGCCAAGGCAAGACCTACAGTCGTTTTTTTTTTTTTTTTTTCCTTAACAAATTCCCGGCTGCAATCCAGTCTTTGAGGTTATTTTAACCTCCTCCTGTTGGCCCTGTTGGCGGTTGGCTGTCGGCCAGTCGGTACTTCATGTACCAAGTACAACCGGCAGACCTGCTAAGATCCAGTCAGATGGTTCTCGTTGGCATAGGAGGTTCCACTCGCCTCATCCAAATCTGTGTCTCTGGTTCTGGATACGGTAGCTATTTCTTCCTTGTATGATATTTCGGGCACGGCTTCAGCCTGGGCATTGTCGTGGGAGCGGTGTGGTTGTAACTTGTGGTGGTGGTCAGTGGTGGTCCTGTGCACACTCACTCACTTCCTGCCGAAGGGCCTTCCTTCCGGACTGCGGGGGAAAAGGAAAAAAAAAAAACAGGGCGCTGATCGTCATGACCGCGGTGGCCTGAGCCGTAGATTGAGCAGTGCTCTATTGTTGTATTCCTGCTTTTGATCCTGACTCCTCCTTTGTAATATTTTCATCTCTCCTTCCTTTGTCTTTTTTCTCTCTCTACAACAGGATCTTCACCACTCCTCAACCCCCCCCCCCCCCAAATAACTCCTGCTACCTGCGCAGCGCCGGTGGCTGTTATCGTCACGATAACGATTACAGTGACTACATCAGATCTGTGATCAGCTTCACTTACTGTTTATTTGGCACTGTTCTTAATAATATAATCCCATCCGCTTTTGGTGGTGGTGGATAAGGTTTTGGATACATATATACTGGAGGCATTCCTCAACCTTATTCAAAGGCTTAACGGGCTGCTGCAGCCCCCCCGACTTTGGTTCCGGTCAAACGTGATGGCCGTAGCGAGGCTTCAGTGACACAGCCCTACCAACAGAGAAATAACGAAAAGATAAATCCTCCCGGAGAAATCCCTTGCACTCGAGGTTTTATCATCAGTCACCGCAGCCCCACGACTTTACCTCGGTCCCTTTAACCTCATTGAATTGGGGTCGATACGCGGCATATTACAGCATAATAGGAGGACTTGGATGTTGGGAATGATGGACTGGTTTTCAACAAATTTATTAAGGAAACGGATGGAGGAGGAGGGGAGTAATGACCGTTGGGTTGATGACCCAATATACGGATTGAGCAGACTAGATGGTCGGGCTCTGGACAGCTTGAACAATAATTCACCAATATTAACCAGCCAGGAGCTTTACATTTTGCGAGTAATAGCACTGGTAGCAGCGAGCATTTCATTAATCAGTGGTTTTGTTGTTGGGTGGTGGTTTGTACGCATGAAGAGAAGCTTCAGACATCAGTATGCACCCCGGGAATTGGCTGGTTGTACAGATGTACATTAAATAATAAAGAGAGAAGGAAAAATAAATGCTAACTTCGCACCGCACAGTCTCATCATGTTGCTGGTATTTTCAGACTTCTTCAAAGCAAGCTGGCAGCTGATATACCCGGCGGTTGTATTTACGAATGGGGCGGTTTCGAGTACATCGAGGTTTTGCCAGGCTGCTGGATTTTTTATGTCTATGGGGATTGAGGCTTCTGGTAAGCTGCATAAAACATCAAAATCCCAGGGGGAAACTTAAGAAATCTATTATAATAATAAGCTAACTTTTTTGGAAACTAGATTTCGCGGTATTGGTAATAGCAGTTCACAGTGCACTCTATATTTTCCGACCCGGCCTAACAGCAATCGGTGAAGGCGGACTGTATCGATATCGTCACTCGGTTTACGTTGCGTGGCTCGCCTTTTCAATTTTGATGCCTTCCCTGGCCTATGTCAACAGTACACCAGCCTACACAGCCCAAGGTACATTTTGCTATCTTCCAGTACGCCCATTCTGGTATCGAATGGCATTAGCTTGGATACCTCGATACGTGATTCTGGTCGTGATTTTAATAATCTACGCCTCCATCTACATCTATGTGCGAATGAAGTTTCGCACATTTCGGAGTCACGTGGGTGCCAGCACACTTGAGATGGATACGGCGGATCTGGTTGCAGCAGAGCAACCTAAACCAAATAATGGACAGGTGCCAGCATTGGATGACCATGGACTGATACCAGTATCACCTAGTGGGGACAGTCGACAAGCATCAAATTCCTCAGACCAACCATTTGCAAAGGCTTTGATAATCCCTCAAACTATTGCGGAGAAGCTCAACTTTTCACCTTGCAACTCAGAACCCCGTGGATCGACCTGTGATGGCAACTCATCATCACCTTCACGTAGGGGATCGTTGCCTATGTCTGTTTCTAACATGGATAACAGCAATAACACTCGAGGAGGGGGAGGGGGAGGGGGAGGGGGGGGCAATCAGGATGCAAGGAATGCCAGACTGCGGGGGAGAAGGATAGCCATCAGTCGACAACTACGACTATTATTCATTTACCCATTGGTATACGCCCTTATGTGGGTGTTACCCCTGATAAGTCACCTACTACAGTATCAGGACAAATTCGTCAAAAACCCCAGCTTTCCATTGGCCTGTATGGTTGCGTTCACAATACCTGTGCAGTGTGCGGTGGATTGTTGGCTGTTTACGATTCGGGAGAAACCATGGAGGTACATACCGAAATCGGACGGGAAATGGTTTTGGTCAAGATACGGGTTCTTTGCAGGAGAGGAGCCTACAACTGGCAGAAATGAAGGCGACGGTTGGAGGAAGAAGAAGAATATGAGCTTTGAGGCAAGGAAGGCCTACGAGAGAAGGGAGGAGGAGAGAAGAGAAGCAGCGGAGGTTTGGTTGACGAGACAGGAGGAGAAAGGGAGACGACCACCGATGCCCCGAAGATCAGACACAAACTGGTGGGATATTGTCGACAATGGCGATATTGCGGAGGAATCAGAAGAGGAGATGTCTGAAGTTGAACCTCGTGGCCGCATAGATGAGTTGGGAGCATTAGAGGATGGGAGAGGACCTATGGGAGAGGAACCACCGAGCAATCATTAAGTGATTTTGAGTAGTTTAGCCCTTTTCTTTTGTGTTAAATTTTTTTTATACTATTATTGGGGTTTTGGGACATAACTTGGGAGGTGTGCATATCTTTTCTACTTGGGGATCTTACGACTTATGAATATGGGGCCTTTCTTTTGTTTTGGATTTTGAATAATTTTTACTTAACTCTCATTTGTTTCTGAAGCATGCGCAGGTTCCATCCTTTTTTACCGGCGGGCAAGTTTTTTTTTTCTCTCTGCATTTTTGAGACCTTTTTCTTTTTCATTGCATTTTGGGGATCGGCATACTTATTTAGCTAAAAGGCGACCGGCATTTTGGGGATCATCCTGTTGTTTTGGTTTGTTACTTTTTGGCGAGCTTTTTCGTTGTACAAAAACAAGAAAAAAAAGGCCTTAAAGGGCTTGGGCTGGAGAGACTAGTGTTTTGATAGGTTCAGCAGCTATTGATACCCTTTTCTTCCCTTTTCTTTCAACGAATGCTCTTTCCTGGTACTTAATATTTATTAGGGGTGTTTTTTGCTGTTTTTATTATTCATTTTTGGGTCGGCGTTTCTTTTACAAAAAAGGTTTCTTAGGGGTTAATCTTTTTGCTAGTGTTGGTGTTATTGTATTTTTTTTTTTGGTACCCCGGGTTGTGGAGACAGGTTGAAACGAAAGAAAAAAAATATAGTGGATCGCATAGTATACAATATATTTGGAGTGTATTTCCACTTGTGATCAGCAAGATTTGTGAAAATCTTTGACTTGTTTAATGAGTTGATGGTTCTGATGATGCTTTGAAAATTTAGGCCATTATTGATGGCTTGCGGCGGGGAGGGAGGGAGGTTGGTTGGGGGAATGTAGGGTAGAGAGGAGCTTTCACTTTGAAAGGCTTGCCTCTCTAGAGTACTTTATTTGGGCTTGGTCCTGCATGCATGAGTGACGTGCCACGCAAACAGGGTATATATCCTATTTTGTGACGTTGTCTTCGAGAACCGCCGGCACGACATGCTTCATGGGGTAGGGACTCTGTACCATCACCAGAATCAAATCTATCGATTTAGCTACAGATCCCTAGACGAAATAAACTACCGGCCTGACTGGATGGCGCTTTTCGGATACGCATCACTTCATCAGAACACTGCAGAACCTACCGCTCACACATCTCATGGAGGAACATGGAGGGCTAAGAACTGGGGAAGTAAAGCTTGGCTTCGTCGGGGGAGGAGGAGGGGGACCCTCCGGGGTTGTTCCCGGGGTATATTCGCCCTTCAGAGGCACAACTACAGGTTGAGGCCGTATTGAAGTTGCCCTTTCAGGGCCAAGAGCTAGCCAGTTGTCAAATGGTTAGAGTATTTCGGTGGTACTGGTGGTAGGCATTGCGCCAGTGACTTGTCAATTGATCTCTCTGCCTCTGCTCGTAATTATGGCTATGTGCTCTGCAGGGCCGCTATTGTATGCTCTTCGGAAGCCGTTCCTGGATTTGCCTTGGTACACTGCTGCGCTGCTGCGGAACTTGATGGCGTAAGTGAGGATCGGAGACAGAAACCCGTGATCCTGGATGTGCTGCCGGTTCGTTTTCTTTTCTTTCTTTATATGCATGTTACGAGTGTCAGAGATATGCAGACATGGATTGTCTGCGGATCTTCGTAATTGAGACACTCAAATTATGCAACACTAGGCTGACGATGGAGAAATAGTGCTCTCTTTCGCGCGGTGACCTACTCTAGTGATACACTTGATACACTTCATATACCTTATATGCTTGATACAGAACCCCCTACTTTCTTCAGCAGCAGCCTAGATTTGAACAAGAGGCGCAATCTGAGACGAAAATCCCGGATAAAAGTTCTCGGCGATGATCTCATCGAGGGCAGCCGTCGATACTCTAAGATAGAGAAAGGAAGAGGTGGAACTCGTTTCAGATCGAGGGGCATTGCTGCGAAATCCTTTAGTGGATGGAGAAGCGAGCCGAAGTCATATGATGTAGGGCTGAATAACATAACATAACAAACAAGCTTGTTATGGACTTTAATCTTAACCGCTAGACCTCTCATGCCAATAAGTGGGGGTAGGTACTGACCTTTGTTATCTTGGCTGATACCTCTGTGCCTCTTTTGTTGAGGAGCTCACAATCATTGATGCCGGTGTCAATTATCCCGTGTCGACTACTTGAAGAAATATTTTCCCGTCTTCGGCCCTGCCGACAGGCGCATAAGTCAATGTGAAACCGAGACGAAACAGAAACAGATAGAATCGAATCTAAAAAACAATCTGTACCTGAAATTGAATGACGACGGAACCACCTGATCTCGATTGATGGACATTTGCCCAATGGTTGTTATCGAGGAACCTGACGATCGTGTAGATCAAGTTGTCTTGGGCATAGGAAAAAAATTGTATTTCCCTCCCATCTGGCAACAGTGCAACTATTGGCTGGCTGTTTTGTGGAGACAACGAGTCTAGAGCCGGATGCTACGATGAGAAAGCGCGAGTAACCGCGGGGAAGAGCATGTATGTACATGTGGTCGTAACAAAAACATTGTCCGGTCTGAAAAGCTGGGGTTGATGTCACTCAGTAAGTGCTACATCAGCAGTCAAGTTCTAATTTCTATCGTTCATGGCCGCACACAAGCCTTGTACGACCTTAATCAAGGACAACAAGCTAGCGGGAAATCGTGTTGACGATCGTTCTCGAAAGGGATCCATTTCTTGTGGTTTTCGATTGTTTGGGGATCTGCAGTAGTCAACTTCAACCAGTCGGAACGAGGCCTGGAGAACCCCTGGAAAAAAAAATCCGATCCACACGAGTGATATCTGATGATTTATAACAGTCTGTTGCGGCCATGGCTAACGTCAATGCTTGATGATACGATTACATAACAAACAGCTAATATCTTATCAAGATCACCTGATGCTGAATGCCTACTCGATCCAAGAGTTCTTGGCATGTTGCACTGCTGAAACTCATGTCGGAAATTAGTGCGAACAGCTCACCAGTCAAGAGGCTCAGAGATAAGCTTTTAGTGAGCGGACTGTCTTGTGTTTATATGGACTATAAATAATGCCTATAAACCCGGGATGTTGTTTTAAGTGTCCCCCCACAGATCTGGGTAAAGAGATCTAGCCCCCGGGTTTCATTAGCCTATCTCAATGACCATCTGAAACCTATAGGTTAGGCGGCAAATTTCATGGAGAGTGGGGCCTCAACGTGGCGGGAGATATCTCTCTGTGGCTTGATCTTATACTTCTTTGGTACGTAGATTACGCCATAGTGTAAACTGCATGCGACCATTCTGTACCTAGAATCAGAAATGAAATGACTTCACACACACAGATTTCCTTCTGGTTTAGATATTCAGGGGTTTATCGTGGTGGTTGGGTGTTATGGTGGTTGGCTATCATAGAGCGTAAACGAACTCTGGTACTAGAACAGCTTACCTTGCACCATGCAGCCACAATTTCTGTCAATGCAACTCGGAGCTAAATCACTGGTGGACAAGACGTCGAGCGATGTCGGAAGCCCCAATTCAGATCTGTATTTCTGTATTAGATTACTGTCTTTTACAGTAACAGTATCTCTTTTTTAAGGGACTCAGAACATCATATGTCGACCTGTGAAGACCATTTGGTTGGTTTGTTATTTAGCTGGATGGATAAAACTCGAAAAATTGGCTATCTCCGGCCAAGGATTATCGCTCGAGTGATTGGTTGAATGGCATCGATCTGCATCAGAAGTTTCCCACACGAGTAATTCCGACCTCTGGAAGCTAGCCAATTTTTCGAGTTATGGCGGTAGGCTATTTGGCGGTATATCAATTATCAGTACTGAGACATATATGTGGGTCCGAATCATTCCACTTTTGTAAAATGCCAAGGAACTTTGACCAGACGGGAAAATCTATCAGACGGTGATTACAAAGCAAAACCTTACTTGAGTTTCTGTTTTTCTTATACATAACCGCCACGATACTACGTACACGCGCACAATGAGTCAGTTCGTGGGTGTCTCAGGATTTTCACCCTCCTAAACAGCTTCCCGGACCTGTATTGACACGGTACCTGACAATACCCGCTACATCCATGGATAATAGACTATAGAGTCCTTCTCACCAGACGTTCCGCGTCATAATATGCTTAATTATGGGAGTAAATGCATATGAGTAACCATTCGTCAAAAGAGAATAACGAGAGAGAAAAAATAACTCGGAAATCATGATTTCAGGAGAGGGAGACATATTGCAGTTACACAGAGAGAACTGATCGTATGCCTGTACACTGTACTGCCGTGCATGTGTGGTAAAAAAAAAAAAAAAAAAAAAAGGGAGGACAAGCACTGGACGGAAGTGAGAAAACTAAATTCCAAGCCACCTTGTAGCTGAGGACGTCGCCGTTCATACCTTACAGCAGCTTCATAAACACCTCAAAGTTGGCCGCTATCATAAAAGATACTTCATCATCTTTGTCAAAGCCAACCGATACAGTTTGACCCTAAACTTCGCCTCAGGGTTCATTTTGATCACTAATCTCGCTTCGAGCAAGTATAAGAGGACGTATGCAGATTCGGTGCGTTTTGTTACTAATGCCGGTGAATTCCTGGAGACGATAACCTTCGGAACGAGTCCGAATCCGAGCCTTTCCCGCAAAGATATTTAAGATCTCAATCGTCTGATCTGGACATCCATTTGGACGGTATCATCACAAAATCAATCGAATTTCATGACTTGATCACTGGTCAATAGTACAATGACTTTTACGTTTCTGCACAGGTTATTCCAAGCATCATATTGGATCGGTTCTCTGTCAACTAGCATCAAAAAACGCATACACTAACTCTATATACCTACCCATAGTTATTTGGAGTCGATATTAAGTTTAAGACCCCACAGACAAGTGGCATGGCATGGCACAGCCTCATATATCTATCTGAGAAATGATATCGCAATATCAACGTTGAATGCCAACACTTGATCTAGTCGAAATTCGAACTCTATAATCAGCTGTTCTTGATATTCCAATTCGTCCAAACACCTATAATCACTCGCACTAGTCCATCGTGGCACCACTGCGCGCAGAATATTTGAATACAGACCCTGCGGAGATCATACAAATGCAGCACAGTCAAAAAATGCTCGTATAGAGCTTGAGCCAGGCAATTTGCACCTTTATTGTCTGACCAGGTTGATACCTACTTGGCTCACAGTACGGCACCCCTTACAGGATGTACGCACCGCGCATCGCAGTTTCAGCCCTTTCGCTCATCACATCTGTATCATTCATTACTTAGACATTCTACATAAAACCACTAGGCCGACCAACCCCCAGATCCTCGGGCACGGCAACAAACCCTATCACGCTAGGGTACTCGCACGGAGTTAATCGGATGCCGCACTCGCAGGTAAGGGCGACCTATCGATAATACTTTGCATATTCAGCTTAATTTCGACTATCTCAAGTCGCCACCCCACATTCAAGCGAGCTCCTTACCGAAGGCTTCGCTGGCAGCTTGACCTTATTTACCACGGATATGGGTCAACGCTTAACTAGCAACCCTGGGGATGGCACAGGACACCACTGGTCTAAAGACGTGTCTATGAGGTCCGATAGAGTAAAAAAAAAGAAAGGAAGGAAAGGGCCCATGATGATTTACCCTATCACAGATAATCACTCGCTGCGTCACGGTGTAAAGTGTGAAACTAGTGCGATGACCCCGGAGAGTCACGCATGTACCCGCCAAAGTAGATCAACCTAAACTAACGAACCACTAATTCAACACACGTGTACAGGACAGGATTATAGGTGCTAGTATAAGTGATTCAAGTAAATTCTTCGGTTATGGCTGTGGAGGTAAGATCCGGAAGAGCTAGGTATGCTTAATATTTTTTTTTCCCGCTAGCTGTAGTATTCTAATATTATCCGCAAGCTTCGAAATAAAAAATATATATCACAGCCTCGGTTTCACACGCCTCGATCCCAGCATTCACATAATTTAGTATTAGAGGTCGATTCACTTCAGCTTATTATATTTATTAAGAATCCGATCAGATTCATTCAACCCTCTTGACCAAGCAAGCTGGCAAGCGCTGGACCCATTAATCGAAATAAAGGCCAGGCCTAATTACAAATCGAAGAGCTTCTTCAGCTCCGCCATGGTATCTTCTGGCTTTGTAACACTGTGCCCGATCGTCCTCGGGTCTTCGTAGATCTCATAGTCGTTTCCGCCCTTGTACGTCTTGTCACCAAAGAAGTGGATCGTGTCGAATACACCTTCCTTCTCCACATGCTGGAGACAGTAGGTTTTATCCCATCCCTGTGGGAACACGTCGAAGGAAATCTGTCCACCAACGCTGAAGGTGAGTCCGTAGTCGCCGAACTTGGCACGGAGCGCCTCGACGAAGTCACGACGGACGTTGTGGATTTTGTCATAGGCTTCAAAGTCATGACGCTCTTGGACACTAAATGGGGGTGTTAGTCCGGTAAGTCAGGTTGGATGGCGATACAAAGATCCCAGGGGTTCATACGAGGCGTTGCGGCCAATAGGCGAGACGTTGATCATTCCGTTTCGGAATTCGATAAAAGTTCCACTGGGCCACCAATTAAATCAGCATAGGATTTCCTCGTCTTATTGGGAGGAGTATTAACCGCTTAATAGGAATATCCAGGTCAGCAATGTAATGGAGAATAAAGTTTGCCATCTTCTTGTACTTGTCCTCTCCCAACCATTGGATGAAGCTATTACTCGCGAGGGTTTCTCCAAGTCTGATGGCAGTGAGACCGTTCTCGGCGAAGCAGAAATCGAATAAATCAGTCACTATTGGTAAAGGGAATTAGTTTCATTGTTAGAGCTGTAGCTACGGAACAGTATAAATACCATTGTACCCATTGATACCGATCTGTTCCTGCTGCTTAACAAGATCACTTCCACCAACGAAACCGATTGCGACCTTCTGTCTAAGCTGCTGGAGCAAGGCCAACATTTCAGGGCTAACACTCTACATATGCAAGTCATTAGCTTACAGCCCCACTGGTTTGAGATACAATTAAAGCAACGTACCCGTCTTGCAGGTGTCAAAGTGTCATCGACATCGAAAAGACAGATTGTCCTTGCTACTGGACGCTCCGTGAGAGGTGGGAATTGAGCTGCTGCGGTGGACATTGTTTATCGATTCTTTTGTATATGTTTTATTCTAGTAAACGAAATTGATGAGATGCGGCGAAGAAGAAGGAGGTGAATCTTGGGAGAGGCGATGATGATGTGTGTTTTATTGGGGAAGTTTAGGGGGAGAAGAGAAGAGGGCTGGAATGAGCTGGGCTCGAGGGGCATCCCCAACAACGGCAGCAGCGGGGCCAGGGTCTTGCTTGGTTTCTTGGCGCCCTAGCGATATTTGTGGAGGCTACCAATAGCCCCTGCCTGACCACCGGGGGTCCCCGAAATTGATTGTATTCCAATTAAATCGCCCATGCTGACGACGGTTTGTTTCGTGATGGATAGTCGCTCCTTGTTAAGCTGAAACTCACGCTACTTGTGAGGGGGATTGAAAGCTTGTGTACGAGGTACGCAGCTTTGGTGGTACGCAGTTCTGGAGGTACGAAGCTCTGAAGGAAGGTGTTTCCTTGCCTAATCCCAGTTGGGATTGTTACAATTAGATACATGTATTAGTAACGACACTAGAGTAGGTGTCGTTTCGTTTCGAGTAAAGGGCTTAACGCGTTGGTGACGACACATTCGAAGCTGTATGTGAGTGATATTCCGTGATGCTATTTTATTTATCATCCTTGGGTATAACGGCTACATAATTGCTTTTTGTTATGAATTTCCTTCCTAGGATCCTATATATGATTACGCGCGTTCTTTCGGGTTCCCTCGCAGACGGTGACTAGATAATGAATCCTCTTTATGTTTCCTGAAGCATATGGCAGAACGCCTCCACCTCTTTTCTCCGACGAGACACCGTACCATTCCGACTCAGAACCTCCACCCAACCCACCACCTGTCAAGATCATCATTCATGGCTGCATCATAGCACGGGATACAAAAACGCCAACTACAAGCACAAAATACACATTATATACAACGGCAAGAAGAAAAGGCAAGAATCAAAGCCCGTCCATGCAAGATAAAAATCAGATCGTTCCAATTCTACAATATATCGGCCTGGTTAATCTAAGCCTTCTTCTCCGTCTTCTTAAATATCAAGTCCGGCTTCCGCTTCGCAATATCCAGGATCGTCTGCGCGAATACCGAGTTTGCCCACGCAAACCAACTCCCTGCTTCTACGTCAGCATCTTCTCAAAAACAAACCAGGAGGAGGGTCGGCAAAACGACTTACGGGTATAGTCCTCTGTCCGCTGCACATTAACACTCTCATGCACCAGCCCCAACGGGCTCGCCGCCACTACCGCGTTCAGAAGACTCTTGATCTCCGCGTCGTCGCTGCTCGTCATGGCCTGGACCAGCAAACTGATGGGCCATGCATGCGTGATACCGATATGTGGGCCTCCGATGCCGCTGAACTTGCTGCCAACAAGATAGTAGGGGTTTCCCTGAGGACTGAGTATCATCTTCCGTGTGTTCTTGTACACCTCGTTATCAACATCGACGAAGCCCAGGAGCGGCAGGGCCAGCAACGACGGCAGGTTGGCGTCATCCATGATGATGTTTGAGCCATACCCGTCCACCTCGTAAGCAAACACCTTTCCAAATACCGGGTGCTGCACGACACCGTATTTCCACACGCCGGCCTCGATCTCTTTCCCGAGGGCCAAGACCTCTGCGGCGAGGTCGGACTGCGAGGCAGCGGTGAGGGCCGCCGCAGTGCGTTGAAGCTCCACGGCCATAAAAGCGTTACCAGGGATGAAGTACTGCATTATTGCGGCGTCATCGCTGGGGCGGAAGGCGGAGCGGACGAGGGAGGTATTTGCGGCGAGCGGATTGCCGATGCCGTCGAGGTTGAGGGTCTCGGTACCACGGGTGGTTGTACGTGTGAAGGTGTAGACTTGGTTCTGAATGGAGCCATCGGCTGCGAAGGTGGAGGTGCGCTGCTCGGAGATGAGGTTGAGAACGTTTTTGAGGGCCAAGATCCAACGCGCGGTGATGTGCGTGGTGGACTGCGTGGCGGCGTGGTATTGATTGCCGAGGGAGAGGAAGGAAGCAAGAGAGTCGAGCTCATATTTGCATTCAAAGACAACGTCGGGGTCGTATGTGGGGTGGACGGTATCAGCTTGCCCGTTAGAGGTTCTGTGGGTGTGTCAATGGTCTGTAGATTGGGTCAATGATCATGATGCAGGATAGTAGGGAACATACGGTGCTAGTCCAGAAGCTTTCGGCGGCTGGAATGCATTGCAGTATGGACTCTGTAATATAAAATCCGCCTATTCCCACTCATTAGCTACCCGTTTCCCATTTCACTCCCGCTTTCCATCACACCCCATCACTCACCTGTGTATTAATCGCGCCCTCTATTAACGCCTTTAGCTTCGCATCCTTGCCCACAAGCACCATATACTGCGACAGCTGGTTCGTGCTATCCCTCAGCCACTGCGCATTGATATCCCCGGTAACAATGAAGCTCTGACGCTCTTCCTGCTTATCCGAGTCCACATGCCATCGCACCGTCGTATCTAGCGTATTTGGAAAGCAGTTCTCAAATAGCCGTGCCATGTCCGGATCCACCATGTTTGCCGTCATCGTAGAAATAACATCCTCCACCGCATCGCTCGTAAACAGCCTACACTCCTGCGCTGGCCGCTGGAACGGCAACTGGTACGTTCCGGTTGTGTAAGGCGGATGCCGCACTGTCGCGTAGTCCTTGTAGTCCGGGCAGGCGCCGCGGCGCATGTATGACTGGGCCTGGGGGGAGCGACGGTTGATTTCTGCGGCGCTGGCACTGTTGCTCCAGAGGATGCCCAGAACGAGGGTCGAGCCTAGGAGAACCATCACGAGGGGGAGGGGGGAATTGAAGACTTTCTGCCAGAGGCTGGGTAGCGGATGGTCTTTCTTGTCGTCGGGGAGGAGGGGCCGGCGGTGACGCGCAACGGGCGAGGGCGGACGGTAGGTGGAGGAGGAGGAGACGGCGTAGGCGGGGGAGGGGGCGGCGGGGAGTGGGTGCCGGATTCGGGGGTTTGAGTGCTGGGTGTGGGGAACGAAGGTGCGGGCTTGGGTCGGGGGGCGCGCTGGTGGATCATTCAGTCGGTGGGCATGCAGTGGGTATTTGTAGGTGGTGGTAGGTAGTATTGTTGTTGTGGTGTTGTTGGGTGGGTGGGGGGGTGCGGGGAGCTATTGACAGGTAGGCAGGTGCTAGCTAAGTTCTAGTGGAAGCTGCAGGTAAACAAGAAAGTCAGCAAGCAAGCACAGACAGATCATGCAATTGACGGGAATTTCGGGGAAATTAACTACCACGGACACGATCTGCTTAAGGGGAAGGAGGAAAGGAAGAGGGAGGTTGTTTGTGGACGGGAATGTTGATCCTTTGGGTGAGTGCGTGAGTGAGTGAGTGAGTGAGTGAGCGGTTGTTGGGTGGTTGCAGTTGACGTCGTTGTCTCAACGGTTGAGCCTCGCCTTTGAGTGTTATTCAGCAGGCGCATCCCTGCAGTATGCATCCAAACAAGACTTTCCCCCGAGGTGAGAGCAAAGGTCACAACCATCTCTGCTGGCCATGATCATGATCACCATGGTACCCCCCCCGTCCCCCCGCATTTTCGCTAATTAAAGGCACCGGGAGCCATATGATCCTACTCCTCCTAGTAAATAGCTTGGGTAGGAATAGTATACTCGTTTACCACGAAAAGAACCAGAAAATGCCAGTGACGGAAACAGGGATAGTTTGTATGAGAGATCGCCGCCACTCCATACAAATAATCCTTGCCCTGAGAAACTGGTTCTTTTCGTGGTAAACGGGCAGATGACTTTACGGGGATACGGCCAACACGGGGGTATGGTCAATTCCAAGATTTTGTATGGAAACAAAAAGAGGTAGTCGACCAACTCCCTGTGTATCATACCTCACTCCGGAGTATATTTGAGATTGACCGTACCCCCGTGTTGACCATACCCCCGTGAAAGCGCCTATATCTATCCTGCTCTAGCTACCCCGCAAATAGTTGGATACCTACATGTAGATACATATACATCATTATTATCACCCTCCCCCATTCCTACCCTCAACTACCCTCACACAGCATTATTCAAACTCTATTATACCGTTCTCGCTGTGAAGCAGCTGATTTTATCCTCGGGAGTGAACAAGGCGGGGAAGTCTTGCTATAAGGGACATATACATCGATACCTTTATTAAATATTCTCTCAAGGTAGGCATATCCCCGTCGGCAGTGATGCCGGCAGAAGTACTCGAGTGTGTAGGGTACTTCAAATGAGGGGCGCATTAGATAGCACTCATTTTCACAATATATCACTCGGCTCATTATGACAAAACCTTGGCATCTTAGCAGGTATTTCTGCGGTGCTATGGCGCGAGAAGGCATAGGGGGTGGGTGTGTCAACTTCAGAGGAACTTTTTTGTATGGGAATTAGAGAAAATTCCACCATTAGGCTAGGCGCTAGACCATTAGGGGAGTAGATCTCCCAATTTCTATAGATTGATTGACTGCAAACGCCGAAGTTTACACACCTACCCACCATAGCTTCTCGAGCCATATGTAGTTACTCCTAAGGCCCTGGTCGGATGCACCCCGGTTTTAATACTATTATTCTCGGTTGCGCGATGCTTCATCCCCCAAGAAAAACTGAGTATTGTTGCGATAACTAAGGCGTTCGATAGGGATAGGTTGAGGTATATGGGGCTGTAGTATTGCGAGTTATCAAAATTATCCGGACGCTTGTTGCAACCAAATTTTGTACACAACCACGAGGCAAGAAGACAAGAGATTTCATTTTGTGATTCCTTATGCCTCTATTATCTTAAGCTTCAATATATGAGCTTAATTGAAGTGGTTTAAAAATTTGGTTAGTCTACCTAATTTACGTGGTTGCAACGCGAGCGTCCGGACAATTTTAACCTATAATAAATACCTTTGGAAGAGTTTATTGATATCATGGTGTTTCAATCTACTGTGTATTTTGGCCTACCAAACACCCTCTTTATTGTAGTGTTACGAATGCTATGGTATTGAGCCATGATACCATGGTACCTACTGGTGTAGACCCAAATAGGTCCTAAGAGTGTTGTAGTTATAATTGTTTGCAGTGCAGCCGTACCTCATCTCAAGGTTCTTATCCCCAAAGAAACCACCTCGTCACAGGGGGATGAAACTCACTATACCCACCATCTTGGCCTAAAGTCAACCCAGAAGAGGTTTCTGGGTATGAGTTAGGGTAGCTTATGTGATGATGCCCGGTTGCCAGGGCCATACACTGCCCCCGTAGTGGATTGGACTTGACGGCTCTCATTTACCAGGTTTGTGCCCCCTTAGCCATGAATCATGGGCGCGTGTTGGCATACACGAACACCATAGACTTAAGTTCATACTCTACAGCGTATCTAATCTCAATACCAAGCCTACGTTCCAAGGTCCATCACAATCCGATGTCCTTCCGCGTAAGTGGATAATCTTCAAAGATTCCCAGATTGAAACGGGGGTTAATTAGACCAGGTCTGACATCCCCAGTTCTGCACTGGATGGTTGTGTTGTAGAAACTCTATAATGAGATTGCAAACTAAAGCCATATCTTAGAAATAATGATTGTATCTCAAAATGATAGGTTGATACTATAGATAGCTCGGCCGCCTTCTTCGAAGGGCGACAGTTAGAGGCAAACTATGCTCGGTTCATTCCACGTTATGTGTATAGCACACTTCGTAAAGACGGTTCTAGAATGTTCCTTGTTGAACTGGCTATTCACAAGGGTGGAAAGCTGGCAGGTCGTCAGGAATATCCAACGGTATTCGTGGATAGGGTGGCCTATTTAGGAATCTTCCAGTAGTCGGTAGTCAATACTCGCCAGAACAGTGATCTTGCTCATGGTATCCCAGACTCGTGGGAGATATCGACAACTTGATATATGGAAAACATCACGGCGCTCCATGCTCTCCCCACATGGGCATAAGTGCCCCTTGTGTCCACCCCTTTGACTATAGTCTTCGATGAGCTGGGAATCATATAGGCAATCGTGCTTATTTTTCCTGGTCCCACCGCAAATACTAGCGCTAGACACATACCCTATATTCTCTATGTTTCGGGTGTTTGGAGAGTCCGGAGGCGGTTGAAAACACAGGGCTGAGTATTTCAGAAGGGGTGCAGAATAACTCGCGCGTTGGAGGAAGCGCTGTAAAAGCCCTATCCAATAGGAAAGGTTGGGACTTCAAGACTCTTTGTAGACACAGCCAATAGATTGTGAGTCGAGGCTTGTGTGCTGCAGGGTAAGATATAATTGGTATAAGATTGTCGTACTATATGCCTACGCTGGGCTATTGATTCATCTCGGGAGCTGAAGGCTCAAGTCCTTAAGAATCCTGTCTTATTGGTCTCTTTCCTTCAAGTGGAGTTTATTGAGAAATCTCATTCCATCTTTACTAGCAGTTGTGGCTTTCTGAACTATCTCACTACGGGCCAGTGATCTGCTTGTTTGGTTGAAAGGCTTTAGTTAAGTCAGACATGGGGATTACACAATCTAGTCGCTTGTATCCGAAAATTCGTCAGGCGCAGATTGAGATGAAAGGATTTCACTCTCCCTATTCGAAGGGTAAGAAGATAAAATGAGGCATACTCTCGAAGAACACTTTCTCGGGTTAGGTCATTAACCATGGTGTTCGTGATGGCGTGGCCGCGTGGTGTTCGTGTCTTTGTATTGGTGAAAGAGTTGGAGAAGGCAATGCCACAAGACAGCTGTCCCAAGTGAGATTTAAGCTTTCTATCCCGAAATAGACGTCGTGAATCCCCCGGGACCGTGCATGTATGTACTTGTTTACCACGAAAAGAACCAGTTGCTCAGGGCAAGGATTATTTGTATGGAGTGGCGGCGATCTCTCATACAAACTATCCCTGTTTCCGTCACTTGCATTTTCTGGTTCTTTTCGTGGTAAACGAGTATGTATGTATGTATGTATGTATGTATGTATGTATGTATGTATGTATGTATGTGTGTAGCAGTGACTCAGTCAAACCTTATTCGCCAACCCCTGACCTACTCACAGTCCATCACTCGCACCAAGCAATCAAGCAATCGATCGTTTGTGGAAAACGCGACCTGCTCATATGTATAGGTACGTCATGTCGTGTCCGATGCGGGGGTATAAAGTAACTTATAATTAGGATATGAACCTCACAGTCCATCACTCTTGATCAACCTCACAATCCCGATAATCACATGCAAACCGGGTGCACGAGGAGCTCATTTCGTTGTTTGCTTCTGGGCGATTGGAGGTTGGGGGGGGGGTCATCTCGGAACGGATGAGCTTGCGCCTCCGCCCCGAGAGATGAGGGGATGACGCGCTGCTACAGTTGCACTTTGAAGTGTGCTGGAGAGAACAAAGGGTCCTGCTTTGTCCAAGCAGAGAACTCAACTACCACAGTCGCTGCTGCTATCATATGAAGAGCTGCTTCCTTAGGCGGTAGGTACGCATTTAGACGGCGGTATGATCCCAACCAATAGGCTAACGTGGGGTAAATAATAGCTGCTGGCTGTTTTGTTTTAGGCGTGAAGTTGCAGGACGACTACATATCTGCTCTAAGGGCAGCTTAGAAAGACCTCACTCAATGTTTGCTGCAGAAACAGTTGGATACAGTCATCGTTCCTTGTATCCCCCCTCGTACGTAGCTCTCGAGCTCATTTAAGGGTGAGGGGCAAGCAAACAAGCTCCAGAGCTCGAGAGCTCAAGCTCCGCCATAAGGCAACTGTTGCTGGTAGAGTAGGTACAGTACCATCTGCATGCACTTTACTTCTATGTAACCCGGAGATAATTTTCCGGAGCCTTTTGGGAC